TCTTGGCAATTTTCCAGCACCAATTTGAATAAATATGCGGTTTGTCAATCTCCAAATCATTGAACAAAATTTCTTTAAGATGAAAGATAGCAAAGAGTTCAAAGTTCAAATTGAACTATAAGAATCTAGCAAGAAACTAACTCTACTCAGTACAACACTATATGAAGGATATTGAGGAGAAGTAAAAACTTGAAAACTAAACATTTTATTGGCTTTTCAATAATGTCGGCTACTTTTTCATTTGAAGAGGATAGCCAATATTTTTCCTACCACTAATAGATCTTTAAAATATTCATATCTATTATAATCCTTCAGAATTATTATGTATGCAATAGAAGATAAGGAATTTAATGAATTGCAAATATTTGGACAGCAATAATATGAAAATTATGCAACGTAAACTCTGATAGTTTAAGACTTTGACTAGATATAAGCAATTTAATACCTTTAATGTTTTATCCTATTAGACTCTACCATTCAAGTAAATTGGTACATTTTTTCAATTCAAACAATGATATTCTAGAATTCAATGAATGAAAATGAATGAAAACTAATATTTTTATAATTCTCTTCAGAAGAAAAGGAAAAGGGGGAAAATACCTCGTTCATACGATTTTATATTTGACAATGTATATCAATTGGGGAATTAGCTCAGCGGTAGAGCGCTCGCTTAGCATGCGAGAGGTCCCGGGATCGATCCCCGGATTCTCCAGTAGTCATATTTTCTTTTGGAATATTGTCTCAAACATTTTTTTTTGTAATAAAGAAGTGTATTTCAACTTGACATTTGAAAGAATTGAAGAAGTATCTATTAAGCGTTAAGAATGGTAGGCTGTGTCTATATGTTTTATCGACTATCAATCATCGTTGAGTTTGAAATTTTCATTTCAAACATATTATATTAAATAAGATCAAAGTTGGGTAGAGAAGAAATACAAGTAAAGTCATTAAAAAAGGAAGACTGGAGATGGTCCTAAGTGACAAAAATAGATAAACAGATAAAAATACATCTTTCTCTTGTGTGCAGTTTCTTCCGCCCTCGTCTTTATGATGTGTTGACTATTCTCTTTAATAATAATATATTAAAATTGTGATAAATGTTGAAAAATGTCATTTAAGGTCGTATTATGTAAAAGATTAATGTTTATTTTTAACCAAGTATTATCTATAAACAAACCTTAGTAATACATTTAGCAATACGATACAACAAAAGTCAAGCTATCATTAGAAATAGTAGTACGTTAGTAGGAGGAAACGACATATGTGAGGCTTTTTTTTCTTAAAGTAAAAGATATCAAATTCTAAAGGCCACAAATATACTTCTGGAAATGATTTTAAATGTTTATCTTCCATTGAAAAGACACGACGAAAGAGAGTAAAAAGTTTAACAATAGAGTTTCATTTAGAGTAAATGTTTCTTTTATGAATATGTTTATAGATAATAAATAATTTATATGGAAAAATATTATATTTTCACAAGAGCCTTTCCCCTCTCTCTCTCTCTCTCTCTCTACTCGTCACGAAAGCGATTCTTTTAGTTTAATTAGTAAATATTTGTAGCCTACTAAGTGAAAATGTAAATTTTGAACCTAAAACTGTTAGCAATATACTTCTGGGAAAGAGAGAAGCCTATCTTTTACAATTTATTAGTATCCATTTACAGTATTTATTTTAACCTTTTAACGTGAATTTACCTATTTTCTATCAAATGTACGATATATCTTGATATAAAGTTAATATGGTCTTGGATAAGAGCTTTCTATATTTAAAGGTTATTATTATACTTTGTCAGGAAGTTGATATTTTTCATCGGAATCTTAATGTAATTAATACAACTATTATATTATATTTAATTCTAGTCAGTATCAAATGTTTGCTACTTGAAAAAGAAACGATAAAAAGTTCCTCCCCTTTCCTCGCTAGATGGAAGCACAGTAAAAAGTTATGTCAGTTTTCTGTGCAAGTACAACAAACAGTCTGTATGGATAGTAGTATATCTTTAAAGAAGGGGAAAATATAGATCTATCCGATTGACGCGATAGACGATTTTAAAACAAGGCGAAAGAAAGAGAGAGAGGGGGGGGGTGCGGAGAGGGAAAGGAAGAAATAGAAAGGAAGAGAGAGATAGAGATAGATAGAGTAGGAGAAAGAGTGAACGAGTAAGTAATTATTAATTTATTGCAAATTAACAATTCTTAAGAATAGTTTCCATATATATATATATATATATATATATATATACAGTATATGTACTACTATATTAATATATACTGTATATATATACTGCATATATTAATATTCTTAATAATTTTTCTTTAATTACACGTTGATTATACCGTATTCTATAGCAATACTTAAAATCAAATATGTCAAACTTTCGCTTATAACAATAATCATACCTCTAATATTTATTCATAAAAGGACTTCCCTAAGAAGCCAGTCTATTCATACTATGTTATGTTTTTCATCTACTTTCCAACCGTATGTTGATTGAAGTTGCTTTTAGTCTTTCAAGTTTTCTGTTTACTGTAAAATGTATGAGTAAAGCACTAATAAAAGGCAAAAACCTCTTCTAAATTCGTATTTTGTTACTTGAAGATTACATTGTTAAGCGTTTAAATATTAGTTTATTAATGACTATCGTTTTATGAATTATTTTTCTTTTAAAGGCAACTTTATTAGATCTTTCTTTAAAGAATTGTCGTTAGAGTGTAATTGGTTAACTTTTGAATCTTTTTCGATAAAATTCGAAATACTTTAGAAAAGAAATATCAAAGCCATTTGAAAAAAACAGCAGGACACGTATAAATTCATCCGGTAGAACATGTAAAATTATCTTGCAAGTAGTAATTGCTCTTTTAAGGTTTCGTTAGAAAAAAGTTGTTTTTTGCATTTGGGAAACTGGTGTAGGTAGTGGAAAGTTTGCGAAATAATTCAGAAAAAGATAGACGGATAGAGAAAGAAAGAGAGAGAGAGAGAGAGAAACGAACATAATTTTAGCCTATTTTTACTTCATAAATGCAAAGGAATTATAATTATTTTGTATAAAGGTAAGAGAACAAAGAAAATTGAACCAAGTGTTTGTCCTCTTATCTTTGACACGTATGTAAGTTTCTATATATAGACGTCTTCAATTTAAATAAATGTTGATCAAGAGCAAACTAGACGTAGAGGATATTAAATGTTTCACATTTCACTGAAAAAGGGCAATTAATTGTTGAAAAATATTTCTAACTATATTAACTTACTAACTCGGGATTAAATCAATGTTTGTAATACCTCAAAAAGATATGTTTGTTGTCCTTTCATATATATTTTATCAGTTATATATAATTTCATTATTAACTAGATACAGTACATATATATTGATCCGCAATTAAATATTATTTGGTGCAGAGTTTGATGAAGAATATCCAGATAAACTTGTACTGTAATAATGGAGTAGAATGAAAATTATGAATGGAAGAAATTCTACGAATATTCTGGAAAAATGCGAAATTTTTCGTCTGATAACACTAGGTTTTGGAGTTTCTTTTGTTAATCTTATTGGATTTTTAGTTAATTTTATAGCTATAACTGCATTGTTATTAGATAAAACGAAACAAAAGACAACACTGATGCTTATTGGACTTGAAATTTCAGATTCTATATTCTTAATATCTCATTCTTTTGTATTTTCATATAATGATCTTTTTAAATATTTATCTAAACTAGCCAATGGAAAATCTCCATTAGATAATGAAACCTATATAAACTTAACTCAAAAGATACTTTCACCAGTTGTTACAGGATCTCTTATGGCCAGTAGTTGGCATATGATGCTCATAACGTTTGAAAGATATATTGCAGTGTGTAAACCTCACCATTCTAATAAACTTACAAGGACCAGGACTGTAATTTTTCAAATATTTATATTTTTTTTCACATTTGGCATAAACATATCAAGAATGTTGGAGTACGAAGCGATTAGAAGTAAAGATAACAATTCTTGGGTTATTTCAACAACAAAGTTAAAAACAAATAAAAAATACGCTACATACGTTACCATTCAGTATTGGATAATGCAGTTGGCAATACCAATGATAACATTAACTCTAATGACGGGACTGATTATTCAAGTTGCCTAGTTAAACATATATTTCTGTATATATTATATAAATAAAGACACTATAATCATAAACTATTATTTTGAGTAGGTAACTTGAATACTTAGAGATTAAAACGTACTACTCGCAACTATAAACAAGGCTTAACAAAATCGATGATTATTGTTAATTCACTTTTTGTTATTTCCCAACTAGTCAATGGAGTTCGACGAATTTATGTCGCAACTGTTAATCAAGAAATTGCAACAAAATGTGAACATCCTTATTCATACGTCTATGGATTAGCTATGGTTGCACTTTCGATCAATTCTTCAGCCAACTTTTTTGTATTTGTCCTCTATAACAATCATTTTAAGAAACAAGTTCAAAAGTTATGGAGTTCTTTTAGATTTCATTTTAATCGAATAGGTATTCAAGAATCAAATAATAACGTTCTACATATATCTAGCCCCAATAGTTCAAATTGATTAAATAGGTTATTTGAAAGGATTTTGAACTCCATATTCAGAATTCTTAATGAATAAAAATTGCTCAGCATCAAGAAAAACTAGAAGAGAGAAGATTACTTTTAAATTAGAGAATATTCTGCAATTTTAATTGAAGAAAGGAGATAAAGAACATTTTGAATTTACTTTAATAGTTGAAAATAAAATGAATTCTGTTTATAGTTGATCGTGTCTATTATTTATTCTCTATAGAAGAAATCATTACCTTTAGGTCATTGATATCAAGTATATAGACGAGCATATTTGATTTGAATTTAAATTTTTTGCAGGTATTAATAGTATAGGATGATATTTATCTTCAATAGGTCAGTTCTCTCTTAAAGAACAAATATATAGTATATTTTGAAATCGAAAAGCTCTCTCTTTCTCTCTCTCTCTCTCTCTCTCTCTCTTCTTCCATTATAAAATTTCGAATGATAAGGGTAAATCGTCGACTTTTACCTCAATTATCATTCAACTTCACCTTCTAGATTTGCATAACTACAGTTAATAAATATTAACAAGAACGTTTGAAACCTTTTTAATATTATCTTGAAATTATAAAGGCCTTTTATCTACTATCAGTTTCTTTTATAGGCCTAATACTCTTTGTTTAATATAACGCTTTTTTGACTTTCTTTCAGGTAAATATCTTAGCATTGTTATTAGTGTAGAGTTGTTATAAATACAATTATAGTAGTCTCTTTAAACCAATCAAACAATATACAATATTGCAGTGGCAACAAGAATGAAGAAATAGCCAGTTATTAAATTTTTCTCTTTCAAAGCGACATCTACAGTCAATGAAGTTATTATCGATCAATCTATATCTTGGTAAAACATTCAACTATTCTGCTAGAGAAGGAGTGTTTTCGATATTTTGTTTTATATATCGAAAAATTATCAATGAATATTACCGCATTAAATCAATATTAAGGATTAAGGACGAGTCTATATGAAGATATGATAAGTTTAACTGATATAGTTCTCCTATATATAACGGAAAATAAGAAGATATTCTTTGAAATTGTTGAGCAACATAACATCATCTTACCTTTTCATATCTCTCAGCAAATATTACAGTATTTTGATCAAAAATTTCTGGGTATTTCCGAAGAAGATCTTCTACTATTCAATTCCGATAAATTAACGTTTAGGGATATAAAATTGAATTGCCATCGAGTCGTCAGAAATTGCTATCTATCATTTATTAGAAAGCATCCAATAGAGGTTATTAATATTACAAATCTTCAAAATTGTAACTTTGACCTATGGATAACACCGAAAGATTGTAAACATTTGAAAGAATTAAACGCTAGTCGCGCGAATTTTAGTGATAAACAAACAATCAATGAAATAAAGAAATTAATGGTTCTACAAAACTTACAAACATTAAATGTTAGTTTTACAACATTTGACGATATATGCCTTGAATTTGTATGTAGACAATTTCCATCTTTAAAAGACTTAAATATAACTGATACTAAAGTTACAACTATTAAACCGGTTGGCAATTTAAAGGGTCTTTTGGTATTTAAATTTTCAGAAGTATATAATACGTCTAAAGTTGATGATATGGAAATTTTAATAAGTTTACCACTTCTCGAAGAAATATATTTACCTTGCCAAGGTGTATTTTATGAAATGGAAGGAAAAGGAATATGGCTAAAAGCTATATTTGAGAAAGCTACTTGGATAAATCTACAATGCTTTAGAATTTGTAAATCATTTGAGTTAGATGAAAGGATTTTAAAGTAAAAATCTTACATTCTTCTCTTTAAATACATTCAATCTGTCTCTTTTTTTCTTCTTTTTCTTCGAACAGGAAATTTGTGAATAGGCATCCTAAATTAAAATATTTCGAGGTTAAATATCAAAAAATCAGTTCAAAATGCAATTCAAGAGATCATAGTTTATACATGATTCCAGAAATTTATCCAATGTTTATGCAAGTAAGACCAAACAATATTTAATTGTTCATTTCAGAATCATCTTTTTCAAATATAATATAGAATATGGAAAGTGTTAATTTTACGAATTTATCAAATTTCATGATGGGATTGAATGATTTTTTATTCCTAGAAGTTCGATTTTTTATGATTTTTGAAAATTATCTTAAACCTAAAACTGAAGAAGAACGTTGGAATTTTTTTAAATCAATTGAATTGGAAAAATTTTGGCAGGTATATTGTTGTGCTTGAATTAGAATAGAAATAGCACTATTTGTATTCTTTCATTAATAGGTTATCCTTAGGAAAATTGAGATGAAAAGATTCGAATTTTCAATATTCCATAATTCAAGAGATTCTTCAAGATTATGCTGTTGTATTAGAGTATTAAAATGGGTTGTTGATATAGCAGGATACGAAACCTATTGGATAAGGGCTATGAGAGCTTTTGTAGCAATGTTGCCAAAATTATCTATACATGTGCAAAATAAGGTTGATATGATCAATGAAATTGCTGATATATGTAATATTCTAAGTTCAAAATACCACCTAATCAATTTAGTAAGTGTTTTGTATCTTATACAACTAGCATTCAAGTTAATTTTTTCTTATTGAAATGATATTTCAAGGTCATTAAAAAGACAACTCTAAGTATTATACTAAGTAGTTTTGTTGGTTCATTTTGCAAGTATTCCGAAATTCCATTTCTTTTAACAAAGGTCTTAAAGGATACTGGATTGAAAAATGTAGGTCTAAAGCATATTTTCGTATAAATATTAATTTTTCAACATTTTCAACAGCTAAGTAAAAGTGAGACGAATAAAATATTGGATATTCTTGGTGAAGCTGATTCCTCGTGCAATGGTTTAAGATATGGTCAAATGACATTCAATCATGTACAAGAGAGCCTTATTGTATTTTTAGGTATAATTGATAACAGTTTGTCATATCCAGATGATGAAGGTAGTGAGGTTATAAGACAGAAAGTAAATGCTTTAAAAATAAGACACGCTTTCGATAAGAAAAGAAAATTGATTAATATTAATTTTAAAGAAATGTTAAAATAATGTGAAATTTTGTTGTTTGTTTGTTTATTTTATCAATTTAAATTCTTCCAATCTGACGATTATTCAATCATTTTTAACTATTTTAAGAATTTATCCTTTCTCTTTTGAACTAGGAATAAACCAACGCAATCGCAAGCGATAGGAAATGAGTGTAGTAAAAAACTGTTTATACGATTCAAATTTGTAGGATTTTATTGTACTATCCACTATTTAACTACTTGATCTTTGACTTGTAAATTCCTAATAAAGTTAGTAGTATGAAACTATGAAAAAGACCTGAATCATCAACATTTGTAAATGTTGTATTGAATGAGGAAATAGACATTTTTTTTATTGGCTAGAAGAAGCTTGTTACTTGTTGAAAAGACGTTGTTTTACTTTTTGAATCAGAAGGTTAATGAAAAAAGGAAAAGACCGCCGTTATCTTTCGAAAAGAGTCAAGAGGGATTGAGAGATGTTATTCCAAAGTTAATAAACAATTGTTATATTTGTTCGTTGATTAGATTAAACATTCTTTAATAATATTCTTCTTAAAGATCATTAGAAAATGAGAGGAATAAATATTACCCATCCCTCCATTGTTTCATTAAAAGCATTAAAGCAACTAACCCAGTTACTGTGAAAGTAAATCCACAAGCTATTGCCGTAATTCCACAAGCCTTTGCAGTATTTACTAACTTTGCTGCCTTCTCAGTATTACCTCGGTTGTATTCGGTTCTGGCCGACGAAGAATATACACAAGCAATGCAACCGCAAAACCAACAGAAGAAAATTGAACAAACGGTCAACAACTGTTTGAGAACAAAGACGATGAACATGATAATAAATGAGTAATTTTTTTATTCTCATCTACCGTATTATCGTCGAAATAAGGCTCTGGTTCAATTATTACAACTGAAACATTTTTCTTCTCAGATAGTTCAACTTTTTGCTGTATAGGTTGTTTTTCTATAGACGTTGATGATATAACATAATTTATGTTGGTATCCATAACTCAATTTCAATAGAAATGCAAATTTTGTCACTGGATTAACACTCTCCACCAAATCTTATTTACGTTTGAGTGAAAACTTCTTTGTATAATTGAAAAAGAGAAAAAAAAGCTTATATGCCTAAATTGTTATCTAGCCTTTACTAAATTATCTATTATATAGATATATTTGAGATACTTTCCCTTCCGGTGATAATTTTATTACGCTAAATGCTGTTACGTCAAGAAACATTCTACATGTATTAAATTACAACTACAAGAATAGCAAGTACAATTTTTATAAGAAACAAAAAGCTGAGGATTGATAGAATGTTCCATCTCCTAGCTGCTTTAGACAGGCGTCTCGCATTCAAAATGTCTCCTTGTTTTAATAATTTTCGAGTGTTTAGTGACTTTATCACAGAAACAATGCCGAGGGGTAGACAGGCAAACAACGAAATTACACTGAAAGTCTATATAGGTTTTATTATAAAAACTGGTTATAAATTAATGAAATATTATTTAATTTACCATAAAATCGTCGACTTCTTGCTCGGGTTGAAAGTAAATCACTTCTTTATTACTTTCTTTGAGAGGGTGAACCTTATTTTTCTTTCCATCAAATCCCTTACTCCCCTTTGCTGAGTCTTCATTGTTAAATACTATTATGCTAGTATTTTCCATGGGAAAAGGCCTGGAAAAGTTGATATAGTTTTAAGGTAGACTTATCAGAAGTTACTATAGATATTACTGCATTTAAATGAGAAAGGTACATCGGAAAGGAAGAAAATTTATTTTTATACTACTATGCATATATAAATTGATAAGAATACATATCATGTAGGACTTGACAGGAGTTTTATGGTTCCTCATTTACATGACAATGAATTTGTGAACAAATAATAAATAAGATATAAGGTTACTTTTGCACTCAAGTTTAGTTGACTTTATTTTGAACAAGTACAGCAGCCTTTTAAATGAAAGATTCAATTAGAAATTGTCTTATTTACCTCTGTGCAGTGAAATATCCTTTTAGTTTATACCTTACTCGACTCTTTTTTCCTCTTTTTTTATATTTTAAAACGAGGTTATGTCAATTATCTTTTACTTTTGATAATACATAGCAAGTGTTTGATAAGTTATTACTATCCCTAATTATGCAAATTAGAGGAGAAATTAACAGATTAGAAGATGTTATTTTCTATCTTGTTTGTTAAGTTATCAATAAATAAACACTTGTTATTTGATTTCTTTTTGAAGAGATAAAATTACTACGATTCCAGAAGTTTTATTTAAAAATCTGTGACATTTTTCTAAGAGAAAAATCTATTCAAACAAATTGAATGATTTAGATGAAAATGTATTAATTAGTATAATTTATATTAATAGCGAATGCAACCTCATTTGAAGGCCTTTTCATTTAGTTTTTCAACGTGCCTGGATATTTCATGCTCTTTTTAAATTAACCTTATCACATACATCATATTTCGCAATTTGTCATGTTTTCTAAAGATAAATTGTACTTTGATATTCGATTAACTATAGATAATTTAATTACAGAAGCTTGTTATTATCTTTTGAAAGAAAGATACAACGTAAGATAATAGATTTTGTAAACATAACTCTTTTTCCCTTTTTATATACATACTATATTATAGGCCTATAATAAATCATTGTAAATTTTTCTTTTCTATAATTAGTGAACTTAGGAGAGACCGTGAATGTGTCATTTTTAATATTAATTTGAAGTAGAATTAAGGTGCTGAAGGGCTAACAATTACAGAGCGTATTTTAACCTATAGAAACACTATACAATTAGAGATTGAGTAGTGTCGTGATGCTAGTTTCCAGACACACATGAGCAACCTGCCCTATGTTTCTAAAGTTAATATAAATACTGTATATAAACTCTATATGTTCAATGTATTATTAAAGACAAAAATAATGACCTATTTATAACAAATTTCAAGAATATTTACAACACCTACTGCAAACATCTATTCCAATTAGAATAACAAACAAAAAAAAGAAACGTTTAAAATACAAGAGACGCTTTTTTTTCCTTTTTTAAAATTACTATAAATAATTCTTAACCGAATAGGAAAGTTTAGCGTAAATTTCATCATATTCTCTATTATTAATACTATTGGAATTTTGACATTGCAGTTCTAATATCCAACTTTTATATTCGAGGACTGCATAGAGAATCTCTTCGTTTATCTTTGTTCCTTGATGAAGTAATAATTCGGAATTGAATGAATCCCATTTACTATTTAATTTATAGTAATTATAATTATCTAAAAATTCGAATAATTCATTCTTTTTCAACTGCAAAAGTGTAAATAATAAAGGATTTATAGCGTAAAATTGAAATAATCCATAGGATTATTTACCTTTCTCAAATCTAATTTTCTATATGTAAGCGTTTTCAATAGAAAGAGACAAGTAGGATGTAAAGGAATTTTTAAGATATTCTTAATGATTTGTTCGTAACTTTTTGATAAATGATCCATTTTTTTAGGTAAAACTTCGCAAAATATTTCAATGAAATCATAACAACACGTAAAATTATTTAAGTTTGCGTAACATTCTTCCATTATCTTTAAACCGATAGATAAGACGTTTATCCAATTTTTTTCAAATCCTTGAAAATTACCCAATAAATTCAATATCTTATACATTTCGCATATAAAACCAATATTTTCATCAAAATTGTAGCTTCTACTCGAAAAGTATTTCATATCGTTAAACATTATATGAAATATCTATGGAAAATAGAAAGGAAAACAATGGAATAAAGAAGAAACTAACCGTTTGTTTGAATTATTTTAATACCTTCCATATGTTGCAGAGATTAATATACTCGGAATCTCTTTTCTTCATTTCCATGGCAACAATCTCTTTAAAGCAAAGTAAATAAGTGAAATTCCATCCTTTCGATAGTATATTCGCTTGATTCATTAATATATTTAAATCAATCTTTTCTTTCTTCTATTTATAAAAGTTTGTAACGTTTTCAACTTAAACATAAGCTTATTATAAAACTAATTAACTTACCAAAATATTTAAATTAGATGATAATGAGTCGATAAAATATTCATTGATATAGATATTCTTCCTAGAATTTAGACAGGTTCCTATAAATTTTAAATTATTATGCTTCTCTTGAAAGCATCTAGTAAAAAATAGAGATTGAATGCATATATATATATATATATAATTAATAACAATATTAATAATTTCAATAAACCTTAATACTCTTTTTGGAAAATGTTTACAAAATGAAAATACAAAAACTTCCAATTTCAACCATTGTATTTCGTTTAACCAGTTTATTACCCAACGATGATAGGCTGTATTTTTGGTCGATAAGGATTGAAAATAGATACATATCTCTTTAAGATTTTCCAATTGGACTAGATATTTTAATTGTTGATGTTTTATTATATTTTTCTTGTCGACAAAGTGAAAATTCTCCAAGTTTTTAAAATTTTGTATTGCCTTTAATTCTTTTACTTTTGTATTTACCAGTTTAATTTCCCTTATCTCTAGAAATTTCTTAGATATTAACTCTAAACAATCTTCATCGAAGCTCGTATGACTAAAATCTAATCTTTGCAGTGTTTCGCAACATTTTAAGTATTCCAAACCGTTTAGTAATTCATATTTATCATTTATGAAATTATCATCTGCAACTGCAAATTCTTCCAAGTAATCTTGATTAACAAATTCTATCCATTCTGTAAATTTAATTCTATTCAAACAATAAATTTTCAAACATTTTAACGGATGACTTTGCAGAAATTTTAATGCAGATTTTTTGCTAACTCTATGTCCGTTGAATATTACTTTATGCAGACACAATTTACGATGAGTGAAGTACTGCAAATCTTCTTCAATAATACCAAAATTATCGTTGTCTAGATTATCAAATATAATTTCCGATATTGTCGGAGGTAATTGATTAGTATTCGTATTTAATAAATCAGTAATAACTCTTAAGTTCCTTGCTACAAAATATAAAACAGTATCTTGCAACGATTTCATGGCCAGTATATACTACACAACATAGTAGTGCAGAGTGACTAATGGCAATATTGATTTTCTGTATAAATACAGGCCTAGACATCTAAGCTTTTTTTTTTCCTGTTTTCTATTTTTTTTCTTCTTCATTTTTGCAGTTTATTCAATTTTCTATAAATTATGAAATATTTAAAATATTAATAACTAAATAATTAATGTATTTATAACATAGTTTCTCCAATTTTATATAAATTATTCAATTATTCTTTAACCTTAGAAAATACTTTATTCAATTATTTCTTCTATACATCTTTAATCTTATTCAAGCGTTATTCAATTAATTTAAAACATTCATTATTTCCAACTATTTTCTTTTTTTAAAACAATATGCAAATTATAGCATCATTAGACTGTTTCTTTCTTTCTTTCTTTCTTTCTTTCTTCTTTCTATTCTTCTTCTCTCTGTTGTCATTTTCAATATCTATTTTAAGGATATAATACAAGATTTTAGTACTTTTGTTTAAATTGAGTTAATTAGTATAAAGAAAAAAATAATGATTTTTACTTCTTTACATTAAAACATTGTCTAACTGCTACTCTTATTCGTTGGATTAATTATTATGTTAACTTCTATTATTTATTTTATCTTATTAACAATACTGAAATAATCGCTTGAGAGGATAATCTCAAACGGATTAATTTTTTGGTTTCGAGTTTCGCGCCATATTTAAACAACGCAATTAGAGTTATCTTGCTTCAAATTGAGCCAAACCAATCAGAGTTGCTAATTAATTTACTCATTAAATTATTCTACATTCTGATGCTATTCCAACTAAGCTTCAACATTCATAATATATCTCTCTACCCTTATAGGCTGTTGTTTTTGTATATAATACATATATTATGTTAATTAGAGTATCTTTGTTAAGAATTGGAGATTTCTTAGAATTTCACCTTTCGATAGAAAATAACTTACCGATCATCCTCTTTGAAATATTATGAATAATTCTAATTTTCCAAATAAATTTGATAATCATCTATCTCGAGTCATTTAATCGTTTAAAGACCAATATTTCCCAAAGCTTACAAACAACCATTTGAAAAATCTATAACAATTTTATAAAGCTTGTTCAAAAGTTGTTTAAAATGTAAACAACTAATCAATTCAATTTAATTGAAATATATCATAATTTGTAGTATAATAATTAAGCTAGTTTGAGATATTGACCAATAAAATGAATAATGAATCATATTGCCTTACTGTACTAGTTTTTGTTGAAAAGGATAAGGGTTATTTATAGTTATAATAGGGAACAAAGTAAACTTTACTTCTTCTTTGAACGAATCCTCCTTTACTGATATAGGAATTACTCTAAAAACCATGTAAAACGAGTTTAGTCGTTATAAATTTTAATTATAACTTACCTGTTATCCACATTCTTATAAAAATTCCATCTTGATTGTCTTAATAATGAATTGTGTAATAAATATAGAAGAACACTGTGTTAATTATACAATTTAGATCTGGTCAACTATTCTAGGAGTTGTACCGCATAGTTGAGTTATAAGTTATGTATGTTTGTGTTTTATAAACCATAGATATGTTGATGAGGTAGATTGATGTTATATGAATATATTGAAAAAATATGAAAATAGTATACAGTATTTGCTAATAGGAGTAAAAATAGTTTTTTGATAGATTTATCAGTTCATTAGTTTGATTCTTTTTCCAATAAATTCTATAAAAAATATATGAAAAACATTATTATTATATAGTCCTTAACTAACTAATACAGTATACTATTTAAGAAAAACGTTTAAATGTTATTACAAGTAATGCAGTTGATCTTTTCCAAATATGTACAAGAGCTTAAATAAGTCAGAATAAAATTTTGCCTATTTCCACTACTGAATTCGCACAATTTCAAGAGACTATTGAATGTAAAAGATCTATTGGATTAGAAATATTACATTTAGTCTTTATATATTAATTTATAAGAAGAATGGCATACTTGCAATTTAATAACTCATTACATATTTCCATACATTCATCTCTTACATGAGGGGTTGAAGGTAGGTTAGGAGGGTGAATTTTTAGTAGTACGGTATACTTATTGGATACTTCATCATAGGTACATTCTTTAAATAGTATAAATATATAGGTATATTTATATCGTTCTCTTAACAATAGAAAATGTTAGCTTTGATATTATCTTTTAATATTCACCTGTCACTCCAGATATCATAGAAATTTTCCAAAAAATACATAAAATGCTGATGATAGCGTACAGCAACATGATCACGACCTTCAATGTTGGAGAATGACATCCATTCAGACATTTTTATAGATTCTTATCCAACAACATAGTAATATTCCGTTGATAAAAAGATTATCAATAAAACTGAGACAAAATACTTGATTGATATTTACTGATTTTTTAAAAGTTTTCCGATTAATACTATTGAACCTATTCCGTATTATATCGTTTAAGATTTAAGATGGTGCTTGTGAACGAACCTAAATTGTTATTAAATTCTATGTTAAAGGATAAATATTATCATTTATATAATTATACTTATTAGGTCAAAAAGAAAGATTAACAACTTAATCTACTATATTAATAATGTTAGAATGTATATATTGTATTATATACAACATGAAAATCATTATTTATAAGATTCTATTATTACTATTGATTGATAATTCTTCGATAGTAAACTTCATGTTATGTTTGTCATAATCACGCGTGTAACATAATTAATAATCATATAGATTTGGAAAATATCGTTATTCTTAGTTTTCAGTTGAAAAGGAGAAGTGGAAGTAATTGTTTCAAGTCTTTATGGATTTATTAAATTACATATAGCACAAAAGATACCCTCGATATGGGAAATATAATGAATAGAAGATATTTATCAAATACTTCTTAAGGCTGATACAAAGAATTATGAGAAGTTCAAACAACTTGAAAAACTTTCTTAGCCATGAATCATTCAAAAAATCATGAGCTTAGGATTAATCAATTATTCCAAGGTCAAGAAACACCTGCGTGAACATTAAGCCAAGATAGGGATATTTTGTCAATGATAAAACCATTTGGTTAAGTAATACTGCAGAAAATCATTCTGAAAGATCGCATAGGTTAATTTATAGCAGTCTGAGAAGATATTTTCAATAGAGAGAGACAGGATTAAATGAAATCGCAACAATATTGATGCATCTTTGCATGAAGTAATTCTTGATATTTTGAAACGAAAGCTTTTAAAATTATGTTTAGTCATGCTGTGCTTGTCAAAATATGTTCCATATTTAGGGGAAAAGTAGACTAGTACCTTCGTCAAAGTCAAACAATCTTGTGCAAACACTTGTTATTGAAGGACAGAATAATTCGCACAGGCACTTATTTATATAGATATTCATATTTTATTAAACAATATTTTAATTCTTTTTTATAGCTTTAAACTTGAAATTTTGATATAAAACAGTAAATTCTCTATGCAAATGCGACATATTAGATAGAATTAAAGATTCCGAAATAAGCTATTTTTAGACAAAGATCTTATATGATAAAAAGTTGCAAGTAAAAAGGAAATATTACGCCTGTTGGAAGTGAGAATTTGTTGGTTTAATTTCTATCAATATTTAATGAGTTAGTCACTTAGGTCAACACTTTGTGAATAAATGCACATCTAAGCTAAAATAATTATATTCGTGGATCGTGGGACGGCCTTCTAGGCCCTTGTGAGTCATTTTAGGAAATATGTATATATATATGAGGCTAAATCATTTATTTTCAATCAATTTCATAAAGCAAAATGCTCTCTAAAATAACATCTATCCTACTGTTTGGGATATTCAGCGGGAATATCTATGTTTATGCCGGTCCTTCTAACCCTTGTAAAATGAATCCATGTAAGAATGGAGGAACCTGTTCAGAAAATGGTACACCTTGGTATTTTAACTGCGCCTGCCCAGATGGATTTGTAGGCACTCAATGCGAAGAATATGCAACTGATAAGTGTACTACTTCAAATTTTTGCATGAACGGAGGTTTGTATTGTCTTCTCTAGTTTATTAATGAATATAAACAAGATTTTATCTTAAAGGTCGATGCTCTAGCTACAAAACTAGTACATTTGGTAGATCTAGTGGAGGGTATAGAGTAAGCTGTTATTGCCCGTCGAACTATTTCGGAGATCGTTGCGAGAAAAAGCATCCTTGCCTAAGGAATGTTTGCCAAAACGGAGGTAAGATAAATAATGATTTTCTAGTAAATACTATAAAGAAGCCTCTATACTACAGCAAAATGTGTCAAGAAATATTATTATAATCCAAAAGATGAATCAGGAATGTATGAATGTATTTGCAAAAAAGGATTTGAGGGTAAAAATTGTAATCTCCCAACTACTGCAATATGCGAAAACAATCCTTGCAAAAATGAAGGTATGAATATTGATAAAATAACTAAATTATAATTCATCTTCTTTTCCCTTTTTCCTCACTTCCTGTTACAAATTTAGGATTATGCTATCAATATAGAAATATAACTACTAAAATAAGTGATTATATATGCGACTGTCCCGAAGGAAGGATAGGAAAAAATTGCGATGATGTCACTGTAGATCCATGCGAAAGTAATCCTTGTAAAAATAATGGTAAATTATAGAAATTTATTCCTTATAGGTGTTTAAAATATTCATTAAACTTTTAAAGGTGTCTGCGAAGCTTATGATGACGATAAATTCTTCTGCAAATGCCCTGATACTGCCTACGGAGATAGATGTGAACACATTAGTCCTTGTGTGAAAAATTATTGCAATGGAAATGGTTAATTATAAAATTCTTATACGTCAATAGCTTATAGTTTTATTATTTCTTTCTAGGATTCTGTATTCCGCCGTTTGTTCAGCTTTCAAAGTATTCTCAACAGGATAAACCGATATGTCACTGTTATGCTCAATACAAAGGAGAGAGATGCGAACATAAAGATCCCTGCTTTGAGAGCAATCCATGCAAAAACGGAGGTAGACTTGATATTTTTAATTATGATATCCCTTAGTAAAACCTTGTACAACATTCAACAGGAATTTGCATGTCGAAAGCTAATTACACCTATACCCCTCACGGACAAGTATTTAATGGATTTTTAAAGCCTACTTGTAACTGTCTACCTATTTTTACTGGAGCAACTTGTGAGATTAAGAGTCCATGTTTAACAGAAAATCCATGCAAAAATGATGCCCAATGTATATCAAGAAAGAGTTATTATGGACCTAACCGTGAACAAAAGTTCTACAAACCAAGTTGTTCATGTACCCTCGACTACGAAGGACAATATTGCAATATCAAAAAATTCGATCCATGCGAGGAAAACCTATGTGAAAATGGAGGTAAAGTTAATATTTCAATGTTGTATTTCCTTTTTTCTATGAATTGATCTTGTATAACAGCAACTTGTACTCCACAAAAGTACAATCCAAGAGCTTATGATTGCATTTGTTCTCAAAAGTTTACTGGAAAAATGTGTGAAAATCAGATATCTAAATTTACAATTTTAAGCCTTGATTTCGAAAAACAAAGCTCTGATTATACTGTTGAAGCGTCAACTGCCTACAAATGGTTAATTACAAGAGGTCCAACAAGAAGTCCAGCAACTGGGCCATCTAGAGCTCATGGAGGAATCAAATATATATATACTGAAGCATCATCACCGGCTAAACAAGGAGATATAACTAAAATAATAACGAAAGTTTTCGAACCAGAAGGAGGAGCTTGCCTTTCTTTCTATTATCATATGTTAGGTACGGGAATTGGTTCACTGAAAGTTGTATTTGAAGATACAACTGGAAATACTTTGAAACAATGGTCGGTGAATGGTTCACAAGGAAATTATTGGAACAAGATATCCATGGATGCTGGATCAGGAGAACAGCGTATTGTTTTTATTGCAACGAGAGGTTCATCTTGGTCTGGCGATATAGCACTAGACGACATAAAATTAACAAATGAAAATTGCGAAACAGATACTGAAGAACAGTAATGTAAATTATAAACCAGACTACAATTTTGACCGAACTCAGCAAGATTTTACTCATCTCTTTAGAAATAATAGTTGCTTTTAAAATTCCAATAAACCCTCTAGATTCTCGAATGAATAATACGCCATATTAGAAAACAGTTTTTCATTAAGCATACAATAAAGAAGAAAGACATTGAATATGTTATACAGTAGTTTCATACGGTCTTATTCAATCTATTAGCTATAAGGAAAACTGACAAGTAATGATAAAGAGTAGAGCTACTTATAAACGAAATTAATTGTTGCTATATTTATGAATTTTGTATTTATACTTCAACAGAAGAATTCAATAAAACTCTATAAGCCAAGTTGAAAAGAAATAAGTAACGTTTAATAAATTGTTGTATTTGCTTTTTAATAGGTTTTTCTGTTCATTCAATTCAAAAAATTATTGGGTCAGTTCAACGATCTGAAAATTAAGACATATAAAGGTGTATGAGAGAAAACGTCTAATATTTTGGAGTTTTACCCTAACCCTCAGTTTAACTCTAACTTTACATGAAATGAAACTTGAACATATTGCGACGTTTTCTCCCAAAATCTTTCTTGTTTTGTTATAAATACGAGAAAAATATTGAATGTTTTTGAATAGAAAGACAAAACAGCAATCAGAAATTTTATGTTCAACAGTAAACGTTGTTTGTCATTCGTGTCTTCTTTATTTCACCGTCCGAATTAGTACTTTCCATCTTTCTACGTCGATTACTTGAATATAATACATGAGGTACTGAGGTATTAAAGCCTTTTACTGTTAAAGATTTCATATCGTCTCTAAACAAGTAGAGGGCGTTAAATATTTCATTTAAATCAGATTGAACAAGGGGATTTTCACTCAAGTTGAGGCAAATAAGTAAATGAAGATTTTTAATTGTATTGATTAACTTCTTAGCCAAATCATGGTTTAGATTACAACCTTGTAAATCTAAATATTGGAGATTTCTTCCAGATGTATTGATAGCGTCTAAAATGTTGTCAAAGTTCATATCAGTACAATTATTTTCCATTAAATTCAATATTTGAAGATTGCTAGAATGACGTAAAAGACACGGAAGATAATTAGATCCTTCTTTATTTAATGCACAATCTTGTAATTCTAAACGTTTAAGATTAATATGAGATTGAATTAAAGCCTGAAATAGTTTATTCCAACCGTATCTTATATTTTTATTCTTATTGAATATTATTATCTCTAATGAAGTTAATGACCTAATTGTTAAACTCAATTCATTAGCCGAATAATCGTTTAAATTGCAATTTTCCAAATTTAAATGTACCAGATTATTACCAGAGATAGTTAACGCTTGAAAGATATTGGAGCATCTATTTTCTGATAGATTATTTCCACTAATATTCAACTTTTTCAAGTAAAAATTTAGCTCAATAGCCTTTCTAAATTGAAAATCTTGATTAGGTTGTATATTTATATTACTTAGATTTAGGTTCGTGATACTTTTACCCGAATTTTCCAAAGTTTTGAAAATATTAATCAATCCGTCATTCATACAATCATTATTATTTATATCTATTGTTTCAAGGGAACGCAGCATCTTAATAGCCAAACTTAGCATATCAGCTTGATGTTGATCAATATTACAATTTCTTAGATTTAAATATTTCAAATTTCTGCAATTTATATATAAAGATTTCAATATAATATTTAAGCCTTTTTCCATATTACAATTTCCTGCCAAATTGAATGTATCCAATGATTTTAAGTAGGTCATATTGTTGCTCAGTATTTCACATTGACTAAAATTTAAGTTACATTTTTTTAAATTCAAATATTCTAGACAATTTCCAGATATACTTAAAGATTTAATAATTTCATTCATTCCATTTTCCATATTGAAATTGCCTTTAAGATTTAATAATCGTAGACAATATGCTGATTTTAATGTATTAGACAAAATAAATCCATGATACTCTTTCAAATCGCAGTTCTCTAAGCTTAAACTCGTTAGATTGTTAGCAAAAACATGTATTGAATTTAAAATGCAAGTCATTCCAGTCGCCGTTTGATTATTGTAAGATAAATTTAGAATTTCCAATGATTTTATTGATTTTAACGAATTCCCAAATGATATTGCTTGCTCTTCGCTTATGTTACATTTTTCAAGATTGAAATTCTTTGAACAATCATTTAAAACTGATTCAAATGCTCGGAAGATACTATTGAATCCATTTTCCATAGTTTCGTTACATTTTAGATTTAAGTGTTCAAAACGGTGTAAATATTGAATTGAATAAGCTAAATTCTCTGCTTGATTAGGATTTAGAGAGCATTCTTGCAAATTTAGACATTTTAAAGTCTTTCCAACATGTATCAATGATTTGAAAATATCGTTCAATCCTTCATTCATCTGTCTATTGCCTCTTAAGTTTAAAGTTTGTAGCGAAACGAACGATACTAGTACATTACTTAACAAAGTCGCATTTTTCTCTTTCAAGTTAATATAATCAAAGTTTAATATAGTTAGTTTACTTGAACATTGAGAAAATGATTCTAAAATATCCTTAAAGCCTATTTCCAGGCAAGGATTCTGTTGTAAATTTAAAGTATTGAGATTACTCATATTCGTTAGAATATTTCCCAATTTATGAGCTTGATAGGAGTTTAGTTGACAATTCATTAGATTTAAAGTTTTCAAATATTGCCCCAAATGTAGAATTGAATCGAAAATATAATTAATTCCATAGTCCATTCTATAATTTCCCTTTAAATTTAATGTTTCGAGAAACATACAAGACTTTAACGTATCTCCTAAACTTCTAGCTTGAAAAGGATTAACGTCGCAATCTTCTAGAATTAAATGTTTTAGAGAATATTTAGATTTACAGAGAGATTCTAAAATATCGTTGAAGCCTTCATTCATTTGTCGATTTCCAGTAAAATCGATTTTTTCCAAATTAGAACATTTCTTTAATAATTTGGCAAGTTCAATTGCAGAATTTTCGAATAAATTATTGCCAATAATTTCAATGCAAGATAGATTTTTGAATGAATTCATTAATGAATTGAATATAAATCGATATCCTGCTGCTGAAGTATTGTTTCCGAAAAATCTTATCGTCTTTATACAATTACAATTACTAATATATTTAGTTATCATTTGCAGTTCATGATCGTAAATTTTACAATTTTCCAGAGTGACGTTAACTCGATCATTCACTTTATGATAACTCTCTATGTATAGAGTTTTAAAATAATAACAATCAATCTTACTATCCTCTCCAATTGGTAAAGATTGTAGAAAATGGCAATTTTCCAATTGCATAACCTTTAAATTTTGACAATATTGTAAAAGAGATATAATAAATGTATCACAATTGTAGAAACTTTTAGTAGAAAAGGTTAAAGATTGAACAGATTTCATATGACTTAGAAATTCAAGTAAATGTTCAAATTTATAATTATTATTGAATAGTCTCTTTGGATAAATAATGGACATATTTTTAATTTTATCAGAGTATTTTGTTAAATATATAAAGAATTTTTCATAATTTAATTCAATATTATCCAAAAATATATGCTCCAAACTATTTTTAACTGCTTTTAATAATAGAATCAGAATGATATCGTTAATAGTTTCATCCTTTAATATTAATGAATTTTCATTACTAGTTAATTGATTTTGTAGGATTTTCTTAATAGTTTTACTACAAGAATATAAATCGTGAATTTGTGATGATTTTAAAATTTCTTCCAACAAGTACTTATTCTCCATTCCTACAAATCCAAGAACGTTTGAAAATACTTGAACTTTTTTATCTTTTTTCAATCTATTTATTAAACGCGAAGCGATTTGACAATCGCTACAATCGTCCGTAAATATTCTATGCTGGCGAATAAGGAATTTAGCGGCAAAGAACTCTTGAAAGGATGAATGAATAAATTTTATAGCCATTATCTTTGAATTGGAATTCGTATTTGGAAGAATTTGAAAGAAATTACCCAAACATAGTTTCAAATTACATATATTTACTGTTTCTGTACATATTGTATTGATTTCTTCACCCAACTGTTCAAAACAAATTCTAAAGATGTATTCCATTGTAATCTCGTTATCTTTCGAATTGATATTATCTTTCACTTGAAAATATGATATTAAATTATGATAGAATACTGAAATAACGCAATTCCAAAGTTGTTTATTATTTATCCAAACAATAAACATCATTAAGGCTAATGATGGAATAGAACTTAATTTATTTAGAAATACGTGTTGTTTTAAAACTGAATCGACAAATTCATTTGAAATGTCATTATTGGAGAAATATTTAACTAAAATATACTTTAGATGTTGACTATTCCAACCATTAAGTTGAAAGGTAATGTCGAAAGTTTGTAAATAATCGTTTACTTTCCATTCTCTTGACCATACAATCGTTTTTAATTCGTCGAAAGGTTTCTCAATTATACTCTTTATCTTTGAATCTTTATCATTAAATTCATCTGCTCCGTCTAATAATAAGATAATATCTCGTTTTCTTTCGACGAAAAACGAAATGATAATTTCTTTTGTCATCCATTTGATATTATTGAAATTCTGTTCCAAAATGGCGTCATAGATATCTTGGCCTTCTTTTAAATCTTTCAGAACAAGTTGAATCAATAAATTGTCAACAATATGCGTCCATTTATCATTCGCCCAACTGTGTAAAATGTATCTAAATTGAGTAGTTTTTCCAACCGCTGAATTGCTGCTTTTAACCAAAACCTTTTTAAATTCTAAACTTAAAAGCTGTTCAAAATTATCAAATGTCCATAATAATGAGTTTTCCTCCTCCGTCAGTAAAGACTTGTCCTTTAAATCAACAATTTCAATAGAAGAATTAATATCAGAATACGATAATATTATAGTATTTTCAAGTTGAAGATTATCTATTACGAATTTATTGTCCCGCTTTTCCTGTTTCGATAGTCTAATAAGAGTTTTCCATATAGCCGATTGATTTTGCAGTGAATTAACAAGACTAATAGAAGAAAACAGTGCAAAGTTATTTAAAGTAGAAATTAAAAACTGTAATGATTGTTTTGAGAGTATAGAAATCAGCTCTTCTACTGTATTACACTGATCATCGTTAAAACGTATTTTGAACTGTTCCAGTTGTACTTTATTTAGGATACTTGCATTATTAAGATTCAAACAAGTTTGTATAAACATATCATAATTTGAGAAAAAATTGACTATATCATATTTATGATATTCGAATGTTAATCTCTCTATACAATTCATTTTAATTGTTTTTAATCTAAACACAAAATTATCATAATTTGAATATTGTAATAACATTATTAATATATTGAAAATTAGTGTTAAACTTACATTTCTCCCTTTTAAATTGGATTCCGTAGATGATTTTATACTTATAAGCTGTTACAGGAAATGGTAAGTCTTTATACTCTCTCTATATTCTTTTATATTATAAATAGAAAAGTAGCCCTAGCCGACAGTAAAAAAAAACTAACTTTCTATAATATGTTGAATATAAAAACTATTGAGGAAAGCTGCCTTGCTTCCTGGAAGTGTGCTTAACAGTTTAATATATATATATATATATAAAGATATGCCGTGTACAGTATTAAAGCCAGACTGGACTTCTGAAAGAGGAAGTACATTGGTGAATATTCTGTTTTTTTTGTTGAATTTTTTATTCAATTCAACATCTTGAATAGAGTAGGCAGTGCAATAAGCCTTTTGTTCATTTGAATTGCAAAAGAATACACCCAATGAGTACAAATATGTATATCTCGTTGTGCACTTTCCATAGAAGAATTGTTGAAAAGTTATGATAGATGACGGCATAATTTCTACAATCTAGCTATTAGTTTAATAAGTTCTGTTATTATCTCTTATAACGATGAACTGTTTATAGAAAGGTATGAATATCTAGCTCTCTATCTATTTGTAGAATTAGGACAAAATGGTTGAAATATTTAAATATTTAAATTCAAATTCGATATATGACTAATACTTAGTCTTTTGTTATTTAAGAAATAGCCTCTCTTAATAAATAATATTTCAATGGTTAATTTAAAAAAGTACTATAGCAACTCTTTCTATAAGAAATCTTATGAAAAACGCTTGTTGCTATCAAAAATAACAATTGATTTAAAATATTGTAGGGGAAATACCATTTTCCTACAACCAATTCTTTTTCAATAATATTCTAAATAAGCCTATTTACTTTTTTTAAACAAAATATACCTGTCTCATATAGTAAACAATCACAGGGGCACCTTCTCCTTCTATTGAATTATGCTACTATTTTTATATTAGAACTTTGATTCCCGGAAGTTTTCAACAACTTTGCTTTTCAAAATAGAAGTATACAAGCTTGGGTTGTTAAATTTTTTAATAGAAAGAGAATTGTCCGAAAATGAGTGAAAATTCAAAATTAATATTCAAAATAAATTCTTTATTACGGTATTAAATATATGAAAAAATATAACTCTAATCAATATTAATAATTGTAATAATTAATAAATTATCTTTATTAATTCAAGTACCGCACATAAAATCAACTTGTGTTCTAAAATTACATTGTACATATGTGCAATGTCCACAATTTAATGAACGTAAGCAGAGGATGATTGAAAAAGTATTAAAACAATCCTAACTCTATTATTTATACTTTGATGTTTATTCTTCCATTATTGAATTATTTTAGAATATATTCAGCATTTTTCAAACGTTTTACGTAAGTAATTTGTCGTTGTTACCGTTAATATCTTGTAAATAATCATTTCTTATCTTAATTAAGTCTTATAGGCCTATAAAGTGTAGCAAACAATTTTTTTATGCTCTATTGGTATTTAAAATCTTTAAATAAATAGTTTTATTGAATTTAGTATGATTTTGTAAATAATTCTACTATTCTTTCTTTTACTTTTAGACAAAAAAAAAACTTTGCAAAAAGAAAAGAAAATGAAAAACCTAAAAGATTTGGTGTTATCTTTTATATTGGAAAATCAAAGAGAAGTATTAATTGCTTATTGTAATTCTCCATTGGCTTTGCCTCATTATACATCGGAATTATTAATTAAACATATACATTCGAAAGCTAATTATCTTTTTGAAAATTTTATCTTATTCATTCTAAAGAGAAGTCAACTCAGTCATGTGGAAATTTTTCAAGATGATATTGATTTCTATTCAGATATAGAATTTTTAAAAAATTCTTCAATTCAATCTCTAACTGTTCATTCAACTAAAAAGTCAATTATCGATATTCTTGAATGTTTAAAAGAGAAGAGAAGTCTAGTATCGTTGAATATAAGTGGATGTAGAATTAGTAAAGAAGTTTTTCAAACGTTAAATCGTTTTAATAAACTTACAACATTTTGTGTGGCGTATTCAAATTTTGATAATAAATGCCTTCATCAAGTAACCGTTCAATTAACTTTACTACAAAATCTAGATATTTCATATACAAAAGTTAATTCATTAAAAACAATAAATCTATTGAAAAATTTGAATATATTAATATTCAATTGTGAATTATTGGAATTTGATGAAACTGATTTATATCAACTTAGATATTTAGAACATTTAAAAAAGATTATTCTACCTTGTTTACCTATTAAAAAACCGGAAGAGAATTCAATTTGGATAGATTTTTTCAATAATTCAAAATGGGATAATCTTAATATCTTTTCAATTGAAGGTAGTTTTTATATAGAATTTGGGATTATAAGGTTTCTGACTTTTCATATATATAATATATATATAAACATACAGTTTATACAGTATACAGTATTATCTTATACGTTTGAAACTTATTGGTTATTTACAGAGATTTCGTATTAAAGCATCCATTATTAAAATATGCTAGAATATGTTACATTGACTCTGAAAAAGATGAATTAACAAATTTTCCAGATAATCTATTTCCTAAATCTGCAAAGGTACAGTTCCTTTTATATATACTCCAACCCCACCTAATTTAATAATGTTTCAGTACATGAGAGCAAAGAGTATAACCTCTCAACTGCAATATTTTGCCTCGTTGGATGAATATGTAAATGATTGCGACGAACTCTTACAAATGCTCTGCTCAATGATAGCTACATTAAAGTTATCAGACTTGTCTACATTGTTTGATGACTATTCTAAAGATATGGACACCCTATTAAAGGTGATTTATTCGCGAATTTATAGATTTTTGATACTCTATATATATATATATATATATAATGCATCGTTTTAAAGATAATCTTACTACGAATTGGATCGCAAGAAAATGCTCTTGAAAGTAAACTTATTGATATGCACGATTATACGAAATTTACCAAGATTTTACCTCTATTGGAAAGAATGGCAGCGTTTCAAGGACAGGAGGATAAATGGCTCTATATTATTCGATTTTATATTAAAATTCTTCGAAAATGCCCTTTTCAGTATAAAGAATGTATGAAATATCATTATCGAGATTATTGTTTAGGACTTATAAATCTATGCCAATTTATTGACTCGAAATATTACGTAATTGGTTCAGTAAGTATAAAAAATATATTGATTTTCGTCATTAATAATAATAAATCAATTAGGCGGCGGAGAAAAATGAAATTGGACTTTTCTTAATAAAACATATAAGATCTAATAGTTTAGTATATAAACTCTTTCATAGAATTTATGACGATACTGGATTTAGAATGGTAGTATTTTTGAATAATTCATTCATTCAAAAATCATGTTAATTATATCAAAAAAATTAGTTAAAGTACGAAGAATTAGTACAAATAGAAGATTTTATATCAAATTGGATAAATGATAAATACTGTACTGAATTTGAACTATGCTTTATGGCTGTTATTATATCAATATTTAATAATAATAGATGGCATTTTAATTTTGCAACAAGCGAATGGATGATTAATATATTATTACCTAATCCTCAAAAATATCAGTATGCTTGCCGGGCCGTAATGTGGAGTAAGTGCTCTAGATAGTTTAATTAATTACAATTACCTATTTCTGATGGGGTTTTTTTGTAGATAAAAGACACTTGAAATTATGTTTATTTCAATGTTCAAGCTTTCTGAATTGTCAAGCATCTTAAAAATATAATAAAAAGATTTTTTTTATATCAATTAATTTGATCTAAGCAGTAAAGAAACGCGATAAAAGTCTAACGATCGCTTGTTCTGTAGACAAGACAACTAAATTAATAAATAACACTTTTAATATATAACCATATAACGTTACCCGTTACCTATATAGGACTACATCTATTATTGCGTGGTATTAAATATTCAATTTCAACGGAAATAGGTATTTGTTGCTATTGTCTTTTCTATAAGAGACACAATATATAATCTATTTCAATAGCAAAGGATATCAATAATGTACTCTACTTTTTTAAATAAGAACTTTGGTATTTCCAATCTTAAGTAAGAAAGAATTCTCTATAAAACAATCTGCAAGTAATATTTTCAATACAAAACATGATATTGTTTAGCACAAGTTCATTTTTGAGTTCACGATTTGAAAGTTTGTCTGATAAGTTGACTCTGTTGCGATAGTGAAATTAACCGGCATAGTTAAATACGTTGAAACTTCTGATAAGAAACACTTGCGTTCATCTTTAAGATATGTAGCAGTTTCACATTTAGGTAGATTTATACAGTTTTTATAACAATTAAGAAAATTCGTAACATTTGATATCGATGCCATCAGCAAAGGTTCTATTAATTTGTTGTTCTTTTCTTGAAAAAAGTTTGCCACTGCATCAATAAACATTAATAAGAGATAAAGATGTAAAAAAACATAATTTATTAAAGAGTATTGAAATCCTTTTATAAAGTGTTACCTTGTTGATTGATATTGTCTTTTACAACAATGTAAAAATTGCACAATGCCATACTATTCATTGACGAATTTATCCATATTGATTTTACTGTTATAACAGAGAAACATTGAATAAAGAATCTTGTGTTTTGAACGAGACTTATGTATTGGTCCAAAAATGAACATTCAATTTTTTCTTTACCGGTTAGACCGTTAAACGTTATTTTATTACCAAGTAGGGATGAATTTGTGTCAAATCCAAAACCGTATATTTCATAGAAATTATCAAATTGAATTAAAATATTTGACGCTTGTATTAAGCATGTATTTTCATAGGGCGTCACTATATTGTTGAGGTTAATCATCTTCGTCGGATATCTTATCGTATTCTTAACTAAAAAGAAGGAATAAAGGATTGATGATAGTTAAATAGTATAATTATAATGATCATACAAGATTTCTCTTCAGATGTAAGATTTCTTCCAAATACTAGTACTTCGCATACTGTTATTATTCGAGAACCATTACTCCTGTATAAAGATATTCTATCTCCAATTAAAGAACAATCAAAGTATAGAGTATAACTTTTCGACCAGCTATAATAGTTTGAAAGACCACAAATTTGTCTCTCTGGATCTCTTGAAATCAATTCTACAGATACTAAACAATCGCTGAAACCATCTTTAATGAAAAATTAATTAGACTATCTAATGAGAAACGTAAAAAGAAAGATATTTCATACCATCTTCACGAAATGGATAAACGACAACTTGTTCTACTTTGTAAGTATTTTGAAGGTAGATTGAAAATCTACTTTCTAAATTATGTTGGATTCCGGCACAAGTAAAATATGTTATTTTTGCATTGTAATTAATACGCCTTCCATCTATTATCTTTATAGGATATCCACCACGTATATCACTTTTGTGGAGTATATCTTCAGTGTTCGAAATGACCTTTGTTAATTGAATCTTCTGGAACTTTTCTTCAATAATTTTCGTTCCGTATGCTTCAACAACAGCCATTGATACTATCGATACACCTTGATAATACCATATTAAGAATCTCCCTATTGGATTAGGAGTTTCACATTTATACATATGGAATGTACGCCATGACATTTTATGAATATTCTTGTAGCATTTTCCTTTATTCATGACATCGACATCATTGAAAACTGTTGAATTTGATACAGATATGTATAGATTCTTACACTTTTCATTATCTGACAAAATATTGAATAAAGTATATTATTCTTTTATTAATTACATTGAAAATTTATTAACTTATATTTGAATTTAAGATTGATACACTCTCAATTTCATATAATGCTTCAAGATCAAAGTATATCCACGCATTGCTAATTTCATTTCTGATGGGAAAACTGTTATGACCATAATCCAACATTTTATGAATGCCTATTTCCTTATTGGACCAGAAAAGTTTATTTTTAAGTATATCTACAGAGTTTTCTGCTTTAAAAATTGTAAACATAATAGTAATTATTAACTATATCGTTAACTTTGTTATTTAACTTACAGGGTTTGTCAACGTAATCACCATAAACTTCTATTGAAGTTATATTTACTTCTGCTACTGCTTCGCTAGCTCTTTTTTCAAGAATAACAAATTGACCCTCAATACCTCCGCCTTGACAGAGAACAGTAGTGCCATACAAGCGAATAGAGCTTATTGGAAGATAATCACACACTTTCTTACTAATATTTGACCAAGTTTTAATTGGATTCTCATTCGATATACTTATTTGACCACCGTTTGAGACATAATCGTATAAATCAACTGCGTATACCTTAAACTTGGCTTCTAGATTAATTAAAACGAATTTGTTTTGATCTAGTTTCTTGAAGGCTTTCTTATTTCTATCGAGTCTATTAAAATGGGCCATATATTTACCGTTTAAAGTATGCCAAATTGGTTTAAAATATGCAAGATTATCTGAAAAATATTTATAGAAATATTTAAATATGCCAAATATTTCTCTTATAAGGAGAAATAAGGTAAAACTATACCAAAATAGGCCTCAATTTCACATATATATAGACTACTTGAATCGGTTGATCTAACATACACGTTGTCATAAGCGTTGATTGTTTTTAAGCAGAATATTTCAGTAAACGTTCCATTTTTTAGAATAACGTTATTCTGGCAAACATTTGAAGAAGAGCCAGTCCATATATTTACTGTTTGAACGTCTTTTAAAATGAAAAGAAGTAAAAAAAAAAGAAAAATAAAAATTGATTAGGATTATCAGATTATCGAGTAAACATTTAAAAGTAATACTTAAGGTAAAAGGTGTCCAAATGACTACTTTTCTTATATAAAGTCTTGGCGAATACACCTTAATTTCTACGTTAGCCGCTATATGAGAACATCCACCCAGAGAAATGTCTGGTATTTTAATTCCGTCCGTTAAATGAGCAACAGATAATAGAGTATTCTCATTTGCCATAGTCATGGTTGGTTCTACTCCGTATAGGATATTTATATCTGAAGTTGAAGTTATACCAAAGCATTCTATTCTATTTTTTAAAAAGTTATGAACGTGAGCTTTTGAAGAGTTAAACAAATTTTTCATTTTATCAGACGCTTCTAAGATTGTCATAGACCTCCAAGTCACATTAGGAGTAAATACACTTTCCTTACATCCGGCGTTTGTCCATAAAACTCTTAAACAGTCGTCATTAGGTTGTAAAGAGTCATTATTACCACATATCTCGGTTACATTATCTAAAAAGGAGAAGTTTTCCTTGGAAACTATTTATCAATAATACTAATACTTACAAGAATTTAATATAGAGATCTGAACGAAAAATATCACAAAGAAACTGCTACTAATCATATTGACAGTTCGAAAGTAAAACAGTTAGTGGAATGGCCAATATTCTGTTAAGACAGTTAAAAAAAGTCAATATAAATAAATGAATTAAGAATTATTCAACATTTTATTCAAGGAGAATATTACAGAATCAGCTATTAAAAACAATGCAAATATGTATACTGTATATTCTATGTATAACAAATATTTCAAACATTCATTTTCATTCTTCCTATTATTAAGAGATACATGAAAATGCCATAATAATCTACTAATCTACTCTTTTAAATAGAAGAAAACTATACAGATTCCGAAAATTTATTATACATCCTTCAAAATGGAGAAGCTCTCTTTAATTTATAGAATAATTTATATGCAATATATTCAATAGATCCAATAGATTTTTACGTGATTACAGTATAATTATGACGTTTAGTAGTAGTATTATATTATTTACTTAATACAATTCATAATTAATCGACATTATCTAAGAGAGTTGAAGAGTTTTCTCTTATCGACATAAAAATATCTATATTTTGATATATTGTATATATTGAGAGAAACAATTCGGTTTTCAGATGGTAGTTAGTTATAAAAAAAGGCGTCTATTAGAAAAAAAAGTGGATTAACAGATAAAATATTCAATAATACATTAAAATATCTGTTAATTGATATAAAATCTCATTTAGGATATTTCTTACATAGAATATGAGAATAATTCAGGAAAAATCTTTCTAAACAGAAGAGAAATCTAAGCTAACAAACTAAAAACTATTATCAATGAACTCTTTTAACTAACTGATAAATAACTTAGATAATAACAATAAGAAATTATATTTAGTTATATTTATAAAATCTCCTCTGCTTTTCCTTAAAGTTTCATAGCCGATACAAAGACAAACGGTATATAATTCAAATATCACTTAATATTTCAGGCATTTCTCATTAGAGGAAAGTTAATATACAAACCTAGGATAAGTTTTTATGAATATCGTATCAGAAGGTCTAACACTATTAAACTTGCCGAACATGTAAACTAGTCCTAAGTCAAGGATAAGCTTTTTCTGAAGGTAACGGTACCTATAGATCAATATAAAGTGAGCATACTTGATTTTCCATTTAGACAATGGGAACCGTATTAAATGATTTTCAACCAAAAGATTATGCTTATGAATGATTTCTACATTCTATTCAAATTATTAAAAGGCAAAATAGATTTAATAGATTTTTTCTCAGAATTCTCATACATTTTGACCTCAAAATATTTTCACCAATAATTTATGACTTAGGCCTATAGTATTTTAGAGAAATCTTAATCGATTTCAAAAGTTAAATTTGACGTTACTCGGGCGAATCCCATACTTTTACTAAGATACATGTTTGTTTCTTTCCTGTTAATCTTGTGGTCTAGGATTAATAAAAAAAGGGTTAGGCCTATATTTTATCTATGTTTGCTATGGTCAATTATTAATTTTTAAGAGTTTTAGACTAAATAACAAACAAGTAAAAATAAAAAAGTTATATTGAGATATTGAACTTTCTTTTCAAAAATGAATTTTTACTGGTTTTGTTAGTAAACAGAATTAAACATCCATTTAGCGTGTCCGTGATAGTATAGTGGTGAGTATCCCTGACTGTCACTCAGGAGACCGGGGTTCGATTCCCCGTCACGGAGATTCTTTTTTTTTCTTTTTAATTTATATGAAATGACTTACGTCTTTATCTTTTTTTTATGTATAGGTTTGATTTATTGGTTCTTTTTTTTACCTTTTTCATCAGTTAAAGTAGAACTTTAATTCTTGAACAAAATACTTTTGTAAATAAAAATGAAGATTTATTTCAAGTTTACATATCGGCCGGAATAGCTCAGTTGGGAGAGCGTTAGACTGAAGATCTAAAGGTCCCTGGTTCAATCCCGGGTTCCGGCAGTGGATCACTTTTTTTTTTTTAATAGTAATCATTTTTAATCCCTTTTCTCAAGGTAATTAACTTAATTATCAAAATTTATAACTAGTCAAGCTATGTCCATCACAATTAATTCAGAATATCCAAATTGAACAAATTCATCAATTATTATATATTTAGGCTATGATTATCAAAGTATCTTTTTACTTTTAACTGTTAAATAGTTGAAAGAAATTGATCTAATAAAAACAGATGTAATCTACTCATCTATTTTAAACTAAGAAAGAAATCTATAATCTTATTATTATGAAGTTGATGAGCAAATTGTTCAAAGTGTAAGCTTCATATTTAATTTTAGTTATTACAAATTATTCAATAACTATAATATAGCTCTAATTCAGATAATTAATATTCAAATTTATTACACTTCTCCACTTCAAAGAGTTTCTCTATTTGTCTAAGTGAAAGTATAGAAATAATAATTAAATATTAAGTACTAATATAGCCAAGTTCTCATTTTATATAATCCCTATATTAAATATGATTATCTCGATATAATGGATTATCGAATTTAAGTAAAACATCCTACAATTATTTGAATTTTATCCATAGATAAATGATCTTCTGTAATATGCTTATTCTATATATATTAGTATAATTGTAATTTTAAAGCTATTAATATGCTATATTAATCAATAATTATGTTTTATGGCGTTAAGCAATATCTATGTAAAATAGCAAATAGCATATATTGAATAGCATGAAAGGCTAGCTGGTATTTGTTGTATAAAATTATATGAAGATAGATTGTGAAACTTTCTCTCTCTCACTCTCTCTCTCCCTCTCTCTGCAAATATATGTCAGCGTTACGGAAAGTGAAAATTGAATGAGAGGAACTTACTTACATGAAATACAATATCAACAATTGTTGAAACGTTGAAAGAACTAAAAACATTCAATAAGTTATTCAATTAAAACAATTTTGCCTATAGATTTATCTTTTATTAGAGGTAAACAAACAAAATTCAAAGTATGCTCCTTAGAAAGAAGTTAATAAACTATTTATTAATTAATTCTTCATTGAAAAAATGAAGTTCTACTTTCAACATACTAATATCATTTTTTAAAACGATAGTTTTGAATATCTGAATTGCTTAATTTACCTTTAGAATTTTAATGTAAATAACTAATAATGACATTGATCATGTCAAAACCTTTGTTGTAAATAATGATAAACTATTAATAGTTAGTGTTTTGTAATAAGCAATTAATAGTTATAGGTTGTAGTCGTCCCACGTTCGTATGCTATTCCATTTAAACTAACGATATGAATAGTGCTATATATATAATATTTTCTCTCTTTTACATAAATTGCACTTCAAGCTCAGGTAAGTACAAAATTTAAGAAATCGTTATCTGTTTGTTTCTTTGTTTACGATAGCTTGTAAAGCAAACAAGTATTATTAAAAAGACAATTTAGATATCTCTTTAAAATAGTTATGTAATATCTTATCTTTTTCCGTTCAGACAAGACATGCGTGAATAATAATGATTGTTCCACCGTCGAATATTGCAATGTTGGCTCTTGTAGTTGCAAACCACAATTTACTGGAGATATATGCAGCGACGGTTTGATCTTTTAATACATTTAATTTGTATTGTTACTATCTATTCCCTTCATTTCTTAGATAACGTTCTTTTATTGGAACAAATGCATTATCCTGAATTCTCTATTGAAAAGAAAACTTTTAATGTTATCAATGATTGTTATAATTTTTGTTTAAATGATAGTAGTTGTGTTGCTATGGTAATAAGATATCTTGATTTTCCTGTAAACAATATCTTTGAATGCGATATAAAAAATGCCATTGTGAATGGTTTGACATCAAATTCTCATTATAATACAAGTATATTGAAAGGTTTGTACACATTTTCCGGCTTTACTATTTTTAACCTAATTGATATAAATAGATAAGAAAGATGCTATATGCGGTTTCTCGAATCCTCCTCATGAAGAGTGCTATCGGTTATTGTGGAAAACAGTTGGCTGTAAAGATAGTGCATTTGAAATGGACGGCAATTGGCAAACTAAGAATGTTAATGAAGTTTTAGACGATATGAGAATGTTACATAATTCAGTAAGGATACATATTGATCAGATAAATTACAATACAAATAGAGTAAAATGTTTTGGCTTAACTTCCGTATCGGATAAAAATATTGCTCTTTATCGTTCATCTTCTGGGGTAACACAATCAGGAGATGTTAATAATAGAGCTCACGCAACAGATGGTATAACTTTGCCTGATGCGTCATTAGGTGGATGTCTGCATATTCTTTCAAATTCTTTTATACGTGTAAGTTTCGACTATGAATTGCCTATTAAGAAAGTGATAATTTGGACGCCCTATACGGATTGTATGTTATTTATAGATATATTTTGCTGATCGAAATGTCAATTTTCTTCTCCTCCCTTAGTTATTCAAATTGTAGATGTCGTCGTTTCGGGAGCCCCTAATACTTGTAAAATGGAAGTTGAATTAAATAATGGAACATCAACTGAAGTTGTATGTATGAGTAGCGTTCAAAGGGGAAATTCGGTATACATCCGGCATACGGATAGTAATCCAAGATACATATGTGAAGTAGAAGTTTATGTTGGTTTGTAGAGAATGCTATTTTTAAAATATTACATGATTAATTAACTTTAATAAAGCGTTTTTCAATATAAAATAGATAATTTAAGTTTTAAACGACCAATTGCAACGAATCTTTACAATAAATCATCTATATATATATTAAATCTTCAAAAATATGATCTATACGAAACATACACATTTCAACATGATTCTTGGCTGGCGATAAATCTTGAAAGAAGATATAAGATTTATATAATTGATCTGACAGAATTTCAGATAATACAGAATGATTTAGTGTTAAAGTTGGCGGATGAAAATCCAGCTAAATCGTGGTTGAATGTAAATAAAACGCTATGTGGAAATGTTCAAACAAATCCTGATAGTCTTGGAAAGATAACAACCGTCTGCAAAGACGGTGGTGTTTCTGGTCAATTTGTCATATTGGAACAGAATTCAGTCTTTGAAATAACCTTTAATTTAAGTAGTATTGAAGTATTTGGTGATTATGTTGGTGAACCAGGTATCCATATTATGTATATAGAGATTTTAATACAGTTTCCTCTTTTAAAAATGCCTCTTCATAGTCCAAGATTCAGTTAATATTTTAAAGAGAAAAATGGTTGTATCTTGGGGAAAGATGACCGATATTCTGGTGATAGATGACAATATAAATACTTTTATGGGTGGTACCGGAGAGAGAAACAATTGGATATTAATTGATTTACTAGAGAATTACCAAATCTCTGCATTTGGAGTTATGAACTCTAACAGTACGTTTTTAACTAAAACCTATTTAGAAAATTAATGATAAAGACATTATTATTAATCAGCCTTTATGGGAGTTGAAAAATTTACTGTTTATATGTCCTACGGCTACGAACATTCATCATCCGATTTTAATGATAAAAGCAAAAATTGCGTCACTAATACTGATGATATTTTGTTATATGGATATCGAATTTTTAAATGTGATAATCCTAATCCAATTGGCCGTTCGTTGGTCGTTTATTTCCTTGGTGAACCGTCTATTACTTTTGCTGAAATTGAAGCATATGGAACTGAAATATTAAGTGATAATTTCACCAGATTAAAACTAGTAAAAGTAGACGAAAATTCAGAAATTAAACCGAGTTATTATTATCTTAAATTTCCAATAAAAGTAATTGATGGAAATAACTTCAACTACTTTATAAATAGACTTGAAACATCTTGTACGGAAGTTTTACATTGGCAGGAGAGTAGAATCTCCGTTTATTTGCAATCAACATATAGAATTGAACAAGTAGTAGTAATGATAAGTCAGACTAGTGGTAATTAATTATCATTTAATACTAACTATATTTCATTTTTCTGTTATCATTTACTTTAAGAGGTCTTTAGAAATGTTTTAGTATCGGTTGAACAGAACTCTAGAACTCCCGAAAGGAAAATATGCGGTCAATCTATCGATCAATGGAAGAATAGGCATTCCCTAATACATTTCAACTGTTCCTTAATTGGTGATAAAGTATCATTTTATCGTAGTCATGGAAATCGAAAACTTATTCTTTGCGAAGTTGTTGTTTATGGAAAAAATTTAAATTCACTTGAAAAGAGTATGTTATTAAGTTATTTATTATTTATATATACATCAGTATATAGTACGTGTACATGACAGCTTTTAATACCGTTATATATCCATCTAAAATATTTGATTTAACACATTTACAAACAATAAATCATTTGGAATGTTTGTTGAAAAATTCAAGAGTTTTGATTCAATTTAATGGTCTTTATCGAATGTTAGGATTTGGATTTCAAGTAAACGAAACTTTTCAGGGAGGCGATATAAAAGTCTACGGATTCGATGGTGAATCTAAAATTGAATGTGATATTTGGAAGAAGAATATTGTAATTATTTCAAACACAACACTATTCTTTGAATGCTTTATCAATATGGCAATAAAATCGATTCTAATGGAATCAGACACCAATATTATTCAATTTTGTGATTTTTACATTATTGCACAGAATAAACCATTAAATTTAGGTATGTAATTTAATGAAAACTGTATACAGTATGTTCAAATACCATCATTCTATATGATTTCTTATTCAAAAGAATTTCAATACTCTATGAAAAGAGGAAATATTCAATTCAAAGAAGAACTTGTAACTTCTCTGTCAAATGATAATAATAACTTTTTATCTTGTCTAACTCATTGTAAAACGTTATCAAGTTGCCAAAGTATATCTTATTCGTACGATAGTAAAATTTGTAGATTTTCAGACGTTTCTCTATTTTTTAATATGAGTTATAGTGTGACGTCTTTTACTTCGGAGGAAACTTATATTATGTATCAAATCGCTATGAGGATACCTTCTTGTTAAGAAAGCATTGGAATTTATTCTAAAGATATAAGAATTTCGTCGATTTACAGTATACTTGAATCTTTTTTTAACAGAGATCCTTTTGATCTGACCTATTATTATTAATTAACATATATTTAATGAAATTTTCTTAATTTATTAATATGTACAGTATATGATATTTTAATAAATTTACGAACAAGTTATAAATTATTATGCTTAAAGTTTTATAAATGACTTAAAAAATAGAATTCAATCTATTGTATAAACTGTACACTATACAACTTTCTTGTTCGGTAAACTAAATAAAAAACAGATCGTTACTAAGATATTTTGCTGAGCTATTAGCGTGTCTTTTTTAAAGTGAATTTTTCGCCTAATTATAGAGCATAGTCACATTTAACAATACATATTTCAAAGGAGAGAAGGGTCAATATACTCTTGTCTTTCCTACAGTAATCAGAGTCTTTTTTGTGTTTTTACATATGGATTGATTGCTCACAAATATACATAAAAAATGACATGAGATACATGATAGTTATTAACAATGGACTTGGATATGAAATAAATATAAATGATATATGATTATGCTTATTCTATCAGTGATATAGATATTATTAAATATGTATAATTAACCGGAAATAGCTTTTTTGTATACGCTTCTATTAAATTAATGAAAAGAAAAGGCTTACCTGGATCTAATTTGAACCTTTTACAGGTACTTTTAACACAGTTTCCTTAACTTTTCACTTGCTTTACTCAATTCACTGTGAAGAAAAATTAAGAAAATCATGGATAAAGTCTTACTTTTCCAGTCTTACCTTGACTCAGATAGGCAAAGTTACTGTAGATGACCATTAGAAAAATGACTTGAAGGTTTAGCGAAGATATTTGATTAAATAGAAAAACTAGCCTATTCTTTCGAGAAAACCAAACAACTAAAGTAAACTTGATATTCTGAATGCTGTAAACACTTTCAAATATTCTTTGAAAAATTTTTTTATACACATTAGCAAAGCTTAAGAAAGAAGTAAATCGATTTTCCACTAAATTATTCAGAGTTGGATAGATCTAGTTCAATTACTGAAATCGAATTATATCTTTTACTATAATTTAAAAGGTTTTGAATTACTCCCATACCTTTTTACTATCATTATTTGGCAATAGAATGACTTATATGATGTAGTTCATTGGATGGAATAGCTATCGACATTGGACAAAATAACATTAAAGAATAAATGTTATAAGAGTAATGTGTGTAGATAAACTTGCACAGTTAATGGACTTGTGAATAAAAATTCAATATAAAATATCTAAACATGTGTACTTTATTTACATTAACTTATTTTTCTCATACTAAATATAAAAAACGTGTATCTTATTATTTTCTCTTATAAACTTGCTATTGAAAGAAGTAGTACCTATGATATTAGATAATTAATAAACATATAAATTTATATATATAGCCACATTTCTGTTATTTTCCTCACTTACTATTATGTAATACCCATAAAAATCAAAAGACCTGGAGGGAAAAAAGATACAAAGTCTAAAAAAGTAACCCATCCTTTAGTATATTGAAATAAATTGTTCTGTTGAACCCATTTAAACCTTTCGAATAGATGACTAAACTATTAAAAATAAAAGTAAACCTGTCAAATTGCCACCTTCGCTTCACCTCTATATCATTGAACTATCTTGGAAGTGATTATTATTCATTGAAATTGATTCTGTAATAAATATTCATAATTTATTTGACTTGGTTAATTACCGAAACATTTTTAAAATAGTTTTTTAAGAAGTTTATTGATCTTAATCTACAGTTGAAAGATAAAAATTTCACCAACTTTCGTTTGCATTCATTATCAAAGGAAAGCAACTACTAACTTGATAAAAAGTTTAGAAAATGAACCATAAGAATATGATGATACAATTAAGCATATTTTTAATATATCTTCTCAAATGTCAATGTCTCATTGATGAAATTGATAATATAGTAAAATACCGACCGGCTTATCAGTTTAGTACGAAAAGCGATGACAATTTGGCAATTTTTGCCATAACTGGTAAAGATAATATTCCTATTGAAAAATATTCGTATGATGAAAAATCTCATCTTGGTTGGTGGTTGACTGATTTAGAAGGATTTTATAGAATAACTGAAATATGTATTTGGAACAGTGTATTACCTGGTTACTATTATTAACAACTTTCCCTTTTATCTTTCTAATAAATTGATTAAAATTTCTATCCAAAGTGTTGAGGAATTTTAGAATTTACGCTGAAAAGGCAATGGGCGACCAGTCCAGTTTATGCGTTTCTGTAGTAGTTCAAGTTTTGAAAATGGCTACCCCTAGTTACAAATGTTGGTCTTGTAATTGTCAAGGTAGTATTTTAAGATTGAGGAGTATCGGATATGGTTCTTTAGTAATAACAGATTTAAAAGCAAAAGGAACTTTATTAAAAGAAGCAGGTGAGTTACTATACAATTAAAGGAATTGTAGTTGTAAAAGTGTTGAATAGAAGATGAAATGGATGAAACAAATCTATTTTTAATTCTTTTCAAGATGAACAACTTTTTCTGTTGGATAAAGCTGATATAGAGACAGGAGACGGCAGAATTCTAGATTCAAATATCCTTTCCGATAGACTCTTCGATACTGCAGTAGAAATTTTACCATCAAAATATTATTCTATAATTATTGTAGATATGAAGCAATATTACAATATTAAAACCATTCTATTTGATTTTCCAAAGTGCCCTTGTAATACCATTTAAAAATTCTCATTCTTTAGCCTAAATCGTTATTTTTTGTAGATGTTTTAATCAGGACAATGTCGATTTATATAAAAAATATACCAGATCATTATACTTTCTTCGATGGAGACTGTTTCAAGTCAATGACAATAAAGTGCTTTGAATTTTCGAGGACGCACGTTAGTACAAGAAATGATTATTTTACTGGAAGATACGTAGTTTTTAGATCAATAATTCATCATGTTAGTTTGAATATCTCGAATATCTATATTTATTATAAAACGTCCAAAGAAAATGAGAATGTAAAAGGTTAATTTAACATTTAAGCGTATTAACTATCAATAATTCTTATTGTTGTTTTTATACTTTTCAAGTACCAGTGTTAGTATTTAACAATAACATCAAAAAAATCGAACACAATGGAATTGAATATTCAAATCTAACAGTAAAAGATTCCTTAGCAAGACCTAAAGGGATTATCTCTGTTGAAAAAGACGATTATATAACCATAAAATTTCCAACTATACTAGTAAATTATGTAGTTGTAGAAGGTAATTCAAAGTATAACATTTCTTACAATATACATATTATTCTTTTTTATTTCAGTCTCTTTTTACAATCATTCTATTACGAAACAATTAAAATTAGCAATGTTCTATAATGGTAATATCATATATATGATGAATTTCTTCGGTATATATCATAGAAATTATGATAAAATTGGTACAAATACTGCAATTAATGCATTTTCAAATGAATTGAGATTGACAGCAGTAAATAATGTGAACATTACAGGCATTGGTATTTTTCTTAAACCTGTAGGAATGAATTTTGGTAAGTTATTATCTTTAATTTCAATAATTATGACGTTCTTTTTTTTTGTTTTTGAACTATTCAAGAAAATATTATGCCTGTAAATGAATGCGGATATATGAATCCTAAGAAAATATACTTTTCTTTATTGAATAGTAATAATTATCTTGGTGTGGTTATTAGGGGGAATATTACCGATATGGATGATATAATTATTTTGGCCTATATTGGAGAAAAATTCAAACAATGCAATTTGAATTCAGTAGTAGAAAATTATAATTCATATAATACGTATGTCTTCTTTTGTGGTTCAAATATGAAGGCTGTAGACGTTTATACATTCAAATCAGCCGATTTGGTACAAGGGGTTCTTTTAATATAGATAAATTGCTTACTTTACATTAATTAAATGTTCTCTGTAAAGTGTTGATGTCGTATTTGTAACAATAAAACATAAGAAATGTTCATGTTTAATACACTACTAGACTAAATAAACATATAATATATATACAGTATATACAGTTACTTTTACAATATCGAAAATGTCCTGAGGATATCAGATAAGGTCAGCTTTACTTTACTACTAAAGAGTTCAACCAGAACATTCAAAGGGAGAGGATTCAATTAGATGTTATTCAAATAAAACAACTGGAAAACAATCGTATTTTAAGGTTGACGAAACGGTAGAAAAAGATTATAACAGCTTTGTTTTTTACCATTGTAGAATATAAATACTACAACATAGCTACCTTTTTCGCAGTGATATATACTGTATATATACAGTATATACATTACTATTCTATGTTAAGGGGCCATTATCATTTAATTTACAGTCTATTTAATCAAACTTACTTCTAATGGATAGTTTCTTAAGTTTAAACACAATTTTCCCTTCCGTATTTACTATATAGATAGTAAATATTGACGGTTAAGGTTATTTAATAAAAGGAATGTAAAGAAACGAAAGATATCATTTAACTAACGAAACTTCTTGCGTTCTTCCGATCTCAATTCAACACTAGTAAGACACAATCAACCATCATTTTTTCAAAAAAACCAAGCTATTTGAACAGTTATTTGTCCATTATGTAAACTTGACTATAAAAAAAACAATTCAAGAAGTTTGAACACAGTGTTTAATCATATTCAAGTAGTTCTGCTACAATATGAATAGATAAGAAATTAATGCTGAATTCTTCGCAGAAAATAGAGTAGAAAAGTAGTGAAGTGAGTTGTTTTCTCGGTGGTTAGGATACAATACAGATTGATACGAGTGTATTGATTAAATATATGAAAAAAAAAGACAAAGAAAACTATGAACTGATTGGATAATTAAAATTCAATAAATGGTAATAAGGTGAATAGAAGAATGACGCAAAACCTTTAATGGATTTAGTAAGAATATATCAAAATGAAAACATTGATGAAAAGAGAGAAGAGACAATCTCTAATGTAAATGTAAAAGCGTTTTGATTAATTAATAATTACAAAGAGATTATTGAAAACGTCATGTAAATAATGCTTTCTTAGAATATATAAATATCTAAGACAACATTTACTTTTCTTATTCAATACGCATCATACTTTTGTACTAGATGCGAGACGTTAATTGTCAAATTTCTCTTTTTCCTCTTCCTCTATATTCTTTTATTCGAAAAGAGAAAATACTAATGAAAATCAGTTTTATACTAGAAAAACATGAACGCGTTTATTAAAAGAGAGATACGAAGAGGTTATAGGCCTAACTCTACCGATTTTCTTCAACTAATATTTTTACTTGGTATTATTTACTTATTAAATATTTAATATAAAATATAAAGATAAAGGATTCAAGGGAAAATATTTGGTTTAAATTAATACATGTATACAATATATACATGAATCTATTTAATTTATTCATGAAGGATTCTAATTGGTTGAAAATATGTTTGAATATAAAAATATTTTAATGATTTATACCTTTATTTATAGGTAAAAAGAAAGATGTTAATTTCTTTACAGTTAGAAGAGAAAATAAATAAAAAATATGCTTAGTTTTAAAACTTGTTATAAATTTATTAAAATTTCAACTTTTCTTCTATCTTGCGAATGTTTTATTGAAGAAAAAGATAATATTGCCAGATCGCGTCCAGCTTATCAGTTTACTACTCAATCGGATCAACATTTGGCAAAATACGCTGTTAGTTCCGATAATAATTTGTCAAATTATGCCGAAGATCGTAAGTCCGTTGGATGGTTGACAATAGATTTGGGTGGTTATTATTCAATAACCGAAATTTGCTTCTGGAATAGTCAACCTTCTGGTAAATGGAATATTGAATGTTTTGAATTATTTTTTAATAATTTCTCATTTCTATCTAAATAAGGATTTTTGAGAAATTTTCAAGTTTTTGCCGAAATTCATCTACTTGACGAAGAAGAGCTTTGTTTCAGTTATCCAGACGAAGTTGTTAGTAATCCAATTAGATCAAAGTCTAGTTATATTTGCCGTAGTTGCAATTGCAAAGGCTCTTTTCTAAGATTAAAAAAACTTCATTCTGATTACTTTGCTCTAACTGATATGACAGTAAGAGGAACTTATGTCAAACAATCAGGTAATTTAGTCCAATATCTAATAATAATAATATACTGTATACTGTATATCATCGAATAAAACAAAATATAACAGATGATATGTTATATAATTTAACAACAAGCCTTATTCATTTCGGTAAGGAGAAAGCAGTCAAGCCTTTAGTTTTAAGTGATGGCCTCTTCAATACACACGTCTTTAAAGACAAAGAGTTAAATAGTGAACCATTTTTAAGAATTGATATGACAAAAAGTTATGATATAAAAACGGTTCTTTTCGATAATATGGCTTATGATGGTAAGAATTAAAATGTTATACATTCCTATTCAAGCTCTCTATTCACAACATATTATTATCTTTCTAAAGATCCCGATATACTTAAAATGTACGTATATTTGAGATATTTTCCCGAAACGATCAATTATCCAGCAGATGAAATTCTTGGTTACGTTGATTTACCTTATAAAAATTATTTTACAACTCATGTTGTTAAATCATTAAACTATAAAACTGGAAGATATTTACTCTTTAAAACAACTTGTACACCTGGAAAGAATAACTTTCTACAAATATCGAATGTTTATATTTATTGCAAAACTGTTTCCATAGGCAACGAAATGAAATGTAAATAAAAATTAACATATTCCAGAGATTGTAGTTCAGGAGAATTTTTTGAATATTTTAGGGAAACCAACATTGAAAAATGATATGATTACTTCAATTGATTTAGCTGGAAATGCTATTTCAAAGACAATTCATAACGGAAACTTTATAAAAAGTTCTGAAAGTATTAATCTCAAATCGAATGACATGTTAAAGATAAATATCGAACCAACCCTTATTAATTACTACTGTATTAAAGGTAATATTTATAATAATAAACAATATACAGTCTAATTAAACGTTTGTAAACGTTCAAGTAATGATGGACAATTCCCCTACTAATAATGGAGTATCAGTTAAAACTTTCAGTACAAATGGACTAGCTATACAAACGTACCCAAATACCTATTATACAATACAACATACTGTATGCTATCATCTAAAGGAAGTTACAATCAACAAAATGGAAATAAAGGCAACTTTTAAACTTAGAATTGATAGTATTGCTATTTATTTTGCATACATGTCAGATACACTAAGTATGTTTTAATATATTCATTATTTGGCCTATATACATGTTTACAACAACAGCCCCCATTGATAGTTTGATATCTAATTGCGATACTATGAGATTGAGTAAAATTACCATTCCACAGTCAATTCTTAATAATAATATTGGAATTGGAATAACAGGGGTAAACGTTAAAATAAATGATATCTACGTTATTGGAAATGGTATGGTCAATTCATTTAATTGTGAACAATCTGGTATTGGATATTCTAAAGGAAAAGTTCAAAAAGTCTATCTTTTTACTTGTAAAACGAAAGTAAAAAGTATTGATATCATGATCTTTAATCCAAGCATTGTACTTAAAGGATATCTTGTATTTTGAATGTATTTGAACTGAAAGAATTATCTGTGAACAATGATTGAATGAATAAAGTACACCATCACATGATACATAAATAACAAAAACTGATTTTACACAAAATTTAGACGTTTTGCTAGACGCTCTAGATAAACACAGTATAGTATATCTATTCTCTCTTTTATGGCAATATCTATAATAATTAAGAAAGTTGGGTGTCTAGTTTAGTGTAGGCGAAACGATCTTGCCTTGGTATAATTGCAACAATTTCATTGAACAGGTAACATCCTCCTTTATAGTATACGAAACCTAAACAATCGGCACTTTCGAAGCAATGCTTATTAGCACATTCAAAAACCGGTGTATTAGGAATCTTAGAGTAGATAATTCCTTTCATTGTGTGAAAAGGATGTATATCGTATATCTTCTTGGAGACAAAAGCTATATACGTATAGTATAGATATATAAAAAAGGGTTAATAAATAAGGTTTAGTAATATTAAAAGAGTTTTCTACCTCTAAAATCCTTCGTATAAAATACTGAGTGAGGCCGTATAGTAAAGTCTTCTTCCTTTCTAACTGTATCTTTTAACCAACAATTGTTCTTTTCAAAGTTGTACGCCAATGCTTTACAACTTATAGTTTTATTACATTCCCTTACGCATATAGATAATGATGTGTCAGTAAGAATTTTTATATCATTTCCTGCTGATGCTTTCTGATCTATTGCAAAGTATCCTTCAGCAATATCTATTAAGTAAATTGAAACAAATAAGAGAATTTTGAAACATGAATTGTTATTATTATAACGAATTTACATTTTGAATCTCTGATGTACAGAGTAGAATCATCATCTTCTTCAACAAAGGCCAAATTGCTTTTGTCATATCCATAACAATCATCATCTACCATTGCAAATGCATAGCAATTATAGATATATGAACATTTCTGAAAGCAGGATTCAAGTCCATTTTCAGCTTCATAAGTAAATACAGATTGTTCAATAGCTAGATTATCTATCTGTTCATAGCCGAATCTTGTTTCGCAGTCTAAAAAAAATTATAAAAAGATGCTTTTCAACAATATCAACAATTGATATGTAAATTACCAATTTCTTTATGAAGAATAGAAAAGAGAAATACATAAACAATAGCGTTAAGAGCTCGTTTCATTTTTTCAACGTAACTTGAATAAGTATCAACTGGAAAAGAGATTGTTATAACTATATAAGCGCATATGTAGATATAATCTTCATTGCCATTTTTTTATGTAACACATTTCTATACTTGGTTTAATAATTTTACAATTGTAATTAGGTCATTTTCAAGAGCGCATAATATCAATCATGATATCATAAATAGATAAAACGCTCTAAAAAACTGTTATACGGGAGGGGGGGATAAAAAATACTATTTGCTCCAATTGAAGGATAATAGCATATTCTATCATTTAATCTTTTTTTATTATTATGATATTTTTAAATTATACGCACCGTATCGTCGGATGAAACAATCTCTTATCAATATTCTGCAATATGTTAGAATTCTATTCTCCGTTGTATATTAATGATATTTGTTGGATGATTATTTTAAAGTCTTACTGTATATAGTGCATTGAAATACAATGGGGGAATTGAGGACTTTTGTAGATTCTCATCCGCGGTAATTACAATTTCCAAATGAAACAATGAAAAATTGTCAAAAAAAAGAATAATAGACAATTGGTCTACATCGCACGGGCAACATAAAAGCCGTACTCCACCGGCCGAAATATGGAACACAACAATCTCTGCTATTTCGGCTTGCTATATTGGCGGAAAGGTCAATCGAAGACCAACAGGAATATAGTCGAATACGTTAACCAGGCATGTTTTTGGTGACAAAAGCAGTCCTTTGCGACGCTTCGGCAACCCTTCACGGAACAGTCGGCTTGCACGACTAATGATGAGGAGAATTCTTCTAGCTACGACATGGTCAAGGACAAGATAAAATGAAGACTGAATTATCTGATTCTAATAGAAGGAAGTCTGTATCGGGAGGCGCAGGATATAGTCGCGAGGATCTACGACTCTTTAGATTAAGTCTTAAGTTACAGGATTTATGCCGGTGGAAGCGACGAGATGATAGTCACAGTCAGCTAAGCCTATGAAAAAGATAGAGTATTTTATTTTCACTGACGGAAATTCCAGCTTGATTGTATGACTAATTGATAAAATAGTAAATTCTTACTCGTTACATTAAGGCTAAACTATAGACCGTTGGATGCAGTCAAACACTTATCATTATAAAATAAGTTCTTTTTAACCTATACAGATAGCATAATAGCCGATAGAAAAAATGTCGTGTAGTGCGATATTTTGCCTTGTAGATACAATATCTTTTCAGATATTGTTCATTTCATCAAACGTGATTATCGCTGTAAAACTGGTATCGAAGTATTCATGGAATACTCACAGAGAGCCAAGTGAGCACCCTAATAGCGTGCTAGAAATTCAGTATGACAAACAGAACGACACACTCCGATGGAGCCTAGAAAACTTGGCGCTAGGACCAAAGGAAACATGGAGGGAAATGCTGGGGGTAATAGCAAAGATCTATGATCCTTTAGGTTTGGTTCACATCGTAGTGGCTAAATTTCGAGCGATTTTCTCAAAGTTGAGCAAGGGCATGACACACTGGAGGGAGAAGTTACCAGAATAACAAAGGGAAGAATGGAATAGGACGGTAAAAAGACTTCCAAATGAGATGTCCCAAGAACACTATGTGGGTAAGGTCAAAAAATACCACATTTATTTATCAGATGAGGTGATTGGAGCTGTTATATACGCCTACGAGGCAGGAAAGCAGAGGGTAGTAAGAGCAAAGGCATTACTCGTCAGCCATAGAAAATAAATCCCAGGCGCGAACTCGCGGCACCTTAATGGGAGTAAGGTTGGCGCTGGAAGTGAGCCAGGGAGTGGCGAGACAGTGGGCAGTATTCCTGACTGATTCAGAGGTGGTCCTGAAGTATAACAAACATAAGGAGGTGCAGATGGAGAAATATGCAAGAGCAAGAATAACAGAAATAAGACAGTATACAAGCCCTGATTAATGGTATCATGTAACCCCGCAGACTGGTTGACGAAACTTTTACGTTTCAAAATTCTTTTATTTACTTCCGGTGTACGAATTGTTTCGTCGTCGTGATATTTTCACTTAGTTAAAAACGCTAGAAATAATTCTCTCATGAAAACATTCATCTTCGATTGTATTAAAAAGAAAGGCTTATAAATGTTAACCTAAAAAAATGAACACTTCATTATACTGTAGTCTATTAGATTGTGAGTATATTCTGAGAAATATGACTGTAATTAGGTATATTAAATCCATTCTTTGTACAGTGAAGTTTAACAACTTTCAACTTTAAATGCCTTCTTATAAAGCTTCTATTGTATAAGTAAAAGGATTAATAGATTCTCTTTGAAAGTGATTGAGATGTTACCTTAAGATTTCTTCCGTCTCTTGACCACCTGTAAATAATGAAATATATCTGAGATCTTCCCAAAAGCCATTTTCTAATAAATTGATTTGAGTAAGAAAAGGAGGAATACAATGATCGAGCCGATATAGAATGTATATTTCTTGTAGATGAGGTAACTTTTTCAAGCAGTTAAAATCAATTTTAACATATTTTGCCTTAATATCATTAAATTTGAATATTCGAAGATTTCTTAAATTTACTATTGGACTTATATCTGTTACTTTTGTTCCCGATATATTTAAATCATGAATATTTGAGAATTTATAACAAATATAATCAAATCCTTGATTATTCAGATAAGTATGTTTAAAACTCAATTTTAATAAGTTATCAAAGGTAAAATTGTTGAAAACTCTCTCCAAAATAGTCCTATCCCAGTAAAAGTAGGAAACGATTTTCGTCCTACATATTTTCAATTCTTGTAGATGATTTTCATTCAAGTATTTAAATAGATCAAGTAATATTTCTGTATGAATTCCAAGAATTTTAATTGATTTAATTTGATGATTTTTCAGAAATGATAGTAACGAAGATCTTTTTATTTCAGTTCCAAAAATTGTTACATCATTCAATCTTGCGTATTTATAATTAAAGAATTGCGCATATTTCGATAATTCGTATTTCTTGTGTAATTTCTTAAAGATCCTATCAGAAAATCTAAAGGGAAGGCATATTCCAGAATTAACCCATACTTGAGAAACTTGTTCGAAATCCTTTATTATTTGTTTTAATACAATCTTTTCCAGTGTTAAAATTCTCTTCCTTTTAGACATGTAGCAGATGACGGATGTTTAAAATTTTTCTGCAAATAAATACAAACTATTAGTAAAGCGCCATCTATAATTTTTATAATTAATTCTATTAGTAACGATTTTTTAAAAATTTCATACTACAACTGACATTATGAAGATAAACTTAACAAGAGACTTTTTGTATTTAATATAGTTAGAATAGACAAATTATTTACTTAAAATCAAAAGCTGTCTTACTTTTAATTAGTTCTTTTCTGAGACAATGATGCAGTATTAATTTAAAAAAGTAGGGCTTAACTAAATATAGTAGGGAAATTGACAAGTATCACTGATAATTGCAGTGGGGAGAGGATGTAATCATTATATAGTATAATACATGCTTAATATAATCACCGGAGATTTATTTCATTCCAGTTTACAGGTAAAAGAAAGTCTATATTTTTCTTGCTTACGTTAGTATTTTCAAACCCGAAGTTGACAGAAAATGTCCGCAAATGGTCAAAAAGCAAAGGACAACAACTAATTTGTACTTAGAAAGACTTCGTCTTAGGGTTAGGGTTAGGGTTAAACTATTGATTTGCGGACGTTTTATGAAGTATTGTTCAACTGGACATCTGGTACTTTTAAGGCAAAGTCAAGTAAATACATCTATAAAAATATCAATTATCTTGAATATTACGCAGACAACAGATAAAGTTACTTTTCCAAATAAATATCATAGTTGAAAATGATACGAAGAGTGTTATTTTTCTATTTTCTATATTAATAAGCGCCATCTATATTTTAAAAATTACGTTTTAATAATCTTTATCTAAAACTTTCTAACTAACTTTTCATAGGATTATAATTACTAAATTAAGCTATATTCTAGTTGATAAAGTGACATTGTGTTGTTTTCCTGCCTAGATAGCCTACTTTAAAAAGAAGAAAAAAACACAGATACAATTAAAGGAATTTAAGGTATTTGTATACGCGTTCCTCTCCCTGCTCTACTACATACTAATACGTAATATTGTTATATTTATATACTAAAAGACTATAGAGAGATTGTTAGAAATGTTTATGCTAATAACCATTTTGGTTAGGAATTTCAAGTAAACTTTAAATAATTGTCAATCATGTTTTCGGCTTGATAAATTGAATTTCATAAAAAAATTTGTTGTTTTGTTTGAATAAAAACTTAAAAAAGGAAAATTCCAAGAAGATAATATGATAAAGAATAATAAGCGTGAGAAATTATCATATGCTTTCTTCTTACCACTAACATATATTATTCAAAAGACACTAGTTCAGTTTAAAACCGTAGTAGATCGTTTACGTAACCGTTAATATATTAAAAATGGTTATTTTCACCTTAATTGTTGTTTTAGCAATTTTTCAAGGAGCAGAAGCTCGTTGCTTTTGTACTGTAAAGAGCAATGTTCTTGCTAAGCAAACTCGTAAGATATTTTTTACTATTTGCTATTAAAAATCTTCAATGTTTATTCAACTTAAGCTTGCGGATTCACAATTACGTCAATACCTGAAGAAACTTGTTTCCCTTCAACCGAAACGAAAGAAACCTGTAAATTAAACGGTTATTTTGAATGTTTTATAAGATAAAGCATAATTATTTATTGTCTCTTTTTTCTATTTAGAAAATAACAAAGAATTTCAAAGCATTGAATATTCCCCTGGTCTTGATCTTTGGATTGACGCCGATTCGTTGATTGTAGCTCCAGAATACAAATGTCGTAAGTTATTTAAACGTTTGAATCATACGAAATAAAGTTGTTATTACATAATCTTAATTATTAATTGCAGAAAATACTAAAGAAACTTATGAAGATTTAGGTATAATTTAATAATTTACAAGTACAGTTAAATCTTCAATTTTTAATTTGTTGCAGCTAAATCTTGCAGTGCTATTCAAATTGTTACCAGAAGTCAATGGCAGGCAAGACCTCCAAGAAGTAGAACAAATTTAGTGACTCCAGTTTCTATGTTGTTTGTTCATCATACCGCTGGAGCTACCTGTTCTTCTCAATCAACTTGCAGCGCTAGAACTAGAGCTATACAAAATTATCATATGGATTCTAACAGGTGGAATGATATTGGTTACAACTTCCTTATTGGCGGTGACGGTAGAGCATACGAGGGAAGAGGCTGGTCTACTGTTGGCGCTCATACCGGCTGTCATAATAGAAGATCTATAGCTTTTTCAGCGATGGGAAATTTCGAAACCTCTTCTCCTCCTCAAATTATTCTTACTGCTATACAAAACTTAGCTAGATGTGCCGTAAGCAGAGGTATTCTATCTAGCGGTTACGAGCTATTTGGCCACAGAGACGCAATGTCTACATCCTGTCCAGGAAGATACCTTTACAGCGTTATCCAAGGTTGGCCAAATTTCAGCACAAGACCAGTGAGATGTTAAAAAGTATAAGATGTAATTTTTAAGAAAATAAACTTAACTATTTTATTAATTTAACGACTTTTATAAAGGTTCATAATCATTTTTGAACAATATTTATGATAATCTAAAATAGAGTATATATTCGAACACAAATCACTTGTATAGTTTATTTCTGGAACTTTGAGAGCTTTTAATCCAAAAGATAAGATATAGATCCATATTTCAGATTCAAAAGTTTTTAAATTATTCAATAAACCAAAACAATGACGAAAGTGGAAAAAGCTCTTTATTAAATTAACTCTTTCGAATTCAATCAATTGATGATATTCTAATATATCGCAAATTATCTAAAGAATGAAGATTTATTAAGAAAATTCATTACAATATTATAAAATACTTACTTTAAAAATTAATTGAATGTTATGATTGTTTGTTCTACAGTCATCTTTTGAAATTTCTTGAATAGTACAAAATTTAAGACATTTGTAAAAATATTCACAATTATGATTCTTTAAATAGTTTGATATCTTTGATAAAGTACCAATATCTGTGTAGTTTTTATCCTAAAATATAGAAATAAAAGGGGTCAAGGTTAATCAATAAAGTTATAAACAAACATCATTATTCTCTATGAACATTGTGGCTGATGTTGATATATCAATCGTGTTTGATGTTGTATTAGAATCTCCGAATAAAACGCCAATAAACTTTAACTTTTTATGATTTTCAATAAAAACTCTATACGAAAGAAAGAAAGAAATATCGATATTAATAACAACTATTCAATTCAATTGAATGATAAAAATATACTTGATTATTTCAATTAATTGTACATTCTTTGCAGTTAATATGAAAATTTCAAGGTCAGGCCATAAATCAATTTCTAAGAATATACTGTAATATTCCTTTAGACGGTTATCCGATATTGCAATATCAAAAAAGTTAATGTCGATTTTTACTAGATGTTTAAAATTTCTTATTGAATTTATCTCCTTCTTAGGCTTATAACTATTAATATTCTCATAGGCCACCAAATTTGGAAATAACTTTCTTAAATCGTAGAAAATGTAACTCTGTCCAAATAGGACTAATTCCTGTAAATTTGGTAACATTTTACCTAAATACTTGAATGGAATATGTAAGAATGATCTTCTAATTAAAGTAAGCTTCTTTAAAGATTGTAAACTGTTGAATATCTTTGAAACATTTTCAAAACTTGATTGGCAATTATCAAATGTAATTTCTTCAATAATATTTAAATTTATGAATTTAGTAACTTCATTAACTTCCGGAAAATTTGTTAAATGTACAATTTTGATTGGATGATTGTTTAAAAAGGAGAAATCTTTGATATTTACTAATCTTTTTCCATATAAACAAATACTTGTTAATATCGATGATTTTGAATTAAAAAATCTCAATTCATTCTCAGTTAAATATTCCATTTCTTTTATTGAATAATTAAAGATTAAATTACTTAATTCCATTGGTATTTTTAAAGATTTCTTTTCGCAAAATTGAGATAATAATCCTAAATTTCTTGAAATTATTTCCAAAGAAAGTCTCTTTAACGTAAAAACAGCCATTACTGTTGAATCAATTAAAAAAATAGTCCTATTCTTTCATTGATCATCTACTATTTCCTATACATTAAACTATAATAGTTAAAAACTTCACTATTTCACTACAAATTACATTCTTCATTCACCAGATACTTCGAAGAATTGTCACGGATATGGATATTGTAAAATTTGGAATCGGTTTCGATTTCTTGTGAAATATAGTTTTTATTTTAATTCAACTTTAGCTTTTAATTAAAGATAAGAATTAAAAAAGTAATTTTATATAAAATATAAATTGAAAATATCATTTATTTGTCGATAATAATAATAACAAACAAGCCAATAAAATATCGATACATTCTGGACGTTGTAGTAGTATATTGAACTCTTTTCGATTATCGACGAAAAAGGACTGGAGAGTAGAATAATTGCTATTTAAACTACGTAAAAAGTTTGAATAGACGCGAATAGAATAGATAAGAGATATCTGTTATTATTATAAATTAATGAAATAGTCTAAAAGAATACTAGTTTCCTTATGCATACAGTTAAAACTTTTCAAAAATGAATTGTTTATTAGAAATAGAACGTTATTCCCATATTAAACCGTTCTAATTGAAATATTTATTTCATATATCTAACTATAACCTAGAAAAAACTAATTAAAATTTCTATAACCATAAAATATCGATAATTGAATGGGAAATCAGCGAAATATTTGAAAACGTTATTAGATTACAAATTCCAAATTACTGTCATCAGTCATCGATTGTATAAGACGTAAGAATATATAAAAAAAGAAAGATAATGATTATTGGGAAGGAGAGAAACTATGTTCGTATTTTTACTCTGATTGTCTATACAACAAAATAATAACTTGTTATCCAAGGTTTTTTATATTAAATATCATAATTTGTAAAAAAATTATAAAGACTTTACAGATTAACAAAGTTCGTCCATTTTCCTTATTATCATTCGCAGAAACCACAATACGTATATTCTATCTGTAGGAGGAATAAAAGGAGAATTTTGTTATTCTTACGAAAGGTTAGAATTTAGTTTTTATTAAGAAATTCAAAGGAAATTACTTGGAAGTTTTTAAAACTCTAATAAACTTATTTAAATGAATGTCATTTATAGTTTGTTCAGTTTTTTCATTCAAGGTTAGCGTGATTATTATTTATATTAACCTAATTAATTATTAATAATTAATTCTCTACTTTAGATTTTTCAATTTTGTTTGTTACTTCGCTGAGATTTTATCCACCGGATGTAGAATTGGCAAATGCGGTATCGAAAGAAACCTATAATGGAGGTTCCTTAACTATAATTATCGCTCCAACCCAATATATACAAGAAGATGGATACTTGTTTCAATACAGTTATGCCAGAGAGAATAATTACCTTTGTTATATAGGTGTGTGTCTTGCGTTGATATTTTCGTACTTTCGCCCTTAATAATTTCGTTTAAAATGTAGCAATTTGGAGACCAGTTAGTGATTTAACTTATACATTAGTCCACGAAACAAACGTCCCTCAAGGACCACTTCATCAAGTACAAATGGTAGAATTAGAAGAACCTTTTCTCGTTAAAAAATTCGATGTGATTGGTATCCATACTAGAAAGTCTAGTCCTCCTGACAGCAATGTAAGATGTATTTCTGAATTGAAAGATCAAACTAGCGAATATCCATTCCATTCTCGATTAAAACACAACTGCTGCTCTTCACTTGGAGATACAATTGCTTTTGATACTACAACTCCGACCAGATTTTATCTCCTTATTGCTGGTGTTGTAAAAGATCTTCTTAAGATAGGTATAAACCTTCAAATAAGATGCAGAATATATAAATTAACTAATAATATCAATAATTTAAAGCAACGGTAAAATACTTAGCTACATTTATCAGTTATCCGCAACCAACGCTTACAACTTCAATTCCTATTAATTTGTATTTGAGTGTATTCAAACTTCAATTGAAAACATGCTCAAATGTCGAAAAGATATTAGTTACAACGGATGTACAACCAAATGTCAACGGAAAGATTTCGTTTCATTTGGGTCATGGATACTCTGAACGATTAAGAACAACGCTATGCAATCATCTCAGTTCTTCAGATACTGATACTTTTACGATTAAAGACGACAGATATTATTTTACTATAACTTGTAAGAGAACTACTATTGGACGATATCTTATAGTCAAGTCACCTTTTCAATTCACTTTTACTAATATATATATAATTGGACAACCGGCTATTGTCGAAACTCCTTTCTATTCTCTATCCTCAATAGAAATGAAAAAAGATACATTTGATCAAGATTGTCAACTTTCAATTCAATGTTTGAAATTATGTCAAAGTTTACAAAATTGCTCTGGTATTTCAGTTACAGCTAACAAGTCAATTTTACATTTTGGTCATATTTTTGATGACATGCTAATTACCAGTCCAACTTCTATTTTTCATTATAAAACATGCTCTGCACCAACGCAAGATGATTATTGTTAAATTAATCAGAAGCTTCACTAAACAATTATATAGTAATCTCAAAAATTGTCGAAATGTGTCACATGATTTTGCACTCTTATTAAATTCAATAATTGTCCAATAAAGAGTAATCATAAAGAAATTGAATTTTAAATAATAATTAAATAGGTCGATGATCAATCTATCAATTTTAGTGGAGAAATCTAATTGGGGGTTGATCGAATAACTTTCTCTCTACAGTCTATATGTAAAGCTTAACAATTCTTACATCTTTCCTGGTGAACTATTGTTCAAGCGCAATTCAAGTGAACACGGATTCATCTGAGAGATATTAATTAGTTTTTATCGCATAATTAGTATCATTAAAATAAGTTATTGTAAATGTGTATGCAATTATTGAAAGTCTAATTACTAATATATCATAATCGCGGAATTGAACACTTATTAATCTCTTTAAAACAAAAGATACGTACCGTTAAGAAAATTTAGTATTAGATGTTAATCTCATTAACATTAAATAGAATATTCTATATTTCAGAGAAGCGACATTACTATCTGTCTGATTTATCAGTAAACATTCAGAAATACGTCGTTAGAGCTTTAAATATAATTTTTATTTTTGTAATACAAACAATTCATTGTAAATGATTAATGATTATCAATTCCATATTTACACTCATGTTGTCAACAAGATTGCAACTATTTACTATTTAAAAATATATCGTTCAAAATTCTTAAAGTTATATTGGTCTATTTCTAAAATTATTAATATACGACATTATACTTCAATCCTTGTATCTTTATTTATAGTACAAAGGGAAAGCAATGTATACGTAGGTTAAAGATTAATCATTATATTGATAGGTTAAAAAAAATTCAGTGATAATGAAGGTATTCGTAGGAAAATGAATTGAAGCAAACAAAAAATGACGTTATTTTTCATCACAGTTCCATACATTTTTAGTTGCGTATGCTAGCTGCCAGCAAATTTTATTATTTACAATAAAGACGGCTACTTTTAGTGAAATGATGCTTAATATCATATAATATGTATAATACCCTTTATATATCGTCAACACTTCCGTTGAAATAGACTTTGTCATCCAAAGAAGAAACGTCTTATAAAAATTATATAACAGTTATTATGTTTGAATGTATTCACGTAAAATACTTACCTTTAATCAAGGCATAGTCCCGTCTTTATACAATCCAATAGTAGAAGGAAACTATTTCATTGCAGCTGATGTGAGGAGCCACACTCTTGTAATGCAAATTCAAGAATATGTCGGTCATTCACCTGTTAATGCTAATATTGCACTACCAATTATCAATAACATAAATATTGAAAATCAGTTTTTAAATGTTTTTATTGCTAATAAAACTTGGGCCTTCTTATTTCTTTAAATTTTCCATACATCATTCAGACATTTTACTGTAAAAAAAAATATTCAGTAATACATCAAATAACGTGATTATCGCTGCAAATAGAACTTGAACATAACAGATTTTTTTAAATTATAGTTTAAATATTGTTTATTGAGACTTTTTCCTTTCAATATAAATAATGAAATAATCAACCAAACTGTCCTTATTGGTTCAAAAATGATCTAAACAATTCTTTAATAACAGTAAGTTTATCTCGAGTAGACATCTAAATTATTAAAAATATCTATAAACTGTAAATATAGTATATTTCATTTTTATGTAAACTACAATTGCTATTTATTTCTATCTTTTTCATTACCATTTACGAGTTTCATTAAAAATATTCAATAACTTTTTATCTTATTGTTTAATAGAACACTAAGATAGACAGTTTGATAATAATAGAATATTACTAAAATTTCTATTCATAGCATTTAGAGGTTAATTTCTATGATTGTACTGTATTTATATAGTAGGCGATCGTGAACTCGGGCTAATACATAACCATATACTGTATATAACATGTAATTTACAACGTTTATACTATACATTACCGTTGACCATAATGATACAATCTTCAGTGTCTGATCAATGTACTGGCAGACGACAGAAGATCATTTAGAACATTGTTCCGTATACTGTTTGAACATAACACGCACATCAATTGGCTGAGATCAGAGAGTGGATTGTGAAACAGTACTATTTTTAGATAAGTACTCTCTTCCATATTGAAACAATCAAACTATCACTTAATATAAAAATTATTTATTTATAATAATTGACCTAGAAAATTATAAACTCTATAGAAAAATAAGAAACACAAATTACAATCTGATGATATCAAGTAGAAGATAAACGTATTATAATCAATTATGTTAGGCTAACATATCTATCTCTTCATTAACACATTCATCTGCCGAAGAATCCATAGCAATATCTGTTTCTAAGCCAAAGGTATTATCTAAACATTCGGTAACTTGATCTGAAAGTTTACATCCTAATAAATTGACGGCTTTTGGACAGCATAGATCCGATACATTTTTAAATAAATTCATTCCAATGGCATTATCTAATTTCGTATCGGCAATATCTAATAGTTTCAATTTCTTTTGGTAGCTAATAAATTCTCCCAGATATTTTGTTACATCTTCTGTAAATATGGATTTTTCCATAATAATTTCTCTAATATTGCAGCATTGGCTGGAAATATTTCTGAAGAAATTTTTCCCAATATCATTTTTCAGGTCTGCATTCGCCATATACAAAAGCTCCAATTTGTTTTGATAACCAATGAATTTTCCAAGAGAATCTGACATATCTTCAGTTAGTTTGCAGTCATCCAAACATATTTCATGGATGTTACAGCATACTTTAGAAATATTTTCAAACAAATTCTTTCCAATGTTATGCTCTAAATTTACATCGGCCAAGTCTAGTATATTCAATTGATTCTGATAGCCAATGAATTTTCCAAGTTCTTCTGTCATATCTTCTGTTAATTGACAATTTTCCATATTCAAATTCCTTAAATTACAGCATTTGTTCGATATGTTAATAAAGAGATTTTTTCCGATGTTTGAACGTAGATTTGTGTTTGATAGATCTAAAATTTGTAAATGATTTTGGCTATCAATAAACTTTCCAATGTATTCAGTCATGTTAGCAGTAAATTTACAGCCAGTTAGATACAGTTCCTTGAGTTTCATATTTGGATTTGTAAGATGCTGAAAGAATAACATTCCAACCATATTTTTAAGTTTTATCATGGAAATATTCATAACTTTTAGAGATATTTGATTGTAAAGAAATTTCCCTATGTATTCAATCATATCTTCCGTAAATGTTGAATTGCTTAGATCAACTTCAGATAAGCTTGTATTATGAGATATTTGATTGAACAAATTTTCAGCTCCCGTTTTAGATAAGTTAGAAAATGATAAATCCAGAACATTTATACTGTTTTGTTCAGTTAGTAGTTTTCCAATAACTCTCGAGAGACTATCACTAAAGCGACAATTGCGTAAGTAAAGTTCACTTATATTTTTACACTTGAATGAGAAATCCTGAAGAATATCTTGTTGAATATCGACATTATACTTTACGTTAGACAGATCAACGACATTTAAATTTGTTTGATTTTGAATAAATCTTTGCAAATCTGGTAAAATTTTACCATTTAAACTACAATTTTGCAATTTAACTTTAGTAAATTTATTTGAATTGGCCAAATTCTGAAATAATTGACATCCGTATTTGTTACTTAAATCAATTCCAGATAAATCTATAGAATCCAGATGTGTTTGATAACTAAAAACTTGTCCAAGATATTCCAATGCTGTATCGTTTAAATGACAATTAGATAAGTTGATTTTATTTAGATTGCAGCAAGAGTTTGAGATATTCTTAAACAATTTCTCTCCAATATTACCATCAAGATTAATTGATCCTAAATCCAGAGATTTTAAACCTAATTGATTACTAATGAATTTTCCAAGATATTCGCTTGTCTCCTCTGTAAATTTACTACGAAATAATTTCAAAGTATTCAAATTTTGTGAATTATTTGGATAGTCTTTAAAAAATTTAATGGCGTTACTTGTTACAAAATTCAAACAAGTTAAAGAGAGACGTTTTAAATCTTGTTGATTATGTAAGAATTCATGAAAATTTATTATATCCATAATACTTGATTTTGAATTGCTATTTGAATTGTAACTAAATGATTTAATCCTTCGAATAAATTCTTTTGTCATTCCAAAAAACGTCATTATAGTTTCATGGGATAAATTAAAATTTAATTCCATAGTTTCAATATCGGTATTATTCTCAATAATTGATTTCATATGATTTATTTCATCTGGTATTAAATCGTCATAAATACTTATACTCCTTATTTCTAATGATGATTCTTTTACCATTCGAATCATATCGTATCTTGGTGATTCTGTTGAATTTATTTGTAATTTCTTATATTTCATTATACTGTCTATTTGAAATAGAATTTCATTAATAATTTGTAGATTAAAATATTTCGAATTTGCTAAATTAATAGAATTCAATTGGTTAAAATCATCACTTTCCTCGTCTATAAAAGGTGAATTAATGACTTCAATATCATTTATTTTACTTATAGATATTGATAAATCAATTAAAGCTTTTATAGTTAACTTTCCACCGTAAAAATAAACATATTTTAAGCTATTTTTCTGAGTTGAGGCCTTATTGAAAAAATTCAAAATGGCTTGATCACTAAACTTATTAATTGATATATCCAAAACTTCTAATGATGGTAAATTATGAAGATTTACGGTTAGTACGTTAACAAACGAAGAGTTTAATTGGCACTTTTGAAGGAGAAGTTCTTTAATACATGTAGGATTTTTTATTGTCATTTTCTTCCAATTAATAGTTTCTTTCAAGTTATTTCCAGATAAATTTATAGATAACATATTCAAATTTATCAATTCGATTAGAGAAAATTGTCTAAGATCGCATTGAGATACGTTTAGTTTCACTCCTTCTTTATTCAATTTTTTTGATCTATGATTAATAAAATTAAGAAATATCTTTTCATTCAATAAATTTCCTTCTAAATTCATATTCAACAGTTTATCGTGTACTTTTAAACTATTAAATAATTCCTCCTGATGTTCTAATGGTAATTTACAATTACTAAGGTTTATACTCTCTAGATTAGTCGAAAAAGAGATAATCTTTTGTAAAACACCAAATAGAAACTGTACTTTTAAGTTATTTCCACTATAATCCAACATTTTCAATTCAAGATTTCCATCCATTATTTCATAGAAATCTTTATATTCAATGGCAGTATCGCAATCCATTATGGGAAATCTTAACTCCTGAAGTTCTTTGGAAAGAATAATACTCTTTGGAAATGAAACTTCTCTTACATTTAACAGTTTATTACCATAGAGATTAAGAATATTTAAAGATAGATTATTATCCAATAGACTAGTAACTGTCGACGCTGTAATGTTACTATTACAATCTTTAACTGAGAATTCTTTAACATTATTGCCATTTTCAATTAGAAATTTCATTAAATCATCAACAAAACTATCACTAAATTCGTTTCCATCTAACCAGAAATTGTAAATATCGGTCATCTCTTCGAATAATCTCTTCAAAATCGTAAAATGTTCATCTTTTAAAGCACAGTAAGAAAAGTTTATTGAATGAAGTTCAAGGGAATTTTCTAGATAATCAACAAGTTTTTCTAATTGACCAGCTAAATTATGAAATAAATAGAAATTTAGTTATTAAATATGTTATTCAACGTGAAAATTCTTACCTGCTATTGTATTGTGGGATAGATTTAGGTGATTTAAATGCCTACATTTCAAAAGGTTTAGTAAATTAAAGTCAATTTCACAATTAATTAAACTTAACGATTCTAAAGAATTTGAATTGATGAAAAAGTTTGCCTTTTTTGAATTATTAAATGGAATATTAGCTAATAAGAGTAGTTTTAAATTGGAGAATTCTTTGACGATATCCTCTATCATTCTAACAGAAAAATGATTATACACACCAGAGTCTATAGATAATTCAATCAATGTTCCTTTTAAGCTTTCAATTGAAATATTAATAAACTTTTGAAAGTTAATTTTAACATTTTTGAACGATAATACAGTAATATTTCTTGAAAATGTTTCAACAATCGAAAACCATACTGTTGTTGATAGATATCCATCTTCGAGATATATCTTTTGACTATCACTTTTGTATTTGATTAAATCTATAATTTTTTCGTTAACAGTATCCAAAATACTTAAAATTATTGGATTTTCTTTGATAATCATTGAAAAAATTTGCATATTTTGACTTTTAATAAAATCAAAAGTCGCCTTTAACTTAAGAGTATAAGTTGATTGGCAAATTATCTCTAAAAGTTTACCTTGACATTGCTGTTCAGTAACATCTGAAATAAGGCAATTGGCGTTCGTTTCTAAGCATTTTATGATAAATTTAGCTGCGAAATATTCTTGAAATGAAAAATGTATAAATCTATAATGTTTCTTTCCGGTTTGAAAGCATGTTAAAGTTGTTAATAAGTTGCCAAATACTTTAGAATCTTCACTGTATTTTTTCATTTCGATTGGTTTATCAAAAAGAATGTTTATAAATGCTTCTAGTGCGCATTGATGAAGAAATGCATCGTAATCTTCTTTATCGATTGTATTCGTACGATTCTTCATCAACAATTCAACAGCATCATCGTAAATTGAATATGAATCTTTCTTCATTGAATTCCATTTAGTATCCCAGATATTTGCAGTTATAGATGCAATTAAAGGATTTGAGCAAGATTTTAGTAGGTCCTCTCTATTCTTTTGTAAAAAGTTTATTAGTTGCTGACTCTTTGGAGTATTATCGGATTCTATTAAATTTTGAAATATATCTGTTCCTTCGTGAAAGAATTTGGCAAAAAATAAAGGTATATGATCATCTTTATAACCTAATATCTCAAGAACATTATGATAAGTATCTTCTATTTGTTCGGCTTTCCAGTTTCGGCACCAAACAATTATTGGAAATTTGATACATCCGTCATTTTCAATAATATTTGAAAAAAGGGATTCTTTACTTCCGTATTCATCTGCTCCGTCAAATAGAAAAATAATCTTTATGTTTCTATATTCGCAATCGTCCGATAAGAAATAATGTAAAAGGTCACGTGTTACCCATGAATCTTTGCTAAAATTCTGATTGTATAAATTCTCTTCAAAGCTATCATTAGAAGAAAGTTGACTCAAATCAACTTTTAAAACGAGATAATCTTGAAGGATTCTCTCTTGAATCGCCCATAAATGAATAAGTTTAATAAAATGATAACTTTTTCCAACGCCAGCTTCACCTTTAATTAGAAAACGACCTTGAGAATTGTCAATATTTTCTAGAAATTCGAAACCTTCCTCAAAGTAAACATCATCTTTATATGATTCGGGTTTCTTTCGAGCAACGATTTGTATTGGAGTTAATATATTTTGAAAATTGATAAAGTTTACTTTATCACTTTGAAATTTGGAAAATTTCAACACTGTTGAATAGTTTTCAACAGCTAATCTCTTTGTTTCTATTATTAAACTTTCCCATGTATTTTCTATTTTACGAGCTAAATTTACGTGTTTATCTAGTGATAATTTATGTAAAATAGCTAAAAGTTTATAAGTAGGTAATGTTAGAATATAACTGTTAAAAATTGCTTCGAAATCCAACTTTACACGTTTTCTATCGTCAAGATTAAAAACACTCTCTTGGCAAAGATGAATGATAAATCGTTCGTCGTCTGCTAATAGTTCTTTTAGGTTGTTTTTATAAAACGAAAGTAGAGGATTTATCTTTAATTCTTCGCTGCTATTCATTTATGATTAGAGTAATCGTTGATATGCTAATTTAATTGATCAATTATTAGTTCAACTCCACTTACTAATTGGCGAAAAGAGATTATTTCAATTACGAAAACAATTTAATTCGATACTTGTTTATTGATAAAATGGCCGAGCAGGTAGGTAGTGACGTTTAATAGACACTAAAAAACCTTGACCTTTTTAATTCAACTATGACTATTACAAATAAAAGTGACGTTTATACTTATCGAATTGAATGTTCATAATACTTTTCTAGGTCATTGTTTTAATTAGACATAAATCAAGTTTGTTCGTGTAATTTTAAAGGTAAAAAAGTTTACCTTTTGTTAATCACAAACGTATTTTACATGAAATTAAAGATAAGATAAATGCATATATGAATAATAAAAGAATTTTTAATGAAAGTTTTTATTAAATATATTGATCTTAAATTTTAATTATTGATGGAACAAACCGACAAAAAGTCAAAAAAAACAGATATCATTCTTTTATTCAAGCTTTACGAATCGTTATGAATTCTCTAAAAATCATTCTACTTTACTCTTCTCTATTTCTCATCAAATTTACCTTTTCTTATATAGACGAAGTTGATAATATCATTCGTCATAAACATGCAATTCAATCCTCCACGACTAATGACGAAGGAATTGCAAGCTACGCGATAAGTGATGGGTCAAACTTTAATAAATCAAGTTCAATACCTCCTGATGCTCGTGGTTGGTGGATGGTATTTCTGAATGGTACTTATACTATTACAGAAGTGTGTATTTTGAACATGCATTTAATAGGTAATTGATTAATAGATAAAATGTTACTATATTTTATATATATTTTTTTATTTAAAGAGACACTAAGAAACTTCAAAGTTACAACAATAACATTTTTTTTATCGGACGAACAAACGTGTTCCATTTTTAACGACACGATACCTGTAAAAGATACTAATGAGCCTGAGAGTTATATATGTAAGACGACAAACTGTCAAGGTGAATATTTAAGAATTAGAAAGATGAATATGGGCGATACTTTAGTCATTACTGATATAAAAGCAAGAGGAGTACTATTAAAAAAATTTGGTTAGTAATTTCTCTATAATCTCCATTTAGCTATCAAAGCTTATTAAAGTTAATATTTTTACAATATGCTTCTTATTGGCAGGCTATAGTTTGTTAGATACAAAACAAACCAAGATATTCTACGGTAGAGCAACAAAAGAAACATCATCAATACTAGGAGATGGTTTATTCGGAACAAAAATTTCAACAGAAAATGCAGTTGATTCATTTTTAAGAATAGATATGAACGGAATCTATACACTAGAATGCCTTCATGTTAATTTCGATAAATCTTCAAGTTAGAAATCAAATTCAAATAATTAAACAAGCAAAAATATTAATAATTGTAAATTTTAGGCGGAGATATTCAATATATCGATACATTCTTAAAATATACACCTGATACAGCATCTGAAGATTCAAAATGTGCACGTATATATAATCCATATTCAAGTAGTTATCGAACTTTGATTGTTATTCCGGTTGTTAAAAGGGGGCGATACATTCTTTTCAAATCGAGCTCGAAAGCCTCTACTGAAAACTTTTTAATAATGACAGATGTATATATATTTTACGAAAATCTAAACGCTAAAACACAAATGGAACGTTAGTTTAATTGATATGAAATAAACTTATTATCCATTTCTTTTTCTTTTTTATCTCTTATAGACAGTACAATTGATAAAACTGATATGATTAAATCAATTGAAAAAGATGGAAAATCTATTAATCTAATGGATATTAACGATGGAGTATTTGCTATGAATAATGGAAGTGTTAGTTTGAACGATAAAGAAAATCTTATGATTATCACTGAACAAACCATTATTGATTCAATATGTTTAACATGTACAAATAAGCTATTGTTTTAATTTCAATTCATCGTAATAATGATTGTTTAATTTCATTTTTAGATGAAATTTCAAATCAAAAGGAACAAAATGCTTTAAAAGTTGAATTCTACACAAATTCACAAATATCTGAGACTGTGATGCCTAATACAACTATGAGTGAAGCACATACTATTTGCAATGATATGAATGCAATAGTTATTGGAAAGATTCAAATAACATCTAAAATATTGCTTCAAATTCATGAAATTAGCATACAATTGACATCAATTACAAAACCATTTAGTATGTGTAATTTTTTATTTATTTTATCTATTTAAAAAGTATAGTATATATTATATTTTCAAAATAGCATCAATTGAAGATTCCACAGAACAGTGCAGTAAATTTAAAGATTCTGTTATAGTTATACCAGAATCTATTGGATCAATTCATAAAGGAATTGGTTTAACTGGTGAAAATCTTCTTTTTAACGACTTAGTAGTAATTGGAGAATCCAACGGAAAATATCTTGAATGTAAATCCATTGAAAGTTTGGTAAAAGATTCCAAAGATGTATACTTCTTTCTTTGTAACACAACCATACAAAATATTAGTATTTTCATATTAAATCCTTCAAAAGGTTCCATTAAAAGTATTATAAAATTGTAAATGAAAGACAAAACATTTAAAATTTGCCCTTTGTTGTAAAAAACAACCAATTATTTCATTTAGAATGAACTATATTTAAATGGTCCAATAGGTGAACATTTGTTTAGAATAAGCTTTAACTGAGTAGTTAAATTTTCATTCTGACTCTTCTTATCACGTCCTGAAAAACAATAGATGTTCATTTGAAAGATTGAAAATGAACAATTGAATTATGTACCATTGTTTATATGGAGAATTGCGAAACATATGTTTTTCCATTCGATTTCATCTTTTGAAGAGTATTTTATTAAATTTAATAGCTTAAGAGACGTAATAAGACCATCCTCTTGCTCGTCTATACTAGGAGTAAATATGCATTTTCCAAAACAGAGTAATCTCTTTTTGAAGATCTTTTATAAAAGAAAAGATGTAATTAATTTTATTAATACATTATGATAAGTAATAATCTTACTCTAAGAATTGTCTTTGTATGTAATTCACTTAGAAGACTATACATTTGCTCTTCATTGTCATTTAAATGATCATATATGTATTTCAAGTATATATCGTAATCTATTGATGATAATACATTTTCCTCTAATATTATCATTTCTTCATTTAACGTATCGATACTGAATGACTGAAATATCAGTTAATAGTTATTTAAGAACTGATTGAATGATATAAGCTATCGTATTACTTCATACGTCCTTGGAAAAATTACACTTGAAATGCTCTGCCAACGAATGTTAAACATTGATGAATTGCTTATTCGAAATACCTTTAACTTGGGATGTTTATTTATAAAGTATCTATGAAAGAAGCAAGAAAACACAGGTTGTAAGAGATATTCGACTATTTATAAAGGTATATAAATAAGTATACTAAATCGTTTACGAAGAAATAAAGGCTAATGTCAAATGAAAAGATTATCTGGATTGTCCACAAAGTCAGCAGTATAGCTATAAGAATTGAAAGATAATTCATGATACTGCTGACGATATGGCAGAATCCATTGCTCTAACCCCCGAGATATAATTTATTCTACATAATAACAAATATACAAACGGATGAGAAGAACATGACGCTACGACACCGAAAGAATAGTTAAGCTGGTCGAAACACTAACCTCAGTATGTCTCTAGTTGAATCGAGAGCAATTGGATAGGATAAATGTTCAAGATCTTTCCAATATCCATCAACTAAAAATGTTTTGGTGGTTTCAGCCTTTGAATAATTTCTGCTAGAATCAGTAAAAGGATTATCATCAAAGTAGAAGAGCTTTTGCAGTTTAGTCAGAGAGATTAAGTTGTTAATCTCATTTTCATCAAGACATTTCGGAGCAGAAGAAAGCTTAAAACTTGTTAAATCTTTTAGATGTTTAATATATTTTAAAGTTAAAACATCCGTTCCAGAGATATCCAACTTTTTTAGATTTGAGGCTTCTTTACATAAATATTGCAAACCTTTATCATTTAGATTTGTAAAGCTTATATTAAGTTTTGTTAAATTTTTTAAATTAACATTCTTAAAGAGAGTTTCAAAGATTTTTTCATGAGTAAAATGACAACAAGAAATAGTAATTTTAAATGAATTTTCCCATTTCAACACATCAAACAACTTGATTAAATCCATAGGTTTTGCTCTATACACCTTTAATGACGTCAGATAATATTTTTCGATCATCGTTAAATAATCTACATTTTCTATTTTTGTACCAAATAGTTTTATCTTTTTTAAATCAGTAAACAGTGTTAAATTTTCCGATAATCCATTGGGTTCTGAACTAAAGAGATCTATTATCATCTCAGAGTATAAATATGGTAGTTTGCGATCTTTCTTTTTCCAATACTGCACACAAAACAGTTTATTATATCCAATACATAGCCAAGCTGTATCCTTCAGAGTTAGTACCATTTTTCTATTATATATATTTTTCACTGATTTATATATCTCCTATGAACACAGCATTCTGGGAAACTACTGGTATTATTGCGTAATCAGTGGTTTTGTAAAAATACAAGTTAATCGTGTAAACAAAAATTGCCTACCTCGTCTTACTTCTTGTTAGTTTATCTGATTACAAAACTATTCAGAGGACTATAAAGTATTATTTTTAGTGGCTAATGTCATAAACATTCCTCCGTGATATGTTTTAAAACATAAAACAAGTAGCCATAAAAATCAATTCAACATAACATATTAAATAATCAATGGAATATTAATAGCTTGATTTAGGACAATTCAATACTATTTGGTTTGTTTATATACAGTATATACTAAGATATATAAATATAATCATTCGTTGTGATTCAATCTTCTGAGAAAGATTAAAATTTTATTGATAATCTCAAGTCCTTCTGCAAAATACAAGTTTAGAATGAAAAAAGTACGAATTTTAAACAATGGGATCAAAAGTTCAAGTGTTCAAGTTTCTTGTTAGATCAGACTGTTTAGTAATTAAATTTCGACTCTTTTACATTATATACCAAGTCCTATATTGAGAACATCATCGAGATAGTGGGAATTTGCTTCTGTTAAAAAATAGAGCACAATTTAGAGCATTTAAACGCACAAAGATCAGTTTTTTTTAATTGTTCAGTGTTTTGAACACTTTTAACCTATAACTGAGTATAGCATATCAAGAACATTTCATTCACAGAGTGTGAACTATAGAAACAAGTAGTGATATACTTAGAATTTCTCATATTCACTCTCATTGCAGTAGTACACTTGGACACTCGTCCACATGGATCATAGTCAAATTGTTGACCTGACAGCTGCACGTTATTTTAGTTTCTAAGATAAGCATTATATTGTTGTATATAGTATTAAGTAGTTATCGAGGTAGACCTTTATAAATGTAAATGTAACCATTAGAAAGTAAAGTGATAATTAAAGTCGAAACAAGTTCAATGAAGAGCAACGTGCGTCCGGTTCTGTTTATAAATGCTTTAGTTCCTAACTGTTAAAGTAATGATATTAATGTGAGAAAGGACAGAAATAAGTATATTCGAACAGGCTATATCCCACTATTGGATTGTATGAATTTCGCCATTTTCCTTTGATAACTTTTAAATTATAAATTAATGAAATTGAGTGATAATGTATTGTTGGTGTGAAAATAACAATTGCTACTTAATGTGATAATTTAGGTCAAGAATAAAAAAAATTGATAAAAGACTTATATATAAAGTAAAAGGTAATAGAAAACATTTAATACGTTGGATAATAACTGGAAAGATATAAAAAGGAACTATTTTAAACATATTATTAAAGGAATAGTCGAATAGATATGCAAACTTTCAATGTAATTCTTATGCTGTTTGCTGCAGTATCTGCCCAACAGCCGAACTACGAAGGGTATGTTTAATTAAATAATAGGGATAATTTGGATAAGATTCACTCTATTCGTAAATTGTTTACACCCTTAAAGATATCAAGTCTTGAGTGCAATTCCAGAAAACGACTCTCATTTAAAATTATTGAAAGATTTAAACGTTAAAGATGGAGTAAGCAACATCTACACATATATTGTATTTTATACTTATTGCAATTTCATTTTATAGTTAGATTTCTTGAAAATATCAACAAGATTTGAAACTCCAGCCGAATTTCTTGTACCGAGAGATCAAATTGAAAACGTTTTTGAAAGGCTGTCTATAAATGGCTTGAAATATAATATCATCTCCAGCAACGTTGCAGAGTTTGTAATTCTTTTTACCTTTTTAAAAGAAATCTTCTTTTATTATTCATTTCTTTTCAAGGGACTTGAAAAAATCTTTTCAATTAAGAAACGACGAACCAAGAGTATTTGGTCTTGATAAATACAATACTTTCGAGGATATTCTTTCAGGTCTTGATGATCTACTACTTAAATGCCCTAGTAGCGCTTCCTGCGTTCTCGAAGATATTGGACTTACCCCCGAAAATAAACCTATTAGATTATTCAAAATAGTTAAACCATCACAAAGGAAAATTGTCTGGTTCGATTCAGCAATTCACGCTAGAGAATGGTTAGCACCCGCCACAAATCTCAAATTATTGGACGCAGTAAGTGTAATTAAACCAGAATATACATAATACTCTAACCTAATTTTTCCAGATTCTATCGCAAGAAGACCCTAATGCCGTTAGTCTACTCAATAAATATGATTTCTATTTCTTAATAATAATGAATCCAGATGGTTATAGCTTTTCTTGGGAGAGTCCCGACAATGTACGTAAAATAGTTGCTTTCCTTAACAATTGATAATATGACCTTTTGAACACGAAATAGAGACTCTGGAGAAAAAATAGAACTCCCAACCCTGGTTCAGTTTGTCGTGGTACTGATTTGAACAGAAATTTCGATGTTAATTGGATGAGTAATTGTCAATATAATATTATACTTCATTAGTAATTTTTTTTTCCAATAACAAGATGATGGAACGTCTACTGAGCCGTGTTCAGATGTATTCGGAGGATCGTCCGCTGCATCCGAAACAGAGACTCAAAATGTTCAGGTAATCGTGATAATCTTCTTCATAGTTTCATAGTTTAATCTTTCATGACTTTAAACATTTCAAAGAATTACCTAAGATCGATTGGTAGCAGAGTAATTGCGCTTACTTCAATTCACTCTACCGCTCAAATGATTCTCCTTCCCTACGGTCATACTGACAGTAATGAAGAATGCGCTATACCAGCCGATCATGAAAAACAACTTGCTGCTGGTAACGCTTTTGCAGATGCCATTGAAAATACGTATGACACGATCTGGTAAATATCATCTTCATATGAAATATATTAAGAGTTTCATTATTACAACTATATAACATTCATAGGGAGAGAGGAACTGGATGTAGCACTATTTGTAAGTAGAGCATTAGATAGACCTACAACAAAGCTCTTATGTCTAACAACAAATATTTCTTTAATTAGATCCAGTATCAGGATCAAGTATGGATTATGCATACGATAAAGCTGGTATAACTTATACTTTCACACCGGAACTTCGTGGTCCAGGATTCGATCCTCCAGCATCAGCAATAACACCAAGTTTTACCGAAATTTGGAATGGTTTCGTTGCAGCAATTGCTAAAATAGAAGAAATAGAAGGAATGAATTAAATTTTAAAGAGAATTTAAATAAAAGTATCTAAAAATTCTAATTTACTTTTTGTTTAGAGTTGACTTTGCCAGACTTTGTACCGAGAAAAAGATCAAATTTAGCCTATTAAGTCAATTGGCTTATAAAATCCTCAATTAGTGAGGTCATCTAAATATCATAACGGTTTCTTTGTGTTCAAGCATCTAAATGTTAATTATAGATGCAAACGAATTGAGTCATTTCCAGTTTCTAGACGTTATGCAAAATGTTCGAAGACCCTATTGATAATTCTGTCGCAAAGAACAATATATTCTTTGTTGTAAAATCTGCAAATTATGGAGAAGCGAAAGGAAACTTAAAAACTTGTTCAGCAATTAGTCTGAATTTACACTAAGCCTATGTGGCTCAAGATCTACTTCTAGACAGATGAATATCTTGGTGTACATAGCATCTAAGAATTTATTTGTTTAAATATTCAAATATTGTGATATTCAATACCAATGAAAAAAAATGCTCATAGATAATTTTCAATAATTTCCATAGCTTTCCGAGAAACAGCTTCTGGTGATTCACCAGCATCAATGACTACAAGTGGTGAGAATTTTACTCGTTTGTAGCTGTTTATAATCCTGAAAATACATTTGTGATTATTAATTAAGAATAGAGTTGAAAGATAAAATGCATGAAAAGATTCTACGTAGTGAAATGTTGCGAAAGAATAATAATTTACATATCTCTCAGTAGAGAATATTTCTCTAGCCTTTTCTCTGAAGGTGTGACTGGTTTTTCATGTCGATTTTTTAAACGCCTTAAACGTTCCTCCTCAGATAGTTCTAATAAAATTACAACAGTAGGCTTTTGTAGATCCTCTGGCCACGTGTATATCTCGTGTTCTGGTGGTGGAAGACTCTTATCTTCATCGAGGCATTTTTCTGATATTCCAAATGCCAGGCTACTATGCCAATACCTATTGGAAATTTTACTCTTTATCACATTTGATCGCTTTTAGGATTATCTTCTGATAAACCTATCTAAAAAAACGACGTTTTCTTTACAAATGTCTTGCATACGGTGAGCAGCGATGTAATTACTCATCAAGTAGAACGCTTTTCTCAGTTCGCTATTATGTTGAAAGACAGGTTTTAAGCTGTTTTTAATACCAACAACATTGGATGGTGGCGCATGGAAATATACCCCATTCAAAGTTTTTGATAAATTATAAGCCAGTGTGGATTTACCAGTTCCATCTAAACCCTCAATCGCAATTATAGGATGCTTTAGCGTCATATTTATCGGATCGCTATTAAACATTTTCTCTGCCATGTCGCATAATATTTGAATATTTTTTTCATCTTTATACTAAATTGAAAGAATTATCTAAATTAAAAAAAAGGCTTAGATTATTGAATAACAACCTGTCGAAGATAGTTCTCTGTCTCCTTAAATGATGAATAAAAGGCATGAAAGGTAGGCGTCATATTTTAATATAAATATTATATTAAAACGTAATAAGATTTGCTGAAACAACTGATGAACGTAGATAATATTTGATATTCCAATATAGAAAAACTAACACTAGAGCGGGTTAGATAAAGTATCGAAAGACAGTTGACTAAATATATCTATACTTCATTAATATTACTATATGTTACGCAATCGGAAACAGCTAAAGCTGTTCTAATGTGTTTACAACTATTGATTGAAATAATTGATTTTTTTTACTTGCGTTTTTGTTATTATGTTTTGTTTTTGAGATAGAATTTCCCGCAAAGTAGTATCTTATGCATATGTTATAGATATCTATTCCATCGTTATACATTGGCTTATACAAAGACATACAACAATATCTAAATATCTATAATATCAATATTTTTAGCAATTGTACTAGTGGACTATAAATAATTGGTTAAATAATTAGTTATTATATGTTAATAGACTTTATCGTTAGTATTTTATCTGATCGAATTTTCTTACCTTAAATATTCTGGATTTTATACTAATAGGCTGAGTTAAGTAGTATTGAAATGTCGTACTCTTTTTCTCTATTGGTTCTTTTAAATAAATCAACCTTTAAGCATTAATATGAAAAAAGAGAGATCTTATTGAAGGGAGAATATCAATACTTGGAAGAAAAGAGTTTATTATTGAAAATACGGTAAAAAAAATAAGGGATTGTTTAGTTTAGTCTTTTCTTATTAATAATAAAAAAAGCTAAATAGCATAGCATCTTTGTAATTAATTGATTAATAAAGAGAAATTTTACGAGTTTGGTCAATTGCATTTAGACAAGTCAATAGTAATTCCTTTAAAGTATCTACTTGATCGTGTGTCAAACGGCAACCAATTACTTTTAGACTGGTTAGATTATCTGAAGAGGTTTTTAAAGTGTTAATTACTTCTTTAAGTCCATAATTCATTTTTGTGTTATAACTTAAATCCAATAATTCAAGTTTTGGGCAAATTGATAATAATTCTGCTAAAGATATTAATTGAGTTTCTCTTATATCACATCCGCAAAAATTAAGAGTTTTAATAGTATTGCATGAACTTTTTAAACTGTTTATTATCGATTGAATTCCGTAACCCATATTTCTATTCCAAGCGAGATTTAATGATTGAATGTTTGAACAGCATACTAAAAGGTCTTTTAGATTTGTTGCTTGAAATTCGGTTAAATTACAACCGTAAAAGTTAAGGCTTGTTATTGAATCGGAAGACGATTTTAAATTGTCGATTATCATTTTATAGCCGCAGAACATACTTCTATTACCGCCCAAATCCAATTGTTTAATACTAGAACAAGTTTTTATCCATTCTCCCAAATAAACCAACTGTTTCTCAGTTAGGTTACAATTTTGAAGGTTAAGACTAGTTAATGTAGAGTGAGAATGCTCAAGACCCTCTAATACCCTTTGTAATCCTTCATTTATATTTTTATTCCAAGCTAGATTTAAAGCTTCTATATTTGAACAATGAAGTAACAGCTCTCTTAAGGCTTCCGATTGATTTTCATTTAAATCACACCAATAGACACTAAGACTTTTAAGAGTTTCGTTGGACAGTTTCAAACCTTCGCATATAGAGTTCAATCCAGCGCCCATACTAACATTCCAACCTAAATCAATCGATTCGATTTGACAGCAGACACTTAATACTTCTCCTAAAGCCAGAGACTCTGCTTCAGACAAACCAAATCCATATAAATTTAATACTTTTAGTCTATTACAACTATTTTTTAATCCATTACAAATATCTATAAATCCAGAATTCATTACTTTCGTATATCTGATATTTAAAGAATGTAAATTATTACACTTTAATAATAACGATGCAAGTTCTTTTGATTGAGATTCGGACAGACGACATCCGCAAAGATCGAGTGTTCGAAGATTTGGAGTTGAATCTTGTACCATAGTACTTGTAGTTTGTTTAGAATCCGTATCCCTTACCGAATTACGATATCTTTTTTCAAGACACGATTTCTGTAAATTGTTATCATTTTGTACACTTTTCAATATAAAGCTTTCAAGTTTAGTAGAAACTAACAAGTTTAAAATACTGAACCATAGATTTGCATTCAATTCTACAAATTTTTCTGAACTTTTCACACAAATGATGAAATTCTTTAAACATTTAGCTTTTGAACAAAGCTGATTGGTCATAAAAGATAAATCTATATTTGGATTTATTAAAGTTATATCCACGCAATGTATTCCGAGTTTTTCGGTTAAAATTTCTACAGTAATATTACTGATATATTCGTCTTTAATCAATAATTTATTGTTATCCTTTATACCATTCGCTAATAAATCTTTCAATTCTTTACTACAATTGTAAATTTCTTGCAATTTCTCCGAAACGGTTAGGAATTTTTGAAATATTTCATTTGAACTCTGTCTAATATATTCAATAACGTTGTATAATTTCGTATTATTCATCTTAGTTAATTGATTATCGAATGATGTTTTCCAGTAGCTAAGACTTTTCGTTGTTTGAAATTTATCAATTAGATATTTTGCGGCGAAATATTCTTGTAAAGATTGGTGTAAAAATTGAATTTCAACCGATCTCGGAGTTGTATGATACTGAGGTATAATTTGAGCAAAATAGCCTATACATTTCACCAGTTCCTCTTCTTCGTGTTTGTCTACTGGTACTAATATTTTAGAAGATGGTAGATAAATGAAACATAGTTTATAGACCATTAACATTCTATTCAATATACTTTCACTTGATAATCCTATATTCTTTTGAAGTAAGACAACTAATTTCTCATAGATTTCGTATAAGCTTTTATCCAGAATACTACCTAGTTCCTGCCAGATAAAATAAAACATCAGTCCCATCAATGGTACCTTTAATAAGCTTTGAATAGTACTAGTTTGTTGCTCAAGTTCTCTAATGAAAACTTCCGATTTTTCAATAGAAATAAAATACCTTTGTATAAAACTCTTAAATTGTGAACTATCGAAACCTGTTAATTGGAAAGTGACGTCACACGAACTTTGAATAGTTTGAGCTTTTCTTTTACGAGACCAAATTACAGTTGGTATGGAACAATTTGATTTTTCAAAAATATTATTTAACGGATGATTCAAGATATTAAATTCATCGGCTCCATCAATAAATAGTAGAATATTGGAATTTTTCTCCTGGAAAAGCGACATTAAGATGTCTCTATTCATATAGGGAATATTTCTAAAATTCTGCTTTAGTATTGTATCGTATACGTCATCACTTGGTAAAACATTCCTCGATATAATAACTATAATAATTTTATCTTTGCATATCTCCCAATAATCGTTTGCCCACGAATGAACAAGATACTTTAATTGAACGCTTTTACCAATTCCCGATTCACCTTGAATAAGGATTTTATTAAAATTTGCTTGAAAAATTTTATAAAAATTTGAATAATTCAAATTTATTGAATTTAAATACGTTTCGAATATAGCTTTATTGCTTAAATTCATCATTTCAATTGATGCTTGAACATCTGTCGTTTTTATTTCTCTAACATATCCAAGAGGAAGAAGTTTAATGTACAAATATTTTTCTTTCCATTCATTTTTCAAATCAGCAACTAATTTTAACCATCCATTTTGAATATCCATGAGATGTTCGGACAAGTATTTATTATCCACCTCTAGACCATTTACTATCTCATTTGCAGTATTAAGAGGTTGGGTTGCCAATATATCTAGAATTAGATTGGTTGTTTTCATTTTACCTCTAAATTTATATTGATTATCGATTTCTTCTTGTTTTTTAGAATTTATAATATTTTGATCAGATAATTTCTGTATTACTTGAATAAAAATACTTTGATCGAAGAAGAGTTTTTGCAGATTTTCTCTTTGTAAACTAAAATTTAATTTTTCCAAAGCTTTCATATTTTGAAATATTAATAATTTTGCAGGTGTTTCCTTAAACTATCAATAATCCATTCATTAGAGAAATATTTTATTAGAATATCCTATATTTCAATAAATACAGTATGTATGAAAGTGTAAACTCCGACTAGAAATTTCTCTGCGAAACTAACAAAAGGAAAGAATCCAACGATCACTGCATTCAAGGTAAAAACTGGCCTAACAGATTATTCATCTTTCAATACGAAAAATGCATACTCAAAGCCGTTAAACCATTTCGATAGTAAATGTGATCTATCGGGTATAATCTGATAAGAATAATATCTATTCCCTCTATAAACAATGCATTTAATTAATCAATAAATCTCATAGGATTAATTAACATCACCCACTTCTTCATTCTTATCTTAAAATACTATATTTAGAAGGATTAAAGTTCAAAATATAAATAATAACAATAACCGAACCACTTTTATCATTCTTGTAAGAAAGATTAATGATATTAGCTGTGGGTGTTACAATTTTATATATACAGTATACATATATATATATATATATATAGAAAAAATACTATAATCTCACCCCTTTCAATGGTAGTTTACTAGTAGAATAGCTAGTTATTCATACAAGAAACATAAATCAATATTAGTAGCATTTGGTCAAAAAGAAAAAACATTATATAAAGACCACAGCTCTTTAAAGTTACTACTTCGTTTATTTCTCGTAATCTAAACCCTATCCATCATTTCCTATCGGTCTCTACCCTTATAATCTAATTTCAAATTTTCAATTCAATGTTATAACATTTATTGAAAAGGAGAAAGAAATTTAGAAATTAAACGTTCAATTATTAGTTAATTAGTATAAAAAAGCATAAAATTTGAACAATAGAGAGAGAGAGAAAGAGGCAGAGGGAAAAAGATACTTAACACTTCCGATTTTATATTCTTATCGAATATTTATTAAAGTTTGAAACATTTAGAAAATAAAAAAATAAAGTCTTTTAATATTCAAAATGTTCGAAATTGTTTTTTTTTTTAAAAACAAAAGTTGCAAAAATCTCTTCTTTATTTTTTATATTAATTAGAAATTGATATTATCCTCTTTTTATTGAGAATATGATATAAATAAGGTAAAAATGACATTGTTCTTTATTTTTAGTTCAAACTTGAACATTTCAACAATAAACGATGAATTGTTCAAATATTCTATTAATAGTTGGTTTAATTCTAAACAATTTTTCTACTATTAATTCAAAAATATGTTACATGCCAAGTGATGAAAGAATTGAATGCGGTAAGGCAGTAAACGTTGCTGAACAATGCTCAAATTTAGGTTGTTGCTTCAAGTTAACAAGTACACCGAAATGTTTTTTACCTGGAGGTTTTAAATTATTTGTTCGTGCTATGAATAAATATTCTCCTATTTCTTATTATCTATTCTAGGAGAATTGGAATTAATTCCAGACGATCCTAATTCAGATGCAGAGCTTGTTTACGTATGGCATCGTAAGTTGTTGACCAATCCTGCTGCAGCTGTAAAGTTTAAAGTTAGAGGTAAAAAAGTTTGTAGAAGCGTACCTTTAAAAATTGTATGTATGTGTAATAATTAAAGGTAAATACGTATGGATTATAAACGATAAATCCCAGAATTCCTTTTGCGAACGCACTCAAAACCAAATTTCTCTTCAGAAACAAGATAATACTTTGTTATCAGTTTTTCAATTTAATAACAGAGCCGTTTCGGTATTTAGATCACCTTGTGAGTACATTTTTTATATAATAATACATTATTTTAAATAATTTCATCTATAACGTTAGTAATTCCTGAAGAAGATCTTTACCTTGGATTATACGGACACCTAATGGTTGATAATGTCTGCGAATTGGGAGGTCTGTCATCGCCTGAGAGATATGAAACTTGTTATCAGTTAAACTCGACAAAACAGCAAAAATTTATATATCAAATCTATCGACCATATTCAAATATGGTTCAAGTTGATATTACAGGTGATAATTTCACGTGCTCCAGTAGTTCGGAGTTGCCTTTCGTTGTTGTTTACGTACCGTCCGCGGATCAATACTTTAAAGAAAATGACCTATGGAGTGGAATCTTTTATCAATGTTCACTAAAATCATCACAAACGGGAAAGTGTTCTTTCAAATGTAGTTGCGGTTATAGATTATGTAAATTAATCTATATTAAATGGCTATCCAATTCAAATTCAACTCAAATGCTCAATATTGTTTCAGTTTGCGACATAGATGTTCAAATCATTTCACACTTGAGTGAATTTTCATAAATATTAATATTATTATTATTACGTAATTAATAGTTTTATTTCGTTTCGTATAATTGTATTAATTGATAGTCTACTGCAATACTGCAAAAATCTCACAATAATATTTTACGTAATAGAGCCTAGTAGTCCGCACTTGACGATAAATGTTAAACAATAAAACAATATAATCATTGATTTTTAGCATCCTTTTCTTTTCTACAAAAGAGATAATAACTCAAGATTATCTGATATAAGGAATGATATATCTAATATCTCGTTAAGAATTCTATCTTCTGAAAAAGTTTTACTTTCACTCTCTTGAATGTCTACTGTTCCTGCTTATTGATACTGCTGCCACTGGGAGGTAGACCGTTCGCATTACCGCTAGGAGGGAGTCCATGCGCCTTTCCAGATGGAGGTAATGCTCGTACCTTGCGACTTGGAGGTAAATTGTCTGTATTACCGCTAGGAGGGAGTCCATGCGCCTTTCCAGGTGGAGGTAATGCTCGGATCTTTCGATTTGGAGGTGGAGAAATTTCTAGAGCATGGATAAAAAACATTGCAAAAGTTAGCAGCAATAGAATTTCCTCAAAACTCTTTAAAACTTTCATAGTTTTTATCGATTTCAAGTTTGCTTTTCAGAGTTTAATGTTTGATGCTTCAATGTGATACTGAAATCTTTCCACTAATATAGTATTACAATAATGAAACTTGGCTATTCTTCTTTTGTTGGATCAGTATTGACAAGGTCTTTCCCTAACCTTTTTTTCACAAAGACTATTGACCCATAGCAAAACGAGGTTGTTACTATGCGTAAATTTGACTTTATTTAATGTAATGTATGATTCTACAGTTGAAAAGTTCACCGATAGTTCAATATTAATGAAATCTCATGAATAAGTATTAAAGGGTCGTTCAAAGTACATTTTGCTGCCATTGACAACAGTTCTACTGTATTTAAACTAAAGTAGTTGAATAATTTCATAGTAATCATTGTAGCATTAATGTAATCTTTATTGAATATCATTTATCATATGAGTTTTAATATTATTAATAATTAAAGCTGCCATTTATGAAAACAGTGATTAAGTAATTGATTTTTTTTAACACTAAACTTAGTTTCATTTATTCTAATAATCCGGATTTTTTTTTCTTTAATTATTTCAATAATCTTACATAATTCCTTTGGTAAGGGGATTAATGCTAGTTAAAAATATACAGTTTCATATAATACCAATGTTACTTAAATAGACATTTCTCTATGATTTTAAAGAGTTTTAGATAAGGATAAGTTGTTGAATATCATTTCCTGAAGGATGAATAGTCTACAGAATTTAATTTTATTATATATTGAAAAGAATTTTCAAATGTATCAAACTTCTTTGCTTAAAGAGGAGAATGTTATTCCCTATGATCTAAAAGATCAAATCTTTTGGTTAATAACTAAAAAAAATGGCGGACTTTCAAAGAAATTTCTTCATACTTTAGAATGTAATAGATACAAATTAAAGAATTTGAAATATGAAGCGTATTCTTATGAATATTCATCGAAATTATCATTTAAAAAGATTCCACCATGTAAATATTGGAGAATATTTAATTTTTATGATATTGATATAAATGACCTAATTAATATTTTGGAAAATAATAACAACATTAACGAATTAGAAGAAAAGAAGTATTTATTTTATGAATTATGCAAATTAGTTCATTTTAAAAATATAACAAACCTAAATTTATATGGAACGAATATAGAAACAAAAGGATTCGATATTATTTGCAAAGAATTCATAAATTTAAAAAAATTGAATATTTCCAAAACCTTTATACTAAAATTCAATTCAATTGATAATTTAATCAACTTGAATAGTTTTATATTTGATGAATGTTGCGAATATTTTCGTATTAATGATCTATTAGTATTAAAATCACTTAAGAATCTACAAAAAATTCAATTTTCGAGTAAAATTGATGAAAATTGTATTGAATTATTGAATACAATTGAAAATTTGTTGTCCTATTACAACAGTTGGATGAATTTAGAATACGTTTCCCTTCCTATTTTCAGAATTAACGAACAGTTTATCAAGTTAATAATACTCTTATTACATAACTTTAAACTAACTGGACACTTTCTTCTATTTCCAATAGGAAATTCGTAAAATGCCATACAAAGTTGAAATATTTTGGTAAAATACCTAAAAATAGCATACTACGAAATGATTTATATAATTATCAACTTATTTTCCCACGATACTATCACGTGATATCTAGTATTAAAACTATAAAACTTATACTCTACGATTTTTTTTTATCTATTCCAGAATTTTGCAGTAGATTTCATCAACAGCGAAATCGATTATTTTAGTTGTTTAAAAGTTTCTTTTGATGATTTGGTACAGCTTTTTGAATTTATTGTATTACATTTAGAAGCTAGATCGGCGGATCAAAGAGATATTGATGTAGAGAAACTACATCGTGATAATTTATTAAAGGTATTGAAATTATTAATAAATTAACACTTTTTAAATTATCTATCATTTGTTCAAGATATTCAATAGAGCTTTAAAACTCTATTATACAATTTGTAACTATCCTACAAGATGCGATAGAACTTTATTCATTTATCATCTCTTTCAACTGATTCTGTGGATTAAAGAAAAAGATTGTGGAAATCAATTTGAATGGAATAATATTACTGAAAGAATATTAGAAATAAAACCACTAATACGTAAGTTTCTAATAAATTATGCAAATTACTAATTAATTATAATTTATTTAATATATTTTCAAGATATGAAATATAATTCAAAATTTAAAGAAATGAACGATATACTATCGAAAATTCTGGAAAATTCATTCAATTACCGTTAATTTTTGCAGTTGAATGTTCAATGAATGAAAAAAGCAATGATAAAGTTTCTTATCGTATTATTTCTAATCAATACTCGAATATACTACATTGAGTACAAATTCTACATTAAGACCGAGTCTGTACAACAACTTTTCAGTCTATAAACATAATACTAAAGCAAATATAACGAAATATTTTGTCTATATAAAAATATCCGCTAAAATGATAAATACTGCCGTGTCTGTAACAATAATTACTAATTTTTTTCCAATTCAAATCGAATTCTTTCGCGTTACTTCATCTAATCTGAATAAAAAATAGGCCAGTCGGTTTATATTTTCAATACATATTACAAAAAAAAAAAATCTGCCTTATCAACTAAGAAGTTAGAAAATAGAACTAGTTGAATAATTAGATAGTAACATTATTAAACATTTAATATTGTTCCTTTTTTTTTTAAAGAAACATAAAATGGATACTTCTAATGAGTTAACGACTAAGGAATGTTTATCTTATGATCAAATTGATGCGGAAGACTGTAAAAAAAGGAATATTTTGTTTGAAACAATACATTATTACGGCTATAAAACACTCTCACAGAAAATGGATTTTTTACAATTATTTCACGCTTCAGGAGCTTTTACAAACGGCAAAACACCGGATACTTTAATGACTAATGAAGAGGCTAAAAACAATCTATTGGACGCTGGAACTTTCTTTCAAAAGTTTCCATCTATATCAGAGGCTCTAAAATGGTTTAATAGTATAGGACAAAATCAGAGATCACGTTTCAGACCGGAAGGAATGGAACGAAGACAAATGTCTTCCCGTATTGACATGGTACAGTTTTTCGATACGCTGGTTGAAAAATTTCGTAATTTAGGATTTATAGATAAGATTATCCCCAAGAATAATACATTCCATACTCTGTTAATTCTGGGAGCAGCTTATTATGGCTTTAATCTAAGATTACAGGCTGCAGCAAACATGCTAAAGAATAAGGAAATAAATCCATCTCGTATTATTCTAGTCGGAGGTGAGAGAGATCTTTGGCCCAATGATTCCGACAATAGACTCAATGGAGAAACGATAGCTGTAGAAATTATTGCAGAAATGCTGCAGAAGTCATCGGATGAATACAATAAATGCGATATTTGTATGGAAATACAAAGCGAAATTGATAAGTATCTTGAAGGAGTATCCGTAACAGATGGAGCTGCTGTTATGTCTGCTCATGAACAAATCTATGAATGTATTAATTCAAAATACGGTGTTAAATGGCCAACAGAAACAGATATGATATCGTTTTTAGCAAAGAGAAACCCGATAATAAATAAATATCCATTAGATATTGTAAATAGTCCAAAGATCCTTAAAGAACAGAATAAAGGAGTATGGAAATATGTAAGACCAAATACAAAGAGTAGCCTTGAGGAAACAATTCGACAGTACGGCGAAAGTTTAATGTCCAAGTCAATTGTTATAATATCATCTCAACCTTATTGTAAATATCAAGAACAAATAGTAAAGTCAGTGTTCAATCAACAATATAAAATTGAAATGGTTGCACCAGCAATAAATGTTCAAGAAATTTCGTCTAAAGAAAGATTCCTAGTTACACTTTTCGAAGCTTTTTTCTCTTCTATTTATGCTTCAGTCAATTCGGCTCTTGAAAATGTCGAAAATATTAAAAATCAACATTTAGATTCAAAAGAAAGTGAATGAACTATTCGATTTTTGAAATATATTGAATCAAAGAATAATAAATCAGTTTTTCCGGATGATTCTTTTAACTTATAGTTTATTGAGTCATTATTTCAGTTCAATTGTCATCTTTATTGATTGTCTTAAGTATTATATTTGAAATTAATCAATTTGAAAAGTTGCCAACACTTTCTAAATACTGGAACGAGAGCAGCCAGATAATTTTCGGCAGTATTAAAATCTAATATTTTTCAATAATAGTTTAATTAGTTAATTATTTAATAAAGTTTCAATTCTGTTCACCTTTTGAATTGATTAAATCTTTAATTATCAAGCAAATTTCAAGCCACGAATCTAAATCTTTTGTAGAATAATCATAAATATCTAAGACTCTTCCAAAACTCTCAAGAACGTTTACATTTATTATATGATTACTAAAGATGTTCTTGTTGAAGAAATAACTGATTCTTTTCAAGGTCACCTGGAAAAAATGTTGTTTATTTCATTAAAGGTAAAAGTATATTATTGAGAATAAATTAGTCATACGCTAAAAAATTTTTCTTTATTCAATTTTTCAACAAAAGTTTCCTTTTCGGCATCATTCATATCATTAAAATGGCGGTCGATGAATAACAGTAAGTTTGAGAAATCACCAAATGGAATATTTATGTTGTTAAAGATATCAATAAGCCTATTTACTTCGTGAACGTTGAAATCCTTTAAAGGAAAATTTGAGTCATAAAAGGAAATAGTAAAGAATAAAACTATATAATTTCGTACTCTTGTATAATCTTTAGGGAAGATAATATCTTGCGAAGGTGAGAATGGTCTTAAAGAATTGTTTATATGATTCCAAAAGCATAAACATTTCAATGCTGGATGTTTTTGAATAAAATTTCTGGAGGGAATAAGAAAACATAGCATAGAGTTTTACCTGAATAATCAAGAATCGTTTTACATGAGACTGAACGCCGGATCCGATATGAAAATTACAGCGCTAAAATATTTCAATCTTTTCCATTCACAATCTTCAAAGAATGTATTAGGTAGTGTTATTAATAATGTCTTTCTTAGACCTGTTAGTAAAGCATCGCTTTCGAATAGATGAATCTCTTCCAATTCTTTTAAATCCTTTAAGCTATATAATTCAAAACGATTAAAATTCCTATAACTTCCGGTAAATTTAAAAATAATTAAATTCTTTAATCTTGTTAATCTTGTTAATCTTGTTAATTTTGTTCCAGAAATATCTAATTGTTGAAGATTTATTAAATTTTTACAAATCCATTTAAATCCATTATCATTTAAATTTGTATAACTAAAATCTAATTTAGTTAAATTATTCAATTTTAACTTTCCGAATAATCTTTTTAAAGTAGTTTTAATTTTGTTTGAATATCTAAATTCTTTAATATTTACTTCAGATATTGTAAGTTCTGTTAATTTCGATTTTCTCTTTAAATAATCAAATATCGTTCCCAATTGACAATTATCACAAAAATATAGTTTAAAATTAGTAATTTTATGACCATTTAGAAAGGAAAATATTGAAGTTTCACTAATAAATCTTGCATGAATGTTCACTTCTTTTAAAATCGTATATTTGCAATTGAAATACGGTAAATATTTTTCTAATAATTTGTTGTGTTTCTTATCAATATTCTCTAAAATTTCCTGAGAGATGCTTTGAGGCAGAACAATATTCCTTTTATGTGGATAATCAATTAGTAAATCAGGATAGTCCGTAATAAATTGAAGAACAATTTCCTTAAGTTTTCTCATTTGTCGTCCGTATGGTTAAGTAAAGTAAATATAACCAAAACGGAGTAGACAACTATAAGTATTAAGAAGGCCTGCCAACAAAATTTACGAATGTTTAATAGCATTAAAAGGTCTTAACAAGGCTTTTCTTCAATGAAAATTTTTAGTAGCCATACGTTAAACGTATTTTTTTCTATTATGTCTATTTTATACTATCATTTTTATACATTTTATAATACTATTTAAATATGACAAGAAGACGATTCAATACATAATGTTTTCCTATTCAGTTCACTCATTTCCTCCCCCCCCCCTCCCTTTCCCCTCGCCCTCTCTCCTTTCCATACTATCGCTGCTATTGCTACTGCCATAGTAACCTCCTTGACTTGTCGTTTCTTTTGCCCCTTGACCTATTTAGTTTCTGGTAAAAAGGATTTGTTGAGTGTTTTTTACTGTAGTATTATTAACTCGAGATAAATTATATATATACTGTATATATATCAAGATATTAAAATCACAGATTTATCGATTTCTTACAGATTACGAGTTTTTCAAGGTAAAAACACATGGATATGAAGTAAGGGTTACGAGGAACTAGAAGGTTAGGATTACAGATAAGGTTCGGGCAATACCTCAAAAGTATGGGTGTTTTCAAAAACATCCTTATTTCATAATTTCGTCATGTAAACTAAACTATCTTATTATTTATAAATATGGTTTATTATCGTTGAAGTTGGAGACGAAAATTAGGTTATTAATTGATTCAAGCATAGATTTGTATATGTTTTTTGTTTTCATAAAGTATAGATGTATTATAAAAGATCTATTCAACTTTATTAAATAATCGATATTTTTTAATACGAAAATGCAAATACTATGACTTTTCTTTACATATTATTTAATTTCCTTCTATTTTTCTCCTTTAAAAGTGGAATTGAATTTAAAAATCTTATTTCTAACGAAAGAGATTTAAAGAATAATATCTTCGGAACAATAAATGATAATCAAACTAATTTATATCTTGACCCTTTAAAAGAAACCAGTTCATTTGTATTTGGAAAGTTAACAGTATATTTACCTGATGAAAATTATACTTTACCTGTCTTGTCAACCGGATGTAAAAGGGAATATAATTTTATTAAACAATTATGCACTGTAATGAATTATGATGATATTCATTTTGTTCACGAGACTTGTAAAGAAACTAAAGGTAAAAAGACTATCGATTTCAGCATTGAATATCAATGTTTTCTCTAATTTTCCAGATCCTATTATATTAAACTTTAAATCTATAAAGCCTTGCTGTTCCTTGTAATAACATTTTGCCATTAAATGAATAGTATTCATTAATAAAAAAATATTAATTACTTCTATTTACCAGTTATGTTTTTAAGGAAAAAATGAATAGAAATTTTGGTGTTATTTGTATTAAATGTTTCAAAAAAAACGCCACTTGTAATGTATACCAAAAGAAAGATTGAAAAGAGTAAAATTTTATAGACAAAACGTTTTCTTCCCTCGAATAAAGATATTTTCACCAAATTCAATTCAAAAACTGAATTATTCATTCCATTTTTAAGAAGAATATCCAATAGTTATAGAATTTTAAGCAGAGATAAAGATTCAATATGTTCAAAATCGGAATTTTTTATTGATTATTATATTACAAATCAATTATTATTCATTAAATTCGATAAATATGGATTTAGTTTCAATCTCTCAAATTCATATGAACTCTTTTGCAGTTACGAAGAAATTAAAGGTAAATGAAGAAGACAAAAAGATTTTCTATAAGAAAAATCAAAGTGATTCAATATTCAATAGATTTTCAAATTGTTCCTATTGATGAATATTTTGCCTCTTTTATTTACTTATTTGGTGATAAGACTTTAAATACTTTTTCACCAATGATAGTATCAAAAACTTATGGTAAATTACCGTTACTTTGGCAAATAGGAGAAATACCACTTATTGCAAATTTCATTTGTCATATTTACAATAAAACAAGCGGAAATCAAAGATTACTTTACATGTCTATGCCAATCTTTCAGGTAAGATGTTTTTTTTATCTCTAGTCTTTTAAAGAAATAGACAGAAATTCCTTTTATCAACCAGGCGAATGTTCATTGCAGTAGATTGTTTAACTTTAATTTCTTGTCGAATAACCGTATGGGACTAACTGATTGTAAATGGGACAGATCTGTTAATGAAGGCTGCCGAATGAAAGCTCCAATTAGATATACTAACTTATACTTTTCCCATTGTAAAAATAAATCCGCTGACAGTAACGAATTATGAATAAATCGTTAAAAGGATACTTTACCTTCTATTAATAGTTACAGATTCTGTATTAAGAATTTATAATAATTTTCAAACGTCTTATTACTTCGATGATAAAAAGAAGCCAAAAGAAATAACTGGTTATTTACAATTTTCTTACCGTGAAAAATATTACGATATAAAAGAAAAGGCTATGAATAGCTTAATAGTTTCTTTAGCGTGTAAACATTTTGGTTTTTCTTATGGTACTACCGTTCTAAGTGAGTCAAATGAAGACAGAGCGATTTCTCTTGAAATAAATTGTCCAAACGAATTTCACAATATATTGGAATGTTTTACGGAAGAGAGAAGGAGAAAATCTCTTCTAAATGAAAAGACTGTAGGTAGTTTTGTACGATATGTATTAGCTCCGGATGATGCTTTCAATTTACATACGGTTGATAACCTCACTTTAAAAATTAAGTGCAGTTACCATACTTATCAGGGTTGTAATTTTCAAATAAATCAGTTATTATTAACTATATATTTAATATTTTGTATTATAAACATTTATTCTAGTTTGCCACGATAACCATAGTTACAATATTAACGATAATTGCTATTCAATATTCAAATCTGTAAGAAGAAAGAGTTTTGCGGAAGTGACATCATTATGCGAAAAGAATAATCTATATCTTGTAGATTTTTCATTTTTAATGGCTCATAAAGTACTTGTAAAATTAAGGCAAATGGATGTAATAGACAATAGAATACCAAGTGGTAAGTAAATAGTATACAGTGTACAGTATACTGTATGTTATGTCAAAGTTATATTACCTGGACATAATACCAATTTCTTATAGAGAAATAGTTAAATATAATGGAAATATTTAATAAGAAACTTATTTAGTATGCTTATTGATAGATGTTTTATATCTATGAGTAAAAAGAAAACGTACTTTATATTAAGATTTTCAAAGTGAAGTGCAAACAGACTTGAAACGCAAAAGTGCTTTGTTCACTCTTCAAATTGTCAAAATGATAATAGAAGAGAGTTCACAGCCAAGGTGATGAAGGATATACAACATTCATTTATAAAAGGAACTTTGAAGAGTTTATGGCTAACTATGGAGCCAAAGAAGCATAGAGTTTGCAAATCTAAGAAAAATCTGTTTTATCGTTGAATGGAAGAGAGTTCATGCTGATGGTATGATTTAGATAATTATTGAATGATAAAGCATCAACAAATCGTCATCTCCTTCAAGAATCGCTACTGTGTTATATATTGACAAAGATGACAATGACGTACGCTCTCCGAATGATTTTTAACTAAGAATGACCGTGTTAAACGAATGTCACATTAGCATTGAAATAAGTATGTAAAAACATTGAGATGGCATAAATGATTTAGCTTTGCTAATGACAATCTAGAGGTTGATAGAAGACCGCTTCTTTCAAAAGAACATTCAAGCATCTTGCGAAAACAAATAGTCCTTTATAAGTATAGTTTTTAGTTTGCCTAGTTAAGATGTAAAAATATAGAACTTTGACATAACAGTTATATATACACATATACAGTATACAGTCTACATAGTTTATATTAACCATATCAAATTACTTAGTAATTGGATATCGAAATTCTTCTAAAACAAATTCAAGACAAACTTCCTCCATTCATTTTAATTATCCAATTGACTTTATATTACAATTTGGTCTGCTACAGCATTTAAAATTAGCTAAACGATGTGAATTTAGTCAAAGAACTTTCTTTGAATATAAAGAATCAAGAGTAGGTGAATGTATGTATTTCACTTCAAAAGCTAGATATGGTGTTATTAAATTTTCAAATTGTAAAGAAACATTTACAAACTACATTTGTCAGAAACCTTTATGTTAGTAATTAATTTTATTTATAAATAATATTCATTGATTTATCATCGTGTTTAATTAGATACAAACGTTAAAAGAACTGTTTTATATCCTCAAATTATTTCGTCAAAAATTTCTCCTCAATTGTTTCTTTGTCAAAGTGATGAAATTTATATAAATATTATTTATGTATGTGATGGTAGAAGAGATTGTTCATTAAATGAGGATGAGAGACATTGCAATCGTATTCTATATTTCTATTGCTCTGAAAATGAGAAAATTAGCTTTCAACTCGTTTGCGATCATCATTTTGATTGTTCCAATAGAGCTGATGAAGATTTTTGCAGTGAGTGAAATTATAAACTTTATATCTATTTATATACCGTATAATGAAGCTTGAATTTGTTTTCCTTGTTAAAGACTGGAGTAAATGCTCTTCCAAAAGGTTTAATAGTACTTTTTTTCTTTCCATTTTCATCTGCAAAATATCTATGATTTTCAAGATGTTCAAACATGAAATGCCTTCCGAATGAAAAATTTTGCGATTCAATAATAAATTGTGAAGATAAAAGTGATGAAATATGCAAAACATCTTCTACTAATCCCGATCTAAGTAGAGAGAAAATAACATTTAACTGGATTAGCTAAATTAAAACTTTGAAATCTAGAAATCTGTCAAAAAAATTCATACCATTGCGATAAAAATCGATGTATACCAAGAGAATTTTACTGCAATACAAGATATGATTGCAAAGATAATAGTGATGAAGAAAATGAATTTTGCGATACAGCTAAGGAATTCAAAGGTTAATCATTCAAATTTAAAACAATTGGATAATTCTAGATTTCTATTTATTTTATAAAGCATGCGCACTGTTCATTAAAGAAAGTAAAAATGCGTGCAATTTGCAAATTGGTCTTGAAGATGAGATATTATCTCAAATACAGGGTCCATACTACCATTTAAATGACTGTGAAAATCACATATGCTTGAATGGAACTTATGGATGCCAAGACAGCGGCTATTGTATACCGGTATCATTGATATGCGATGGTATTACTCACTGTACGAAAGGTGATGATGAAATCGATTGCGGTTATTACTTTTTATTATACAATCGCAAGATATATATGCAATATGTACATATTAGATCAATTTCGGCCGAAAGGTTTCTTCCAATGTCGAGAAGACAGTATACTTTTAAAGCTAGACAACGTTTGTGATGGAATTATACAGTGTAAAGATGGTAGTGACGAAAATAGTTGTACAAATTCAATGCCATCTTCAGACAATTGCAATATAAATTTACAAACTAAAACAATAAATTGTACAAAGAAATCAATCACCAATTCAACTGTTGAAGAATATCATCATTCATTATACAAAAGAGCTATTTTTAAATCACTTACTTTAGATTTAGTTCAAAATCTATCCTTATCCTTCATTATGGATTTAGGACTAGATCAATGTAAATTGAATAATATTCTCTTAAATGAAAACTTTCCAAATCTTATTTCAATTGAATTAAAAGAAATGGAATTTAATTTTTCATTATATTTCAATTTAAAAGAAATTCAATTACTTCAATTTATTAAAATATATAAAATTCAAAGTGAAACTATAAACGAATTCTCATTTTCCATTTTTCCAAATCTTCGTCATTTAGAAATAATTGGTGTGTTATATTCTTCACTATCTCTTTCAAATTTGAATAGTCTATTAAAATTGAAAATCTTATCGCTTTTGGATTGCAATATTAAACATATTGATGGTAGAGGTGCTATTCCACTTCAAAGTGTTGAAAAGCTATTTTTAAACAAAACGGAAATACCATATTCCCGTAATCCTAAAATATTTCGACTATTTACACAAATTCAATATCTAGTTAGCGAATACTTTAGCATTTGTTGCTATATTTGGAAATATCAAAAGACAATAAAAAACTGTCTTCCTAGTAGTGAATTATTTACATCGTGTTCAGATTTATTAGTTTCAAATGGATTGAAAATATGCGTATGGCTTATGGCAGTTTTTGGCGTTTCCGGTAATGTTATATCATTATTTTTTCGTATTCATTCATTTCAACGTCTATCGCATTTATTATATCTATCGCTTGCAATTGGAGATTTAAGTACTTCGCTATCAATACTTACTCTAGCTATAAAAGATAAACAATACGAAGGCAATTATATATTATTTGACGAAATATGGAAATCTAGTTGGACGTGTAGTTTTATTGGAATATTTATTAGTTTTTCTTTAATATTTTCATCATTAATCTTATTGGCAATAACAATTGAGAGATTCTTAGTCGTTAAATATCCATTTGAAGAATATTTCAATAATATATATCTTATATCTTTAATTATCATCTTTAATTTAATATCTTCAATTACTCTTTCAATTCTTCCAAATTTCTTATTTAAAGTATTTCAACTTTAATCATTCAATTATTATTATTTATTATTTATGTAAAACTGTTCATTCTTTAAGGATTACTATTCGAACACACCAATCTGTTTTAATGTTTACATTAGAAGCGAAAATACTAGCGGATGGATGTATTCTTATTGGATATACGGAATTCTTATGTTCGTATTGTCAATAAGTATTGGTGTCATATATTGTATAATACTATTTTCACTGTGGAAAGCGTCACAATTCTCCAAAAATGTAAGCAATTCATTTACATCTGTGAAAAAGACAGCTTTGGTTATAGTTTTAACGAATATTGGCTGTTGGATACCAATTTCAGCGTTAGGTTTGAATTGAATCTATACTGTATATACCGTATACAAAAGCCAAGTAATGATATCATTCAAGGTTTATTTTCGTTGGTCGTTAAATTTCAAATCAAAAATGATATCTACATTTGGATTGTTATGTTACTTGTTCCAATGAACGCTATACTAAATCCATTTGTATATACAGTATCCGAAATATGGAAGAAGAATAGAAAGAAACGGTCTGTTGTTTAAAACAGAAATTATTAATTATGAATGAATTAATTAATATTCATTTAATCAATTAAGACAAGCTCTTCTATCCAAAGCAAGAGACGAAGTGAAATTAGAATGTATATAGTATATTTAGATATTCAATATCAATAATGAATTCTATATGATTATAGATTTACATTTCTTTAAAAATTGCTTTAAATATCATATTTCATCTGAAGAATATCTTCATAAATTATCTCCTTTCCAATATAAAACTGATATTAAGGGAATCAAAGATATATTTATCTTTACACTATGTTTATTCAAAGCTATTCAATTTAGTCATAAAAATTCACTTTGTCTGAATGAATCTATTTGCGAAACTTTAATTTTTGTAGAGGGAAATAAATATTATCTTTCTTTTCAAAATTTATCTGGATCAACCAACGAGAAGATTAATTCGGATATATCGTTAGCTATCGCTTTATTAAGAAAACTCCTTCAGAAATCGCATAAAGTGTTCAAGACATCTTGAACAGTTGTTTCCTCTGTTTATAAAACAATAAATGAAGTTATTTTCTGCCAATTTAATTAATTTTATGATTAATCTTAAATGAAATCTCCCCTTTAAATTTTTCCTGATAGTGTAGCTCTTAGCTATCTATACTTACCCGTATGATTGCTACACTAAGACATGAACTAATGGCTGATTAAATAAAGAAAAGTAAATATTAGGGAAAACAATCTATAAGGAGAGTTGAGAAGAAATGCTGTACTTAGCGACCTCGTTACTCTTTTACGTTGTAATTCTTGTTTTGAAGATAATCTAACTAGAAAAGATCAACGATCACTTATTATAAAGATATGTAAAATAAATGGACTTTAAGTAAAATCTATTAAAATAAAACTAGCATTCAGTGTATTCATATATATGCATATATTGTTTATTGGACAGACATGCTGGCCAGACGGACAGAGAGAGAGAGAAAGGTCATTGCACTATAGGTTAAGCTATACGATCAATAGCTACTTATAGAATCGGTTACTCACTTTCTCTTATCATTAACATTCCCAGGTCATACAAATCACATTCTAACAAAGAGTATCTAGACCGAAAAAAATTATGCAACTACGGAAATTTCGATAAAACTGCGTTTAAGCTAAAATTTACTGTCTACTCTACAACGATTTGCTAATTCTATTGACTAATTACTAAGTTACCATTGACAAATGCTAAACTTGATTTTTGCCCGCTAGGATTTATATATATATATATGAAAAATGCGAACTTTAACGTTAATTCACACTACTATACCGTGATTTCTGTTGAATAGTTAAGCGTAGAGAGAATTTAAATGTTACTTTTCTAATAGAAAACATAAAATGCAAAGTGCAATTAGTTTAATAAAACAATATTCTCCATTGGCTGAGATTAATGAAGATAAAAAAGATAAATTCTCAGAGCATCTCGAAACTTTAGAAGATCAGTGTAAAGGTGTCGTGGCAGAGATTATTGGATTTATACATATTCTCCACAAAGAGATATGTTACGAGAAAGGCTATACGTACGAAACGCCAGCATCAGAGGTTTCTAGAACTTGTGTTCAATTTTTGAACACCATTATGGAGTAAATAATTATTTAGTTTTATTTGTCATTTAGTTATAGTTAAGTAAGATATTGTCTTTCAATAGACGGGATTTATCGTATGAAGAAGCGAAACCTGTAAGCGAGAAGCTAATGAATCAGTTTACGAATATATTTGAGATTCAAGCTACCTGTTCAGGAAATTTGGATGCTATTGAAGAATTTTTTAGTAATAGTTTATTTATGGATTATATTGAGGTTTGTAGGAACAATCAGTCGTTTTCTGAAATATTCAAATGTTTTATGTTTACCTTTCTTCGTGTAGAAAGATGTATCTGAAGTTCATATTTCAAAGTGGCTTAAAAGTTTATGCAAAGAGTTTCAACCGAAGAAAAATGATAAAAATTCACAGTACTGGGCGGAGAATATAACAAATACATTTTCGTCAATATATTCAAATGTTTCGTAAGTAGTCCTATGTATATTATAAGTAAAAACTAAGTGAAATTTCTACATATTTTCTAGTTCGAAAACTCTGTTAAAATGTAAGGATGAAGTTGTTGAAGGACTCTTATTTTGGGCGAAAATTGGGATGAAATATAAGGAGGATGATACATCAAAAGTCATATTTGTAGAATTAGTCAACTCTATGATAAGTATTTTTGAGCAGATAGCTAACTCATACATGCTTACTGATGTAAACCAGTCAGAAATTTTTAAAGTATTAAACTTACCTTAAATATGTACTTAAAGACCTATTCCATTGACTTTTTTTTAATTGTAGAATTGGTCTGACGAGAAGTTGGAGAATTTCTTATCCAGATGCCAAAGTATGCTATTACAAGATAATTTTCCTCCTAACCCTCACCCGAAAGATGCAATGAGATTATTAATATCAGACTGCCTTGAGTCCTATACAAAGTAAGTTCATTTAATTTTTAATAACAGATGACTTTGTGATATTAATCTCTATGCTATGTCAGGGAAACTGAAAACGGAGTCCATTTGGCACTTATTCATTCCTTTCACAATAAAATAAATTGTACTGGAAACTCGGAAGCCCAGTCCATAGTAGACGACCTGAAATGTCCACTCGAAGAAAAGATGAACCTAATAAATGTAAAAGTCATTTTCCCCTATTTTTGAATTCAAAACCATTAATACTTTTGATTTTCCATATCATTTCTCATAAAGTTTGAAGCTGCTGGTAAAAAGAGCATAGTTCAACAATTTTTTGAAGATATAGATAATGTAAAGAATACAAAGCAAGCAGACAAAGTATGTTCATACTACGAAAAGACGTTCAATAGTGAAATTCTCCCAGCTTTAAAGTTTGTTACAATCGATAAAATGAAAGAAAATGTAAAACTTTTCATCTCTTTTTCAGAGGGGATATAGAAATTATGAAACAGTTTATTAAAGTTATCGTCAACAATCCTTATAGATATATAAGTGACAAGTTCTTTAGTAAACCAGCCAAAACACAAAAACTATTAAATATTAAAGCTAATCCTACTTTGCTTAAATTTATATTTGATACAATGTACGAAGCAAAAGTTGACTATAATGAAGAATCCAAATCAGCGTTTAATGATATTGGTTATGCAACTAAAAATCAATTAGAGTATGATATAAAACTAATAAAATATTTAATATCGATTATAAAACCATATTGTATTCATTTCAACAGTAAAGAGAATCTATTCTCAAAGTTTAAAAATGATATATACGACTATGTTGAAAGAAGTTTTAATTTTGTAAAACATCCTTATCACAATGCTGTTGAAGCATTTAATGCAACAGTTGATTGGAAGGTTCGTTAATAAAGTAATTAAAATTTCAATTTAACAATTCATTATCGAAATTTTTCAGGGACAAATTGAAAGATTTAATAGAATTGTAATTAAAGTTAAAGCAATTCTTGAGAAAGATCATTCGCATTATCGTCAAGCAGATCCTATTGTTACTGTATTTCAATTTACAAGTGAATATATTATGAATAGTGCAAGGTATTGATTTCTTTCAATGTATCTTTAAACTATAGATTTTAAATTAATATTCCAGGAAAAATAAGAAATTTATTGAATACGCGAAAAATTTTGGCGACCTGTTCAATTATTGCTATACTTTACCGTGGTTAGCGGATGAAGATTTAGAAGAGAAGTGGGGTCTATTTCAGATTGATAGCCGAAGAACCTTGGCTGGAAGAATTCTATATCTACTGATGAGAGATGTCTACAAAGAGGTAAATAAAACGCATATGTTTTGTTGTTCATAGTATAATATGTTTTTTCTGTTAGAATAATGATTATGACGACTTTATTAGACCAATTGTTGGTACCTTAAAAAAGTTGAAAAAACAGGACGATGATGCCGAGCTTCAGGTAATACAAAGACTTTATAGAGTATATATTAAAGATTACGAATAAATAACCTTTACAGGAAATGGCCATTGAGTTATTGTCACTGTTAACTGATCAAATAGAACTTCTTGGTAATGATGCTGGTACTGAAATAATTAACGAATTTTTAGATGCACAAGACCCGTTCAAATTAGGTATAGATTGATCTTTATACAATTCTATATATATTTCAATATTATACTCATATTTCAGATAAAATTGTTCCATTATATAGTTCCAATTCCGATATCATTCATGAGAGGCTTGACGATATCATTGAAATCGCAGAACAAAATGAGAGTTTTGGTACGGCGCATATGACACAACTAATTGACAAAATCGCCGAAGCTAATCCCAAACAAATAACAAAACGATGTTTTCAATATTTAATCGATGTTCTCCATACTGATTTCTGTTCTTCAGCTATTTCTCCACTTCAAAAATTGACAAACAAACGTTTTGAATTATTTAAAGACACTCAGAAAATATTTAAAGATCATGTAGAAAATCATAAATACGGAGGTTTCTTCTTAAGTCTTTTACCAGACTTGTCTAGAACACAGGAATTAGCCAATTACTATGCTAAAATAATTTGGAACTATATCCAAAAAGGAAAATCTGATCATGAAATTGCTGCACTTTACGCATTAAGATCACTGGCATTAAGATTTAAAGAACCTGTTGCCGCCTATAGAAAAGAGCTCGATATTATGAAAAACGATGTCAAACTTAAAGATTATGTGATGTATATTATAGACGTTCTCGAAGGTAGATCTTTAGAAACGGTTGCCAATGATGTTCAAGAACAGAGGGAAGATATCGATAACCTTGATTCCAGAGTCACTGAAAATGAAGAAAAGATTGTTGTTCTCGATACCGATGTTAAAGAAACAAAGAAAGATGTTGCTGATGTAAAACAAGATGTAAAAGAAACAAAGAAACGCATTGATCAAATTGAATATACAATGAAAGGACTCGACGAAAGAGTTGAACAATTAAATCATATGACTCTATCACACGCTCCAGCATGGTCTCGTCATGTTTCTGAATTAATGAATGATCAATCTGATAATGATTGGAGACTTCTCTCTATGAAATTGAACTATTCTAATGATGATATTCGAAATTGGGCTACTCAACCAGATCCTTGTCTGTCAATGTTGGACGAATGGTTCGCTACACACAAAACTAGAGAAGCTACTTTTGCTATTTTAAATAATTTGAAAGAAATGAACAGACTCGACGCTGCAGAAATTGTAGAAAATGCTTTAGCTTCTGTCAAAAATGTTGTTAAAGATGATGAAGACGAAGAATTTGAAAAACCCGAAATATTCCTCAGCTATCAATGGGGACATCAACAAGAAGTTAAAATGTTAAAGAAACACCTAGAGATGGCCGGCTTTAAAGCCTGGATGGACATTGGTCAAATGGGTGGAGGCGATAAACTATATGCAAAAATTGATGATGGTGTAAGATCAGCTAAAGTAATCATTAGCTGTGTAAGTGAGAAATATGCAAAATCAGCCAATTGTTGTAGAGAAGTAAATCTATCAACTAACCTTGGTAAACCAATGATTCCTTTACTTATGGAAAAACTACAATGGCCGCCTGCTGGTCCAATGGGTCCAATTATGTCGGAATATCTATATGTTCAATTCTTCAAAAATGGAGGAATGCAAAAAGGTGATACTGTATTTTGGATGCCTCCTAAATTTCAAGAACTACTGATGCAAATTCGATACTATGTTGTTCCGGATATGAAATTAATAACTAAAGATTCTCCATATGCTGGATGGATGAATCCACCTGAAGAAGAAATAATAATACCAAAGAGAGAGCAAAAGGCTGTAGAATCCAAAACATCGAATGCTAAAAGTGAAGAAGAAGAAGTGATAAGTCCCGATGTTTTCATCTCTTATCAATGGGATAAACAACCTCAAATCAAACGCCTATATAAGAAGTTGAGTGGATTGGGATATCATTGTTGGCTGGACATAATGCAAATGGGTGGTGGAGATTCACTATTTGATAAAATTGATAAAGGAATCAGAGGTTGTAGAGTTGTTATTTCCTGTGTCACACCGAAATATGCTTTAAGTGCTAATTGTCGAAGAGAAGTTTCATTATCGGGAGCATTAAATAAACCAATCATACCATTATTATTGGACAATATGAAGTGGCCTCCAGAGGGACCAATGTCAATGGTATTTACTCAACTGTTATATATAGGTTTTCACAGGAAGAAAGATGATAAACTATGGGAAGGCGATGAGTTTAATCAATTAATTTCGAAAATTGATATGAATGCGCCTGGTTGTAAAATTGAGCAGCAATCGTCAAGCTCTAAGGAAGCAACAAACAATACCAAAGAGAAGAAAGATGCTAAAAATGAAATTGAAAAGAAAAATGCACAAACACAGAAAACAGAGAAAAGAGATGAAGTGCCTAAGAAGGAAGAAGCTAAAATAGCATCTGAAAGAAAGGATAACAAAGAGACAAATTCAAAACAAGTGGAAAAAGAAAAATCAGTTGAAAGAAAAGTTAGAAAAGAAGATATGAAAAAAGAGAAAAATGTTGGAAATGGAACTAAACAGCCTGAACAATCTCCTGAAAAACCTAAGCCAACATCTGATAAAACTAATTCTACTCCTCCGGCCAAAAAATCATCGACATGTAGTATTTTATAATTATCACTATAGGATATATTAAATGTAAATTATTCAGTTTCTGTTATATATACAGTAGATATATAGTAATATGTAACTTTCTTGAATTAATAGTTTTATTTGTTTTGTTAATAAAGAAAGTACATTCACTCGTTTTTCCTATTTTTAGGTGTGTTTTAAAATTCTATATTTTTAAGTTTTTGATTTTATAAATAAATTTTATTTTAAAGAGAGAAATTTCTAAGAAATATTACAAGACAATTAACATATTATAGATGGCTCTAGTGTCTGTTATCGATTTCCAATGTTATTTATATTATTTTCAAAACAACCATGGCAGATTAAAAATATTTATAGCTTTTTTACTAGAATTGGTAAAAATTCAGATATATTGACAACTTCTTATTGTAAATTAAATTCAGGGTTCGACTAACGAAAAAGAAGATGGATAAAGCAATGAATTTGATTGTAAAATACTCTCCAATCGCTGAACAGCAGCAGGATATCTGTATACAAATTATAAAAGAGTTAAAACAATTGAAAAGTAAATCTAAACGAAATATACAACTGATGATCTCTTATGCGCAAACTGTTCAAAAAGAAATATGTTATGCTAATGGATACACACGTAGTAGTCCTCAATCAGAAGTGATACTAGCTGCAATTGATTTATTAAATCATGTTATTTCGTACGTATCATATATTTTAATAGAACGTTGTTTCTTATCTTAAATAGTACACTCTCTAATCTCTCTATTAGATCCGGCTTTACGTTACAAGAAATTAAACCTCTATTTCAAGAAATAATGAATATTCTTATATCAATATTCGAGCAAAGAGCCGTCTGTTCAGGAAATATTATTGCTTTACAATGTTTATTATCTCTTCCAAATATTAATCTTTATTTTAAAGTTTGTCTCGATATTTATCACATGTTAAAGTAATCCTTAAGTGTCTTCTCTCTGCAGAATGACGTTGATGCAGTAACTCTTTCGAAATGGATTAAGGCGCTCTGTCAAGATTTTCAACCGAAAAAATACGATTATGAACCTACAGAAGTGACGTTTAGCCTAGCAAATAGTCTTTCTCTCTTTACTTCTCAAATTGTGTAAGTAAGTACCATTTTCTCTTAATAAAACTTTTAAATTATGAATAATAACTACTTTTTAAGTAGATCTATAAAATGAAAATTGTAATATTTCGACTTTTACAGCCCAGGACAATTGGTATTGTGTAAATTTGAAATTTTAAAAGGTTTAGTATTTTGGTCAGAAATTTCCCAGAATAATGAAATAGCCGGTAGTATGATATCTCTCTTTCATGATATGGCGACTTGTATAGCTTCCGAATTGAAAAATTCACATATTTATGAAGTAAACAATTATATTTGCATTTAGGATCCTTTCATCAATTTCTTTATCATTTCAAGGATTTAGGGAAAGAAGCATTTGGTTCAATCCTATCAAGATGTAGAAAGATACTATTAGCGCAGAATTATTATGCTCAGGATTATTTACAAAAGGCTTTGTTATTTTTGATAAGAGACGGTTTACAGTCCTATCTAAAGTAAGTGAAATACTATTATTATTTATAGTTGAGTTTGTATTATTAAACAGTAATAATCTCTCTTAGGCAAACTAACAATTCTGTCCATTTGGCATTGATTTTTGACTTTTATGAAAAAGTGGAAAAGTCAGAGAATCCTGATGTTAAATATGTCTTAAACGGTATAGGACAGCTTCTTCAGGAAAAGATTCAAATGATAAATGTAACGTATATAATTAATTAATAATAATCATAAATCATATCAATATTCTATCTAATATAGTTTAAATCTATTGGAAAGAAAAGTGCCATAGATCAATATTTTGATGAGATTAAGCACTTAAAAAGTTCAAAAGAAGCTAATGAATTAATGAGAAAGTATATTAAAAATTTTCCAAATAAATACCTACCAATACTACAGTAAGTTCAAAATGGAAAAAAGTCATTAAAAGATTAATCTATAAACTTAATTAACAGAGAAAAAGATGAAAAATTGAAAGAATATATTCTAGTGATAATTGAAAATCCATATTATGATATTTCTTATTATCTCTTTCAAGAGTTTGTTGAAAAAAGACAAATGATAAACATTAAAGAAAGTCGACAATTATTTCTTTTTACTTTTAATTCAATGTATTCAGCAAATGTTAAATATGAATATGAAACAATTAGAGCCTACGATTGCATGGCTAGAGGATTTATGGTTCTTATGGAGTAATTAAATAATATATGATAACTGGTATATTTGAAAATAATGTACTTTATTTTCTTCTTTAAATATAGGAAACATAACTTGATGGCAAAATGGAAAAATGATATTTATGATATCATTGAAAAAGCGTTTAATTTACATAAACATCCTTATCATTCGGCCGCTTCGGTATTTAATTCAAAAGTTGATTGGAAGGTTAATTAATAGTTGTTTATTACATTTATTCAAGTAAATACAGTAAACAATAAAACTACAATACTTTTAGGGAGAAATTGAAAGATTTAATAGAATTGTAATAAAAATTAAAGTACTACTTGAAAAGGATCATTTATACGTTCGTGAGAATGATCCAATTGTTGATGTCATTCTATATACAGTACAATATCTTATGGTTTCTTATACGTAATATCCATACCTTTAAACGTATACTTCCTCCTCAAAATAAACTTCTTTTTATATCATTAATAGAAGAAATAAGAAATTTATTGAATACGCCAAAACATTCGGAGACTTATTCAATTATTGTTACACTCTACCTTGGCTTAGAGATGCGGAAAGCAGCGAATTTGAAAGAAATAACCTACTTGAAGATAGACGAAGAACTTTAGCTGGACAAGTTCTCATTGATTTTTTAAAGTATATTTATCCTTTGGTATGAAAAAATTGAATTATTCTTTCGTTAAGTATTCAAAACATCTTCAAAATTTTCTTACATACTCCTTATAGCATAGTCAGTATACCGAATTTGTTAAACCCATTATTGATAGTGTGCGTAAATTGAAGCAACAAGAGGATGACGTCACGCTACAAGTAAACAGTATTAAAATATATTATACAAGTATCCTCTTTATTTTAAAAAAAAATAGAACCTTGCCGTCTCTCTACTCTCTCAATTAACCAATCAACCAGACCTTTTGGATGTTACTTCAGCCAAAGAGTTTTTTGACGAATTCTTACAAAATCCAGAAATTACTCAGTTTTGTAAATAAAAATAAACATAAAACTTTATTAACAGACTTATTAATTCATTTTTTAATTTCAGCAAAAATCCCTCCACTCTACAATATATGCCCCGATTATATTTATGAAAACTTTACAACTCTTATCGATATTGCAGACGCAAATGAACCCTATTTTACAGTCTATATGACGCAATTAATTGAACAAATTGTCTCAAATCAACCTCAAAAGATAACAGACGAAATTTTCAAATATCTCATATCTATAACTTCAACAGATTATTGTGGAACTACAACTAAATCTTTAGGAAAATTGGCAAATTCACATTTTCATCTATTTAAAGATTATCATAAAATCATTGTTGCTAATATGAAGACTACGAAATACCCGCTAATGACAGTTATACCAGAATTCTGTAAAACAAAAGAGTTAGCTGAGTTCTACTGTCCAGCAATTTGGGATTTTGTTACAACAGTAAATCCTGACTTTATGAAATCATGCCTTTATACTTTTCGGATATTATCACAAAGCTACCATCAAGTTGTTTCCAATTATAGAAAGCAAATTGAAAAATTAAAAGAAAATCCACAATTGAAAGAAGCCGCAATGGCCGTCATAGATGAACTTGAAGGTAGATCTTTAGAAACGGTTGCCAATGATGTTCAAGAACAGAGGGAAGATATCGATAACCTTGATTCCAGAGTCACTGAAAATGAAGAAAAGATTGTTGTTCTCGATACCGATGTTAAAGAAACAAAGAAAGATGTTGCTGATGTAAAACAAGATGTAAAAGAAACAAAGAAACGCATTGATCAAATTGAATATACAATCAAAGGACTCGACGAAAGAGTTGAACAATTAAATCATATGACTCTATCACACGCTCCAGCATGGTCTCGTCATGTTTCTGAATTAATGAATGATCAATCTGATAATGATTGGAGACTTCTCTCTATGAAATTGAACTATTCTAATGATGATATTCGAAATTGGGCTACTCAACCAGATCCTTGTCTGTCAATGTTGGACGAATGGTTCGCTACACACAAAACTAGAGAAGCTACTTTTGCTATTTTAAATAATTTGAAAGAAATGAACAGACTCGACGCTGCAGAAATTGTAGAAAATGCTTTAGCTTCTGTCAAAAATGTTGTTAAAGATGATGAAGACGAAGAATTTGAAAAACCCGAAATATTCCTCAGCTATCAATGGGGACATCAACAAGAAGTTAAAATGTTAAAGAAACACCTAGAGATGGCCGGCTTTAAAGCCTGGATGGACATTGGTCAAATGGGTGGAGGCGATAAACTATATGCAAAAATTGATGATGGTGTAAGATCAGCTAAAGTAATCATTAGCTGTGTAAGTGAGAAATATGCAAAATCAGCCAATTGTTGTAGAGAAGTAAATCTATCAACTAACCTTGGTAAACCAATGATTCCTTTACTTATGGAAAAACTACAATGGCCGCCTGCTGGTCCAATGGGTCCAATTATGTCGGAATATCTATATGTTCAATTCTTCAAAAATGGAGGCATGCAAAAAGGTGATACTGTATTTTGGATGCCTCCTAAATTTCAAGAACTACTGATGCAAATTCGATACTATGTTGTTCCGGATATGAAATTAATAACTAAAGATTCTCCATATGCTGGATGGATGAATCCACCTGAAGAAGAAATAATAATACCAAAGAGAGAGCAAAAGGCTGTAGAATCCAAAACATCGAATGCTAAAAGTGAAGAAGAAGAAGTGATAAGTCCCGATGTTTTCATCTCTTATCAATGGGATAAACAACCTCAAATCAAACGCCTATATAAGAAGTTGAGTGGATTGGGATATCATTGTTGGCTGGACATAATGCAAATGGGTGGTGGAGATTCACTATTTGATAAAATTGATAAAGGAATCAGAGGTTGTAGAGTTGTTATTTCCTGTGTCACACCGAAATATGCTTTAAGTGCTAATTGTCGAAGAGAAGTTTCATTATCGGGAGCATTAAATAAACCAATCATACCATTATTATTAGACAATATGAAGTGGCCTCCAGAGGGACCAATGTCAATGGTATTTACACAACTGTTATATATAGGTTTTCACAGGAAGAAAGATGATAAACTATGGGAAGACGATGAGTTTAATCAATTAATTTCGAAAATTGATATGAATGCGCCTGGTTGCAAATATTTGCCAGCTTATAAGGAGGATTCCGAAAATATTCCAGTTGATTCTAACCTGAAGGATAATGTAAAAGTTCTATCAGATAGAAATGTCACAAATTTCGAAAATGGTAGTGTTGAAAATGAAAGTAAAAATTTAAATATGGCAGTTAAAAGCGAGTGTATTCTTCCGCAAGAAGATGATGATAGAACAGAGAAAGAGTTGTCTAAGGAAAAGAGACGTAAAGAACGAGAATTAATAGAAATTGAAGAAGAAAGGAAGAGAATTGAAGCGGAAAGACAGCAGTTTGAGTTAGAAAAAGAAAGACTTCAAAAAGAAAGAGAATATTTTAATGGAGAGAAGCAGAAACATGAACAAGACAGTTCTCAGAAGGATTCAAATTCGAGAAAGTCGTCCACGTGTTTGTTATTGTAATTACAATTTTATATCCAACTAAAGTAATTAAACATTAAAATAGAACGTTAAAGAATTTAACGTTTGTCTTGAGTTTATATTGTAAAATTGGCTTCTGTTTTAACAAAATATGGTCTAATGAACAAAGAAGTGGCTTTGAAATAGTAGAGGATTATATGAAATCTGAATGTCGTAAGAATAAAATGGTATATATAGTACCAATATCATTCAAATTTACGTTTACTTCATTAGTTCAAAATATCAATTGATTTTTCAAAATATGCTAAATCAATAGTATTTTTCTTTATGGCAACTTCTTAAGCCTCTTCTGTGCTCTTATAAGTATTATTTTCTACGTTGTAGAATTTGCTATACAGCAAAATTTCTGTTACAATGAGAATATTTACATGACATACAATATCCTCTTCTCAAACTAGAACATAGCTATACTGTACGCTCTATATCACTGTATATAAGGTAAAAGATATATATGTTGTAAATCATTAAAGTGTTGAAAATAACTACATTATATAAACAAAAGCATTAATTCTCTTCTCGTTAATAGCAAACTGAACTTAAATTTCCAATAAATGATATTGATTTCGGAAAAGGTTATCAAGTGCAAAACCTTTCCCGGAAAGCACAAAAATATAATAAATTAATAAAGGTTATATTCGTTTCTTTAAAGAAAGTACTGTATTAATTCTATATACTCAGAGTCTGGTGCTTTTAATATGACGGTATTAATTGTATCTGAACAAGACAATCGATAACTTTTCATAAACCATAAAACTTCCGGCGTTGAACTCTCTATAATCGCTGTTAAATCTTAGGACAAGTAAGTGGTGGACTAAAAAACCGGGACACTGTAAATTTTGATAGGCCAATTTTTAAATCACCCCAAAAATATGTTTTTTAGTTTGAAATTAGTTTTTTTAGGCAATTTACATTGATAAAGGGTTATATTTATGTAATATTGAAAAAAAAATCACAAAATTATCATATTTGTGAATATTAATAGGAAAAAATTTTTTACTAATTTTAATTAATGTTTTCTTTATTTGGCCGTGAGACGTTATTAACCGCACATCCGTTTTGTTTCCGGTTTTGGATTCAAATTAACATCCCAAACAGAAATTTTTTTTGACAAAACTAATTTTCAAAGTTAAGTAATCACTTTTGATCTATTTTAATTACTGTAGTTAACTTTAAATTCTATTTACTTAATTATGGCATGGGGTAAAGAGGTTAGGAATCTAGTATTTAAGAAATACGAAGAATTGGGAAAAATTAGGGCAACTGCAAGGGCTTTGGGAATGGCACCATCTACCATTAGTGACATTTTGAGATATCAGCCACCACAACAAGAGAACAGGGGTCGTACAAAGAAGCTAACAGAAATAATTAGGATTAGCAAATGTATTGCAAATGAGGATTGTCATATTCAAAAATAATAAAAATATTAATCCCCAAACCATCGTCCGAGTAATAATGTCTCATGGCCAAATAAGAAAAAAAATCATCAAAAAATGGATAATAAGAAAACAAAAACACTTATGTGAAAACTTATCTAAATGATATTTAAAAGAAACTCATGTATATATCAAACTTTAAACTACTATTTTATACCTGACAAATAAAAAACAAATCTTTTTTGCTGGTGAAAAAGATTTATAATGTTTGGCCTATCGAAATTTATGGTGTCCGGATTTTTTTGTCGACCACTATATACCTATATATGGCTTAATCTAGAATTAACAATTCTAGACAGTATCTATACACTATGAATAATCTATTGTGTAGATTTTGCTTATTGTACAATCTCAAATGTGTCAATAATAAGTAAAGATACTTTATAACAAGTTTATATTTAGTTATCAACATATGCTTACAGTTTATAACTATATTAATAATAGTCGTGAGTTATTAAAAGGTAATCAAGTGCATTAATTCAAGTTCATTTTTAAATCAATTTAATTACAACTGAGATATTTCTTTCAAAATTTTAACAAGTTGAGAATTTTCGGATTTCCATCTGATAGTTGATTCAAAGATGTAGGCTTCCGTCAGAATTGACTTTTTTTCTCTATTATTCAATTCGTTGTTCTTCTTTAGAACAACTTCTTGAACAACTTCTCTGCATATATCTTTGGTAATACCGTTCACATATTTGCTTGGTGCGACTTGACTTCCTCGGCAAAAGATAGCATTTCTTATAGCCAGAAAAAGTAAACCAAAGATGTTTAATGGAGGTGGCAGAAAGAACTTTTGTTTATATTCGTAGATCCTCTGAACAATTTCGGCTGCCCATAGATTAACTGCTTTTTCCTCGGCTTTAATGTAGGATGAGGCGAATTTAGCAATTAAAATATTTAATAGTAGAATATTGGTAACAATAGCATAAACACCATGAAGTACATTTCCCAGAGAAGAAAACGGCGCTACCTTTTTAACTGCTGCAACATCTTCATTCACTTTATCTGTATTCATTTCACCGACAACTACCCAAAATTCTAAAAAAGAGAGTTCACCCATGACTTCATTAAACGGCCTTTCGTCATATACAACTTTCATAAAGCCGAAATATGCAATACCAAAACTAAAGACAAACATAGGGAAGATAGTTACAAATAGCAGAATGTCTTTAACCATCAATATCATAGCAACTATTAAATATCCAAAACTTTTGAATATTGTTAAAAATTGAAGAAATTTTAAAGATAGAAGAATTGCAGTAATACCGAACGATAATCTAGTAGCAATCGAATAATTCGTTTCAATTAATAGTTTTAATAATATAGAGATAAGAAAAGCTATAATACATGAATAGTCAATAACGTTCCAACCATTTTTAAAGTAACTTTTCCAAACATCTTTTGCAACTTTGTTAAAAATATTATATTTCACTTTTTGCAGTTTTCGTATATTCTTCTTAAACTTTAGATGATAATCTAACGATTTGAGTATTATGGCGTAGACATCTTGTATTTCATCCACAATAAATCCTAGAGCGTACAGTATCATACATAGGAAACTGCTAAATTCAAAGAGATCCTTATTTAGTTCGAATGTAATTTGTATTATTACATAGTAGCCAATGTGAGCCATTATAATTAGGGTGAAAAAAGCTCGAAGTATTATCTTACTAATAAGGTATCTACCTTCGCTACCTTGCCAGGAACTATTCAGAAATGGAACCAATCGTCTTTCTACAAGAATATGTGACAAATTATGTTCAGCTGCTAAGTTGATTACAGTATCCGTCTCCGTTTTAGATTCATCATCAAAGTCCTTATACATTGTTTTCCTTGAAAAGACGGGCGTTGATGAAATGGTAATATATGCTTCAAAATGTTCCCTATCATATAACTCAGAAAATATGGTATTTGCTAATTTAGAGTATTCTTCGTGTAGAGCAGTAAACTTTTCTTCATATGCCAGATTCATATCACTTTTAATACTGCCACAATAGTGAGCGAGATTTTTATAAACAATTGAAATAATCAGACAAGCACTAATTGGATTCACTTCGCCAATTAAACAATTAATTAGGTCAGTGTTACAAGTTAAAGTGCCAAAAATGATAAGATCCCAAACGGGATCTTCAAATGGTTGATAGAATATTCCAGTATCATGTCCCAAAGTATGGTCCATAATTTTTAGAATGATTAATTTAACATCATCTATCTTATACAAGTAGTAATCTATATTTTTTAGGTTGCTAAATAAGGATTTATCAGAGTCTACTTCGAACAGAATCGAAAACCATTCGGGTAATTTACTATTCAACTGTTCCAAGTAGTTTTCGCCATGAAAATCCAGATCTTTTTGTATGACTTTTTTAAATTTATTATCATTATTTGGTAATGATGAATATTCATCATTTGAATTATCGCCATATCTTATTCTAGTAATACAAGAAGTAGAATAACTCAATCTATTTAAATCGTCTTCCTTAAAGAAATAAATCTCATTTCTTAAGAGGAAAATAAGGAAGAATTTTGATAAAAGTATCTGACCAGAGTTACTTATCTCCAGATCTTGTAGTTTGTTCTTTAAATACTTTATTTGTTCTTTAAAAATTGCTGATACTTTCCTATAGATTACTTTACTATCGTCGTTATCTTCATTGGAAATGTTCAAAATTTGATTTAGGAGAGTAACGTTAAACGAAAACTGCTTGTATGTGGAGGCTTTTCCGACGAAAGAAATAGTAGATGATGGTCGAGATCTAACGGATTTGCTTATATTTCCTAAAAAATCCTTAGCGTCTACTTCTTCCAGACCTAAATGTTCTATAAGATCTTTTTCAGTCCTAACCAATTCGGTTTCCAGATTGTGTTTTATTGGATCTTCTCTTTTAATCGTATCCATAAACGATTCAATTTCAGGAATTATTAAAAGTTCATTCGTAAAGCTTTCTTTCACTTTCTTATTATAATCGTTTATATTTTCAAATTTCTCCTCGTTTTTCATAATATCTTGCAGTTGTTTGATACAACTGTCGATAGTGAACTTATCAAGTTGATAATCTTGTAGGATCTTTGTCATTCTTTGCGAAAACTCTTGGATTTGTTCTTCTTTAATTTGTTGATTGACTTTGCATAAAAGATCTCTAACGATTGTCAAATATTTCTCTTTCAGATAGATAAGAAAGTCGTTTTCTTGAACAACTGTTAAAAAAGTAAACGATAGGAGTTGACCTTTTGTCTTGTCCTCCGCGAAATCATTACCAACTGCTACATTTGTTGATAATGCCGGTTCATCTTCGTCATTCAGTTCATTTTTTACAAGGTTCTGAGAACTTACATCCGTAACAAATTTCTTGAGCGAACTTATATTCGATTGTCGAAGATTGTTTTCCATATTTGAGCATAAGGAAAGAATCTCTTCGGAGAAAATACTATCAAGTTCATCTTTAATACTTTCGTCGTCCAAAAAGAAGATACTTTTCTTATTTACAGTAGCATGCTTTACGAAATTGAGCTTTTGCATAAAGAAACTATTGAAATAGTCCACATACTTTTGTCTTATTGTATCGCTTAACTTTTGATTCGGATCCATTAAACATTCTAGAAAGCTTGCCTTACATTTTGAAAAGTAACGTCTCTTAGTATTTAATAGCTCTTTGGTAAAATGATTAAGGAATACTGTATTAGTAAAATCAAGTTTAAGCTCTTTTTCCAGAGTAGTGTTGTGAAAGTCCGACGATATAACATGATTTAAAAGACAATCTTTTAAATGATCAACAGCAAAATCTTTAATATTTCTTCTTTTCTGAAGATTTTGTCTCTCCAAGGAAGCGATCACTTCATCTTCACACAGTCTATTAGTAAATTCTGATGCGCAATTTATAATATCATTCTCTAAAGTGTTAAGCATATTTATAACATCAATTTCTTTACCAAAATAAAAGATTGTACTGTTTCTTTGATTATTATATTTAGATTTTAATAAAGCCTTATTAAAATACCAGATTTTCAATTGTTCCAGATTTTCGTCGATATTCTCTACTAGAAAAACGTACGTAAACAAATTCTGCTTTTGTTTTATACAATTCATAAGAAAGAATTTTTGACAATTTTTCATAAATTGGACAAAATCTATATCGTTTTGTAGGTTAAATGGTAAATGGAAACTTTCTACGGCAATATTACACAACTGCATTGTAATACCTCGTTTTTCTATCAAAGTCACTGTAAAATCGAGTTTCTCCGACATTATTAGCTCAGTAATTAAAGAGAATAGATGCTCATCTTCCACTATTAGTATTGTATTTGCTGGAAAAACTACCTCTACAAATTTAATAAACTCTCCTGATATAAATCGCTTTGGATCAGGAAAATTTCCTATGTAACAGCAGCTTTCATATTCAAAGTTATTGTCATCCAAGTATCTTTTTAAGGATTGCAATTCAATTTGATAGTTGAAGCTCGTAGCCATCTATGCAGGAGAGAAATATTAAACAGTTTAACGATTCTGATGCTGTTAGAAGGAAGACGAAGAATAAATGAGATTTGCACAATCTTTTATACAGCTTCTTATTAAAAGATCTAAACGTGCTTACATAACAAAATTTCAAGCACAAAGACAAAATTTAAGCTGAACTGCAAAGTCGCAGTTTCAAATTAAGACATTTTCTCTCGATAGAACACTAGGGAGATTTATTGACCATTAATTGATTATACGCATTCTATAGTTAGTTGTTCTCGTTGAATATCTGAATTAAACGGTAAAGACAGGTTATATTAGTATATGTTTATTGATTATTTTCAGCCTCTATATAAGTTATGCTTATTAAAATTTAGTCGGCGTTTAAGTCATATTTCCTCCAAATGGAAACGGATATTAAAAAACCCAAACTTTGTATGCTACTAGAATTCAGTTTGATCCAGAATAAAGATTTTCTCTTTTCTTTCGTCTTTGAAATGTTTTTGGATTAGAAGGTGTTAATCCTCCTACTTGTCTATTAAATAACAAGTTTCAATGAAGTATAAAAGAATCTAAGGCCTACAAACATACATTTGTGGTAACTAGTATTAATATATAAAGGGGGGGGGGGGGGGGTCAATAAACTTTAATAACAATCAGGTATGATTCACAGGCAAAGGAAAACCCAAAAGATTCTTTATTAGTATAATTGAAAAAGAGAGAATAATAAAAAAGTGAAAAATATCATAATCTTTTTTTAATTTTACACTAGAAATTTCAGTTGTTCAAAGAAAATCAATTTAAAGATTGTTTATAATCACATTCAATACAAAACTTGCAAAAAAATACAATGATTAAACAGGGGAATACATTCAAAATGAGGGAGATTTTAAGATTAAGATATTGATAATTTATTTTAAAGAATATGCATTTACCTTTCAACTCAACTTCCGGCTGATCTTATACCTAATCCTTAGTTGTGTGCTATACTAATTGCACTAAACTATTTTAAATTTATTATATAGATTAACCCTGTCGAAAAGAAAGGAGTTATGTTCCTTCATTATCCTTTAAAGCATTCACACACATACAACTGTATTGTATATCGATTTTATCTTATAGAAAATCCTTAAAAAAAGTGTTATATTGTCATTTTTAAAAGAAATTTGTTCCGTTTTTCATGAATAATTAACTTTGAATATTTATTATTAAAATTTCCTCTGAATTCTTGTTGACTTTGGAAAGAGTCTTTCCCGAAAACCCGGTAAAAATAATGTATTCATTTATCAATAGAACAATTAGTTCGATTAATTTCAGCCTTTTCTCCAAAATTAAATAATCAATGCCGGGACTTGAAGCATTTTCTCTACTACAACTAACTCTTCATTGATTATTTTTTTAAAGGATTAAAAGTCAAATTTCCTTTTACTCGGAATACGAATCAACCAATTTATAGTTAACTAAAACCAAATCTTGGTAAATGTTAGCAATATTATGTAGTAGGCCTAAAACTTTATAGAAAATAGATGTCGCTAGTCTCTTTTAAAAGTCAGGATAGTAGACAAAGAGACGGCATCTGAAGTATGAATTGCAATACTTTGTTGTTCGGTGACTTTTAAACCGTCCTCGTGAAATGGCGATTTTAACGGCTTCTATAATATATGATTATATATAAATATATATATTTTTGAACTACTTGTAATATAATATATCATTACTGCACAGAAGATACAACGATTCTAGATAAAAACAGGATATATCAAAGTATACTACTACAAAATAGAATGCTTAAGGGTTCCTCTTGAGAAATTGCATTGTTCCTATCAAGTGCTTTTGAAGAATGGATCCAAAATTGCGTTTACATTTTGCACATTTTCAGGTAAATTGATATTGTACATCTATTAAAACAATAGAATTATAATAAGAATAAATGATAATTTACCTTTTGCTAATTTACCTTTGCGACGAGTTGCCTTTGATCTTTAAAAATGTTATAATATAAATCTCGATCATTCCACAGAACTCTTGAAGATTGAAATATTCTATTGCGAACAACTTTAGTAGCATATACTATTACTTCCGTCCAGAAATACTCGTGATCCAACTTCTTTAAGTATTCAAAGAATATAAAGCATTTCTTATAATGCGAAAGCGATTCGAAGGTTTTACAGTATTCTTCTTGAAAAATCTGATGATGTTCAAGTATTTCTAATAGAGTCTATAGAAAAGATAAGAGTATAAAGGTTTAAAGGTATTTTGTATATTAATGAATGAATACCTTTAAAATGTATTCGATATTCGGGTTGGTTTTTTTGAAATTACTGTTTTTCACTTCTTCTCTCATACAATTGTTTAGGCAATGATAGAAATAATGGCAAAAGTAATGCTTTAGGTATTTAACAACTTTGAATAAAAATTCACCGGTAAAGTGTAAACTATCCTGAAAATATATCAATAAACAAATAGGTTTTTTATTGTTTCTTCTTCCAATCAAAGTAAGGAAACTTACGTCGAAACAGTCGCTAAACAATATCGCGTCTGTTGAAATACTTATATTCGATGGTTGTTTATCAACAAATGAACTGGAGAGTAGGGCAACGAATTCTAATTTCTGATGATTTTCAATAAATTCTCTATAAAGGGGAAGAAAGAGAGAGAGAGAGAATGAAATCTAATTATTTCAATTACTTAAACTTACCTCATAGACAAATTGAACACTCTTCTATATTCTCTTAATATCAGTATACGCAAATTTTTCCATACATCGGCATGTTGTAGAGTCATTATGAATTCTTCATCTTTTATTTTTCGAAATGGTATAGCTAGATCAATTTTCGTCAAATTTCCAATATCTTTTATATACAAAAGATCGTTTGTAGGCGTTAAATTGTTCAAGTTTTCAAATGACGTCAAATTTGGAAAGAAACTATCAAAATCTTCATCAACAAACGTAAAATTATAGAAATAGATCTCTTTTAAATGCGGTATTTCCGTTAATAAGAAATGTACAGGATAGTTATTTAAAGAATTAGAAGTTAACGATAATTTATGTATTGATTTCATATTTCTAAAGAATAATTTCAATTTTCCAGACAACGAAAATGAATTATCAATAAATAATTCCTTAACGAATACTGGATTAACGTATTCAATGAACGATTCAATTTTTTGAAAATTATGAATATATAGTACACGAAGTCTATGATTACTTAGAAAACTCCAATCGGTACTGGATGAATATTTATCGTAGAATAGACGAATTTCAGTTAACTTAAGAATATTTGAATTAAAGAATTTTAATTCGCTATTACGTAATTTCCTTTTTTCGTTATGAACGAAATGAAAGATTGAATTGGAAATTTGTTCCGGAAAAGATAATCTAAAGAATGTACATAGTTTAAATAGAAAAAATAGATTTTTCTCAATTACATACAAACTACATTGTTTTAAAGTTAACAAATACATTGTTAATCGACGTTTTTATCCAAAATATATCTATTTTTGACGAACGACGCGAACGATCAGAGGACGAACAGCAAAGTAACACAATAGAACGAAAGTATTTCCTTCTTTTGTATTGTTTGAATAGTCTTTAGCTTTCTAATTCTATTCAAACAAAAATTCAAAAGTAACATAAAAAGAAACAATAGGGAAATTGGCGGTTAAAAATCACTTTCCCAAGAATTCAATACTATATGTATATATGTATCTATATAGTATATAGTGAGTAGTTTTACACCAGCAAGATGTCTGCTACTACTACGCTGCTAAGAATTTAATCATGATGCTTATATTGAAAAATATTATCATTCTATATATTGTAGAGAATTTTCCAGTTTACGTTAAACTTCTATTGAAAACTCGCTTTCCGTACGACTTGAAAACTGAAATATTTGAATTATACTTGAAAAAATATGGTAAATTTTCCAAGAAATATCTATCATTGATAAAAAAGTACTCGTTTAAAGAGAGGCACTTATATTTCGAAGCTGAAAAAATTAATACAACGTCTATCTTATCGTTCGTTAAAGAATATCCGCCGAAACAATGGAAAGTATTCGATTTGGAGAAAATCAAATTGAACGATCTAATATCGTTCATTAAGAAGAATAGAAAGAATAACAAGAAAACACCAAAGAATAAATTTTATAGATTATGCCAAAGAATTGATTTTAGCAGTATTAAATATTTAAATTTAAAACATACTAATCTAAAAACTAATGGATTTGAGATAATCTGCTCAGAATTTCATAATTTAGAATATTTAAGAATATCTCATACTCAAGTTGAAAGGTTTAGTTGTATTGAAAATTTAAAGAGATTAAAGAGATTTGTATTTATTGCTTTTCCGCAAAATTGTCAAGTTGAAGATTTAAAGAGTTTAGCAAATTTAGAAAATTTAGAAAGAATTGTATTTAGAAAATCTAAACAAAGAACTAATTTCAATTTTACTGAAACTGTAAAATATATTTTATCTGCAAATTGCTACTGGAAAAATTTATTTCAAATTTCAATGTCGTTCGGTAAATTAACGGAAAATGATGTAAGGTAAGTGTTTTACGAGGGGAAAAGTATTTAAAAACGGTCTTTTATACTGTTCAATCAACATTTTTCAAGCGAATTTATTCAAAAACATTCAAAATTACGTTATTTTGGACATGTTCAAGTAAATTTTAGTGAAAATTCTAAAATTCGTAAAGAAATTATCTTTCCTAGAGTTTATAAGGTAAATATATAAATAGATTTTTGGTTAAAAAGAAAACGTTCAAATGCCCTATTCAAACAAATAGATTTGGAATGAGAATTATATAATAGAGGAATTCAATCTTCTATACGAATTGCACTATATCATTCCTGCACCAGAATTAAAAAACTACTTTCTATTCTTATCGTCCAGTTTAGAAGTCATGAGCAAAACGGAAACGGATGAATTTCTTCTTAAATTAAATCATAAGAAAATACTTCTAGTAAATAAATATAGGCCTATTCTATCCGATCTTATCCGATTAATATCTTTTCAGATAATGAGATCTTATTTAAAACTATTTATAGATAAAAGAATGAAATTATTAAATCAAGATGAGAATGTTTTATTAGAGAAGGTGTTAAAAATAGTTCTATGGACAGATTATAATAAACAATACGAGAATGAATGGAGAAGCCTTTGTCATATTATTATGAAAGTTGGACTTACATTAAGTAAGAGATGCTTTAATTCTATTCAATTTGTTATTAATTATAGATATCTTTATATATAGATTTAAAAGTTGATTATAACGTTAGTCTAATGCACTTCTTCCTTCGAATTATTGAAAAAGTAAGGTAACTCGACTCCTTTTCAACAATTCAACAGTTCTTCCATTTCTTTTAAATCTAATACATTTAATTGAAATTTTTAAAAAAGACTATTTTCATTCATTCTAGTAGTGATATCGCTTAATATACTTTGAAATTCAATATCGACTATCTCTATTTAAACTGGTCTCAATATTTTATATTCCGTATTATTTCTAATCATGATTCATTCTATGAACGAATATTGTTCAAAATGCCGTAATACGTTGTCTTTTTTCGTACGACTTTACATTTATTATATTTGTATAGCTATATATATATATATATATATATATATATATTTATATATATATATATATGTACGTAGAAACACATGACATGCTTTTATAGCGTTTTTTGCAGTCACCAATGAGAAAGCTTGGAATAAAATGTTGAATTTTGAATTAAAGTATCTATGCCTAGAAGTTGTATCGAAAAATTTATATGAATTATATGAATTATGTATACTAAATGGCTTTTATATTCCTCAACCTATCAGTGAGATGATCTTTCAATTTCTCTTCGATAGACATAAGATATTATCGGCTGATATGATGCTATTTTTTAGTCGAGAAATAGCGTCACTCTCAAAGGTACGCCTGTCCAAGAAGAGTGTACGCTTTATGAAGAATTTCTCATTTATGAAAAATCATCCTCTATCCTCGATTCACGTAAGAGATTTTGGTAAAATAGACGCCTTGATTGAATCGATCAATTACAATTATCTGGAGAAGATGATATTAGAAAATTGCGAGGTCGATTCAAAGTTATTTCTTAATCAATTAAAATGTATAACGTCTCTAAAAGAATATTCAATCTATAACGATTCAGTATCGTTCAATACATTCGATTTAAGTTCGTTTAGCGAAGAAAAGTCAAATATTGAAAAATTACGTTTTTTACACGTAAAACTATTCAATTTTGAAGAATTATCAAAGTTTAAGAATCTAATTGTTTATGAAAATATTAATAAATTCTACGGCGATCACGGAATATTTTACCTAAGAAGTTTAAACTATTTAAAAAGAATAGAAATATCAGTTTTTTCAATAGATGAGGAAAGAAGAGAAATGTATAGTATCTTTATTGATAAGAATACATGGAAATTTTTAGAAGTGTTTATTCTACTTGTTGAAAAACATTATAATATAGCTGAGGATATGATCAAGTAAATTATCTCTATTTTTTCATTATTATACTCTATTCTATTGTTTTCTTTTTAAAAGGAAATTCATTGATAATCATCATTTAAAGTTCTTTGCCTTATTATCGAATAGTTGTGTAAAGTCTGTCGAAACTTTTCATACTTCAAAATCAACAAATTCAACAATAACTTTTATTCAACATTTCAACGTTTGTTGATTAAAATATTCATTCGTTAATTTCTTAATTCATTTCTTTTATAGAAAAATGAATATTTCGATGGGAAATTTCTATTAAAAGTTAATGCTTTCCTTAAAAATAGTCCAAGTAAATATTTTTATAAATGTATTAAGAAAATCCTACAAAAAGAAGTTATTAATTATGATTTCAATTCAACAAGTAAAAATTTAGACTATATTCTACAGGTAAAAATAACAGCAAAACTGCAAATTATCTTGTTATTTTATAATAAAAAAAAGTCTATTCATTTCCTTCTTTTAGATTATATCAGAAATTTTAGATTGTCATCAAAATAGCGAATCTGGACTTTATATTTCATTATTTCATTATAAAAAATGCTTTAAGATATTACATTTAATTAAGAAATATAAAAATGATAAATTTTGGTATGACGTTGTTACTTTGGGTGTTAAAGCTCTGAAAGAATTTACAACTGGAGCTGAATATCACACCTGCAGAGATAAGATATTTATCGTTTTAGAAGATCAACAAAACATTTCTCAAAAGGTAAAAAGAAAACCCTTGTTAATTGATATATTAAAAGTTACTTGAACATTTATATACTTTTTTCAACAGATTTTAGATATTTACCAACCGGAAAAGAAGAATATAAGAATAAAAGATTTCTTATCAACACTCTTTCCAACTTATATCATCTATAATAGAAATGTATTCTACGATGAATTCTGAGTTTTCTTCCAAGCGCAATTTGTCTAGGAAACTATTTTCTTGTTAACTTTTTATCTTTCTTTATGATTTTCAGTATTATAATATAAAATATACTTTTTTACTTGATTGATTGACATTCAATTGGAAAATCATTTGAATAAATCATACTCTTCCAGTCTTCCCTTTTGCTTGAGAGCTCTACTGCAAATAGGTATTGTTATTATTATTAATAGAGCAAAAATTCTTTTAGTAGTATTTTTAAAAATATCTTTTTGAATGAATTGAGTAAACGTCGTCTCGTTCAAGCATTACGTGGCTTTAAAAAGGTTTTGAATACAAGATAATATTTATTTTTAGATAGTTAGTTACTTTATGAAGAATATAATAAATGTTACGCTATGACGTAGGTACACAAATAGTTTATATACATAATGTATACATCCATGTTACACTTTTATTAGAATTTCATTAAAAATCAATACAGACTGTAAAATTCCGTTATGCAGCCGAGATGATTTGTAAGCAATGCAATTCTTCTCAATTACTATTATATTGTTAAGAAAAGAGTCACGGGATTAAGATCAATCGCATGCGATTTCTAATATTCTCCCGCTAAAATTCTAAGAACCTTTGACCCTTTTCTTGCTTTAAAATAAGTCGGAATTTTTATAAAACAAATTGTCATATGATGAAATGTAAGCCTAGCTTGTATAAAATCGCCAGGTAATAACAAATTTTCCTATGACTAATAGTCACGTGATAAGCTGTTTATAAAAGCTCTAGCTTTAGTCTTGTCTGCATTAGAAGCAAAAGAAATTTTGTCTTAAAAACAACAAAAATAAAAAGATTTTTACCAAACTCTTATTTGAAGATTATTAAGAAATAAACGTTAAATATGGGGTCGCTTTGTGGTTTCTTCGTTAAAACTGTTACCATTGACAAAGATGAAAATACCTACAAGACTACTAGTGAAGTACCAAATCCAGGTATCAAGATTAGAAAAGCCAAAGCAGAGGAACTCGATAGAGTAGCCGATCTTCTTTACGAAGGTTACAAGAAGAGGTTACCATTTTTTGCTGATGAGGGAAAACAGGAATTTTTCACTGATATGGTCAAGAATTGTTTCCAATCTAATCCAAAACTAATAGAGAATGTATTAGTTGCCATAGACGATAGTAAAATTCAAGGACTCTGCTCCATGAAATTTACAAAGTAAGTACAAATCTCTTTTTATATCAAATTGGCAAATAAATTAATATCCATTCTTGAAAATCTAGTGAAGAATGTAAATCATCAACGAATTCAAAGAAATGTGAAGAATCATTCAAAGGTAGTTCCTGTAAAGGTCTAATGAAAACGATATTTTCATTCGGAATGAATCAATACCTATCTAAAGTTGGCAATGATGAAGCGTTTATCGAAGCAATATCTGTAGATCCAGAATGTAAGAAGGAATCAGAAATCAAGAACCTTCTCTTACAAGCGGCTGGTGACGAATGTCAAGATAGAAAATGCAAAGTAAGTTGAATAATTAACTATTAAAATGTGGAAGAAATGAAATTTTCTAATACGAAATATTGTATATTTTTAGAAAATATCTTCGATAGTCATGTTCAAGGATTTCGAAAATAGAAGATTCTTTGAAAATTATGGCTATACTACTGCCAAAATGCATCTTGCCAGACCAATTTTCATGTACGGAGATAAGGTTTGTATTAATAAATCTATATAATTACATTAAAATACTAATAGTTCCCTTTCAATTTCTCTTTATTAGGGTTGCTACAAAATGGAGAAAGAAGTTTTTCAGTATTGTTAATTAGGAATAGACTTTTGCTGCTTTTATTCTCACAAAACAAAAAATTTACTTGATAATACTCAGATAGTGAAAAATCTCGTCTTAACCTTCTTCTACCGTTTGATATTGAATAAGTGTTGTTGTTTCTTTAAATTTTATTCACAGTTATATTCACCAAATTTACGTTTGTAATTTTTTAAAAATAAATACCAAACTACTTTGACCTATATGTTCTGATTTCAATATTCCTTAAAGAGTAGGGATAAGCGCGATAAAGCATACAATAGAAAATGTATTATTTACAAGTTACTATACTTATGCAATATGTAAATATTAGTCTTAGTTTTTTACATATTAATTAAATTTGTAAATTATTAAATGCGCAAACAAAAACTTAGCCTATATGTTCTGATTTCGAAATTCTCCTATTGGCATCTAAAGCTTTACAGTAGGAAAATTATATAAGTTTGTATATATACGTATGTTATATTTTCAAATGTTACTATATATAGATTGAATTTATTAATTATTAAATTCATAATGAAACATACTAAACTACTTAACCTATATGTTCTGAATTCAACATTCTTATGTATAACTTTCTACTCGTGTTGTTTGCGTAGGAATTGTTGTAAATTGGCAAAAATGTTCAGTGAACTATACATTATATATTAGCCAAAAAGTTAGCTTCTGCCCTGTTATAAGAAGAAGATGATCTACAATAGAAAACTAACGCTAAAGGGTAATTTTCATTAGAAAGAGAGAGAGAGAGAGAACGTAAGAGTTAAAAGAAAGAAGATTGAAATTCTCGAAATTCAACTATTCCGTCAAGATTCGTTGTTAAATCCACGTACTTTTTTAATCTATTACACTTCATTTTCCATATAGTATAACGACGCTTTCAGTGTAACATACATCAAATATATTGCAAAAATTTTCATATACAGACTAGTAAATAATCAATATCCATTGCAGATTGCTAAAGGTAAACTGTATAGGTTGTTTTTGTACAGGTCTATTTTAAGGAATACTCATTATTCTTCGTATTATGTAAAATATATTAATTGAAGATATTTCAATTAATAACAAAAAGATTCTTTTCCAACTAGGAAAAATCATACCAATCTTATTTCTACTTGGATTTCTAATATACTATACTTTTCATTATAAAAGCAATAAATGCAAATTCCTTAATTCTCCATTTTTTCACCCTTAAAATAAGTTGGAATTTTACGAAACGGGTCATCATGTGATCAAAATTTGTATAGGTTCTTTTTACGAAGCAATAGGCCTGATAACTACAAATTTTCCAATGACTAATAGTCACGTGATCGGTTACTATAAAAGTAATAGCTTTATAACAGGTGTACTAAGTAAGAGAGAGAGAGAAAACGCCTAAAATAGAAATTTATTAATTGGAGACATCAGAATGAGTTCTATATGTAATTTGTTTGTTAAAACGATTGAAATAGATACTGATAGTAAGAGTTCTATATCAATTAATAACGATGTTCAAAATTTTGGAATCAAAATTAGACCAGCAAAAGAAGAGGAACTTGATACAGTTGCCAACCTCTTTCTCAATGGTTATAGAGAGAGATTGTCTAATTTATTTGAAGAGGAAAAGCGTGAATTTTTCATTGATATGATTAAAGATTGCTACGAATCAAATCCAAATCTTATACAAAATGTATTAGTTGCCTTAGAAGATGACAAAATTCAAGGAATTTGTTCTATTAAATATTCAAAGTAGGGTCTAATCTCTTTAATTTCTCTTCTTAATAATCAAAAATAATGCAGCGACGAACTCAAAACAACAAAATCAGCAAGTGAAACGTTTAATCTAGTTTTTAGTAAGGCTCATTTAAAAACTATATTCTCCTTTGGAATGAACCAATATCTCTCCAACGTTGAAGACGATGAAGCTCTTATAGAAATACTATCCGTAGATCCTGAATGTAAGATGGAGAAAGAAATTAAAGGACTACTCTTACAGGCTGCTGACGACGAGTGTCAAGAGAGACGATGCAAGGTAACTTGAAAAATGTAATTTATATAGCTATACCCTTAATATGAAAAAATGAAATTTTCAGAAATTATCCTCGATCGTTATGTTTAAAGATTTTGAATTAAGAAGATTCTACGAAGATTTTGGTTACATTACATCTAAAATGCATCTGGCCCGACCATCCTTTATGTACGGAGATAAGGTTTGAATATAATATATTATATATGAAAGAAAGATATTAATATCATAATATGAAAAATGATAACGATATTATATTTATAGGGTTGCTACAAAATGCAGAAAGATGTCAGCTTGAACGATGACAATTCAAAATACTAGCAGCTGAATCGTTTAGTGTAAATCTAGTCTAGTGTATGTCGGATGTTTGTAATGTATCGAATAATCAAAGTTAAATAAAGAAATTGTCCTTTTATTCAATAATAAACAACAATAGATAATAATTATGATTCCATTATACTGTAGTATTATATATGTAATCATCCTATAACTACGATAAAAGAAATACTCTTTTCTCTTATAAAATTTTAAATTCCGTAGGGAATGCATGCTAAAAGGGTAGAGAATAAAAATGAAGAAGGCAAAGTACGGGATGATAATGATGATGATGATGATGATGATGACGCTGTAGATTCGTCTACGTTACATTTGTCAGACCCACATGAACAGTGTTTGGCCTTATCGGTTTTGAGTTTAGCACAACCATTCAGGGGAACAAGCTGACATATTCGGCTATATATTATATCTGAAGATATTTTTAGTAGTCAAAATGATATATACATAAAACGGCTATATAATATTATATCAAGAATTTACTTGAGGGGTCTGTTTGATCAGCATAAAATCCACATGATCCTTCTTGCAAATTAATTGAACATTGGTATTTTTCCACATTTTCCCCTGAAGGAGGTTTTAGTGATTTGCCACACCAAGAATGCTCTTTGGAAGTACAATTCCAGCATTTAATTTCTTAATGGGAAAATCAATAATAAATAACAGTACATAAAATTATATAATTTAGGCAATTTGATCAAAACCTTTTGATTGTCTTTCAAGGCTTGGATCATATTTGTCGCTGCATTCATCAGTTGAACAAAAACAAACAGCCAACTTATCTTTTGTAATTGTACAAACGTTATAATATATTTTTCCTGTGGCGTTCATGCATTCTTTCCTTGTTATTGTACTAGCTAAATAAGAGTAGAAAGGTTTTTTAAAATATCGAGAAAAACAATTCAATAATACTTTTATATGTATGACAGGCTTCTCCTGATTTACAGTTTGTAATAGTTCCAGGATCTTTATCGCAATTTGTACAAGTTCGACACCTTATGCTTCCTCCATATTGTATACAAGTAATCAATAAGGCAACGATAAATATCTTCATCTTTATTAACAAAATGTCCTCTTCTAATTCAAAATTGTTGCCTTTATATGAATTTAAAAAATTCCCCCTTCTCTTTATACCCTAAATTTCTTACTTCTTTTTTCTACTTTATTCAAATTTTTACGTTCATGCAAGGAATTTTCTTATTTTTAGTTTCAGTTAACCATTGTTTGAACAGGGAACTAGAAAGAGTGTGAGAAACGTGGTGGAAACCTATTGTACTATTCTCTTTTAATCGTAAAACGACTAGCTTGAATACCTGCTTTACATGATTGTCGGAAATATTATTTATTGAATTCTTTAAAAACGTTTTTTGAATGTTCAAGAAACTTGAATAAATTTTTTACTGCTTGGTGTTTTTATTGTTTATTTTTAAATGATATTTCTAATTTCCAATATCGATTTAATAAAAGATCCATAAACAAATATATCTTCAGAAGTAGATTTTAAATCTTCTTTATAACATAAATCTTGGAAAGATATGAAAAACTTGAATCTTTTAACCTTTCTCTAAAAAGTAACAAAAATAAAAATCCTATTCAATTTTTGCATCCTATAAAAACTAATGCTTACCGTATAATAGACGTTTAATTTATCACTTTGCGGTTTGAATGTTAAATTCTTGGCTTGAAAAAATTTAATTGCTATACAAAGATCTTTCGATAATGAAAGAATAGTAAAATAGTTCGACTTCTTAATAGAAAGTTTGGTAAACTTTCTAAATAAAGAATAAGATACCATAAAAATTTTGTTTTCCCGCCAATTTTGAATTAAAGTGAAACCTTACAAAAAAAAATAACATTAATAATCCAAAGTTAAATTCACTTGAATATAAGCCTACATCGATTTTTAACAAGATTACTTCTATCCGATATTCCTTTCTCACTGAATAAAAAGACAAATAGAAGGGGGAATTCGTATGAATGGTGCATTTTTAAAAATGTATACGAAATTAATACATTAATACTAAATGACGTGTTTTAAAACTTTTAAAAAGCTTCATTAAATGTCGATAGCAAATAGTGAAAGGCAATGATATTCCACGAATGCATACTACTAAAATAAAGATAATTGAATAGAGATCCTCTTCAAATTGAACGTCATGTACAAATGATGTTAAATCTATAAAAAAATTGAATTAGATAATATAACTCTCCATCTTACAGCAGAGAAATTTCAATACCAATATACAATAATTGCACTATTAATCCAAAATCCCAAAAACATAAAAGATAGAATAATTTAAGGATATTTTGAATTTTTTTCCAACTATTCAATTTTCTATATTCATTTGTTCTATTTTCTGATAAAACACTTAAAGATCGTATGAATAACGATACAATCATTAATATTTTAAATGATAATAATATATTCAAAGATATAATTGAATAGAACCAATTCATTGAATATTTCCAATTTAAATGTATTGAAAAGCAAAATATTGACTTAGAGTAGTAGTCCTTTTTGAAATGAATAACAGTTTTTAACAGAGAGAAATCTTTGTATTTTTATTATATTAACCTCAAGAAAGAAATATGGAAAACCAGCATAAATAGTTGAAAATATGAATAATATCATCATTATTATTATATAATTCATTGTCTTGTGAAAATTCTTATAAGAAAATCCACTATTTATCAATAAATATCGATCCACAGTTGACATTACAAGGCACAAGTTTGAAAAAGTTACTATTACATTCAATAGTGTTCCAGTACAACTACACAAATTACTGTACCTCCATTCAGAATCATATTCCATATAGGAACCTCTATAGACTAGATCCGTACTTGCTATCATAATTAGATAGCCGCCTAACAGTAAATGCGATAAATGAACGCATAGATATATAATACTCGACGGCTTAAAGTTTTTTATTTCAAGAACCAGCGCTAACGAATTAAATAATAATATACAAAGAATAATTATCCAGATAACAACTCTTAGATACCAAAATCCAATTAAATCGGAACAAACTTTAATAACAGACGAATCTGGTACGCATTCAATCATTTTGAATTTATATTTCTTTGTCATACAACACAATTGAAAACTTTCCGAGTATAACGTTTGTAAAGAATTCAGATTACTCAACAACTGCAACGACAATACTTTTGGTAATTTTGTCTCATTTAGATGAAGATTTTCCAGATTTCTTAAATGTTCAAGCGAATTTCCATCAAAGTATTCAATGGACAAATCAGAAATTTTCATTGTAATTAAACGTTTCAACGTGGAGAATGAACTCTGTTCAATTCTCTTTAATAAACTATTTGAAATGTCCAAGTAGGTCAAATTGTTTAAATGTTCAAAGAATTCGGTGGGCAGTGAAGAGAAAGGATTGCTGCTCAAATCCAAATATTGAACGTTTCTCATCTGTAAACTAGCCTCATTTAACGGCAATTTGTCTATTCTGTTTCTCCTTAGGATCAGAATAATCATATTGTTTCTTCCGAGACGAGGAAATTCGTCTATTTCGCTATTTTCGATAGAAAGTTCAACCAGCTTATCCATCTTTCGAATGTTGAATGCAGTTTTGAACGGCATAAACTTTAAGGAAAGTCTCTTCACTTCGTATTGAAATGTGAGATTGATCTGTTTCAATTGTAAACTATTTACGCATTGAACTTGAATTATTGAATGGCAATTGCAAGTTGGAGGACAACTAAACGACGTTGAATCTATACAATGAGCTTCGTCGTTTCCCTGATCGCAGTCAATGATTCCATCGCATACTCTACTTAAATTTAAAAAGTTTCGCTGATTTTTACATTTGAATGAAGATGGAGGACGAAAGTTTTCTGTTCCGATAGAAAATCCAATAAATACACGTTACTTTATCAATTAATTACATTATATTCTTTATACATACTACAAGCATCTTCGTCATCTCCGTAATGGCATTGTATAATACCGTCGCAGACATTTTCTAATCGAATACAATAGTTCTTATCCCTGCATTGATATTCCCCAATCTGACATTTTGTGTTTGTGCAATTTGCCAATTCGTTATATGGATAATTCGATAATGTTTTTAATCGTTTAAATGAATCGTATCGTAATCTACAATAGGTTTCACTGTTTTCTCTCGAATAACCATGAGCCTTCAATATATCATCTGTGCTATATTTAGCCTTCCAAAAGTTTTTCATCGAAAGAGATTGTCTTTTTATATTAAAAGATAAGAATTAGAAAATGTCTACTGAAGTTAATGTCTGTGGCAAGTCTATGGGTATTTTTAGTGTTTGGCCTATCGAAACTTAGTTTCCTTCTGTACTAGAATTAGTGCTAAACTAGAGGCTGAAAAAAGTACGAAATAGTTTGTCGACCGGTTGTTAGAATTGGTGTAAAGAGGTAAAATTGTGGACATTTTCTTCAGTATTTAACCCTAACCTTAACCTTTCAGTTGTAAGTTTATTTTGTTATTTCATAAAAGATTTTTACCGTAAAGTTTCCACACAAGAGTTAAAATGCCTTAAAATTCTGTCCTTTATGAAACAATCCGGTTTAAAAAGGCAGAATTGGCTTGAACCATGACACATATTATCGCAAAAATAGAATGGACAAAGACCTGCCATTATAAATCATAGTTTTTTACGATTAAAATGGTTATTTCTTACTTATTTTTACTTTCGCATTGAGGTCCTTCGTCACTACCATCTATACAATTTTTTTCATTATTACAATAGTGATTTCGTGCAATACATTGCCCATTTTTACACCTAAAACTAAATGTTTAAACACCATAAAGAATGACCTATTTTCATTAATTATGATAAGATAGTATTACGTATTGTTATCTTGAGCACAGTCAAAAACTTTTAAAAATGAAATGAATGATAAAGAAATGATTACTTGTGGAAAAAATGGTCAATATTTACAGCAAAACGTTTCGTCACTTCCGTCTTGACAATCTTTAGTATGATCGCATACGAAATTTGTTGATATTTCTTCACCGTTCAAACATTTAAAAGGTATAAAGTAACGTTTACAAGATTTTTCATCAGAACCGTCGTAACAATCCCTTTTACCGTCACAAACGTAGACGTAATTAATACAATAACCATCAATTTCGCATGTAAACATAGTAATAGGGCATTTAATTGATAATGATACGATTTGCGAATAGTTAAATTGAATTTTTGGAAAGAATTCATCTAGAATTTCGCCGTGTATTTATTATTGTTTTAGTAAACAATAGTGATTTTTTTTTACTATTTTTATCTTCACACATTAAAATAGGAAGCTTTTTTAAACAACCAATTGATCGTAATTGTCTCTTCTGCACTCCATAGCATTTATCCCATGTTCTATTATACAAAATCCCTTCATAGTT